GGGGGGGGGAGAGGGCGCTCTCGACGTCGTCTATCGAGGGCCGCGCACCATGCCCACGGCTGGAAGCGGCGGGCCTGCGCCGCCAGGATCTTCTTCTTGAGCGCCTCGTTGCCCTGCACATCGAGCGCGACCAGGTTGGCAGACGAGCCAACATTGGACGTGCCAGCCTCCGACGCGCCGTCGCCGGTGCTGCCGTCGCCGCCCTCCTTGCCCTCCGCCTCGAGCGCGACAGCCTGCCGCAGGGTGGGAGGCGGCGCGTCTCCCTCGCCCGCCCCGGCCGGCCTTGCCGCCTTCTTCTCCGGCGCAGCAAAGGCCTTCGTCTCCGCAGCCCGCCTGTCGCCAGGCGAGGCCGGGCGGTCGTGGAGGGGGGGGGGCGTACCTAGGGGGGGTGAGGCTCCCCTCTCTGTCTCTCTCCCTCCCGGGCGGGGGCGCGCGCTTGGCGATGCCCTTCTTGATGGTCTTGTACGCGTTGAAGCCGAGCACCAGCGCCGAGAGCATGATGATGACAACCTGAGGCGCGAGGGGAGAGGGGCGGGGGTTGGAGCGCTCAGCCTCGCCTCTCTCTCCGCGCCGCCGTGTGCCCCTCGCCGACGCGTGCGTGTGGCCTGGCGGCTGCGGGCTCTACTCTGCGTGGGACGCCTCTCGCCTGAGGCAGCAGCAGGTTGAAGAGCACTCCGAGGACGACGCCCATCAGCTCGCCGCCCTGCATGAAGACGGCAGTCTTGTAGTCGATCAGCGGCCGGTCAACGTGCGGGTGCCGCTGCGACCAGAGGAAGGCGAAGTTGCCGCACGCAACTCCGAAGATGGTCCCCTTTGACAGCGCGACGGCAAGCGTCTGCGGCACGTCGAGGCCGATAAAGTAGAGCGGGACGAGGAGGCCGCCGCCGCCGATGCCCGCCGAGACGGCCAGCGAGGTTATGATCCAGCAGAGCACGGTGACGACGCCGAGGCTGGCCGGGCTGAGGCCGTCATCGCCAAAGAGGGGGTCATTAAAGTGGTCGACGCCAGAGTCAGAGTAGTTGCTGCAGCCTGCAAAAGCCGCCTGAGGAGAGAGGGAGCGCTGGCGCTCACCGCGGAGAGGCTAGACTGGCTCGTCCACGGGCAGGTGGAGGGAGTGTGTGCGACGGGCGACGCGCGGAGTGCGTCGCGCGCCTGCGGAAGCAGCGCGAGCGCCATAGACCCTTTCCGCCTCTTTTCGAAGAGGCCCCTTCCACGAGAGGCACCTGTGAGAACGAGGTCACTCGTCGAGGTCACAGGCGCCGCCGCATGTTTTTTCTTTCGAGAGAGTTCTTAAGATACAAGCCTCTCTCACGAGAGAGCTTGTATTTTAAGAATTCTTTCGTTTTGCCGATCAAAGTCGTCTGTTGTGTCGTTGTGCCCTTGTTTGTACTCTTGGCAACCCGGCCGTGGAGTGCTGGGGGGGGCGACAGGGAGGATGTGGCCCTGAGTTATGTGTACGCCAACTCAGGGTGTGTGGCAGCCACGCTGGCTGTGTGTCTTGTGAGGTTGTGAGAGCCTGTTTGTGTCTGTGTGTCGCTCGTGCGTGTCGTCATCATCTGTCCAGCGTCCACCCATACCGCGTTGGTGTCCAGTCCGAGCCTGGCTGTTCTTCACCTTCCTACATACATACATACATCAAAGTGGAGGTCCGGTACAGGTGCTTGTCGCGAGAGTGGATCTGAGCAACGAGAGATGTACTCTACGACTTTTGCCTGATCGGAGCAGGAGTCAGAAAGAAGAGAGGGTTTCTTGCGCGAGGAGAGCTCGCCTGTGGAGCTGGGGGGCCCGGAAACAAACGAGGAGAGCGATGTTACGCCAAAGCAAAAGGTGAGAGAAGCGCGAGAGCAAGGGCTCGGAACGAGGCGTCGGCGTCGTCGCAGAACGAGGCCGAGGAGAGCGTGAGGCAGAGGACGACGCGGCAGGACGACGAGAGTGGGACAACCGCGTGCCCCGGTGGTGGCGTGAAAGTTGCTGCGAGATTTGGCGAGCAAGAGACTGCGAAGAGAGTCTCTCTAGAAACAAAGAGGCAGACGCCCAACATGACTTTTAGTTGCGAGGTGTGTCTTGAGCTAAGACAGCCCATGGGCAAACATGGGAGACGGCTAAAGCCGTAGCACATGGGCTAGCACCACACTCCGCTTTCTCTCTCCTTCTTCCTACCTTGTGTTTTGGCTTTTGCTTGCACGCCTTTTATTTTTAAAATCCCAAATCCACCATCTAAAAATCCCACCGTGTGGTGCTGGTGCGTGTGGTGGCGCTGGGCCCCACTGGCCAGTCACTGGGGCGGCGTGGCGGGGGGCGGCGTGCCCCCTGTCGCCTGCACGGTTCACGTTATCCCGTCGCTCCCTTGGGTTGTCTACTTTCTTTCTTTCTTCCAGAAATAATTAAGACCCCTCCGCGCCCCATACCGTGTTATGCTAGATCTCGTCGTTGTCCGATAAGTGCGGCCGAATCGGCACGAATCCGTCGTCGCGAAACAGGTGCTTCGCCGCCGGGTCGGCCGCCTGCTTGCCTCGCGACGGGAAGGCCGTCTTGAGGCCCACCTGCGGGTGGCGCGCAGGGCCGCGTCACGGGCAAGAGGGCGCGGGCGGGTTGCGGCGGGGCACGGCGCTGGGGCGGGGTGGCCGCTTGCAGCGTGCCAAGCGGACCTGCACGAGCCCGAGTAGCGTCCCGACGAGGTTGGGCCCCCACACCCAGACGTCCCCGATGGCGAAGCCGTAGACGGTCCAGGTGCCGCAGTTGACGCACTGGGCGAGCGTGAGCGGCGCGTAGATCGAGGTCGAGTCTCCGGTCGCCAGCACGAGCGCCGCTGTCGAGAGCGGCGAGGCAAACAGGATGACGCAGAGAGCCGAGCCGTACAGCCCGAGGTAGTAGGAGCGGGTTTCGGCCGTGCAGCCCGAGAAAATGATGCCGCCCCAGAGGGCCAGCTCGAACGCCACCCCTCCGACGACGATCGCCTGCACGTTCCACCGCTGCGCATGCGCCTCCCGCGGGATCAGAGGCAGGGTGCTCACATAGTAGATGATCGACGCGAGCACGCCCGGCGCGTTTGCGGCGAAGAGGTACGCGTTCGGGACGGACAGCCCGTACATGGCCCAAGCAATCGTGCTCAAGACCATGATGGCCTGAGGAAGCGGGTTGAAGTTGCCGAGCAGGCCGCTCCGAACTACGGCCGCGACGCCCGACGCCGGGGCAAAGTAGAGCGCGTTGGAAAGGACGACTCCGATGACAGGAAAGACGGTCTCGATGAAGCTCATCGGGCGATTGCGCGCTCCGGCAACGGATCGCCGCGCGGTCGCGCTGACGCGGCACCCAGCGGCGATGGATATCAGCGGGGGGGGAAAGAATTGCGGCACGCCTCCAAGTGCTCCAAGAATACCCAGTCCCACCCAGTCCCACACAAGTTTCGGACTGGCGGGGGTTATAAATGAGCAGGCAGCACAAGCAGCCACACAACCCAGCTTTGGATGCTTGGTTGCTCACGGCGACGCCCAATGCGTGCGCCGGTAGGGGGGAGTGTGTGCGCGCGTGTGTGAGATGTGGATTGTGGCAGGCCTGCTGCTGCTGGTGGGAAGTGTGCTGTGTGTGTGGCGCTGCGCTGGCGTGTGGCGCGCGCGTGCTGTGCGCGTGTGCGTGTTGGATCCGCGTGTGCGTCTGCGTGTGTTGCGCGCGCGCCGCCGGTGTGTGCTGTGTGCTGTACTCTGCTGTGCGCCCTGTTTGTGAGTCTTTGAGGCGCAGGCCTGGCTGGCAGGGCTGCGCGGTGGGCTGCGGCGCGCTGCGGGTGTTCGTGCGCCTGCCTGGTGATGTGCGGCGGCCGCGCAGCCCGCCCGACCGGGTCGTCGGCGGCCCAGGGCGCGGGCATGCGGTCTGCGCTGCATGTGAGGCTGTGTGCGCGGCCGGCGCGTATGTTTCCGTGCGGTGAGGGACGCGCGTATGTGTTCACGCTGCGGGCGCGGGCGGGCGCGGGGGGCGGCGTGGTCTCACCGCGGTCCGACGTCGGTTGGTCTTCGGCTTGGCGAGGGCGGGCGCGCAAAGAGGCCTTGCCGCCATCGCGTTGCCGCGAAGGAAAAAGAATCCTATTTTTTAGCTTAATTAATGGGAGAAAAGGAGAGGGAGCTAGACCCAGGGTCCAACAACATGTGCATGTGCATGTGCATGTGCATGTGCATGTGCATGTGCATGTGCATGTCATGTTGTTGTTGTTGTTGTAACCACATCATCCAAGATCCGTAGGCGCCCGCGTTGCACGCACATCTGACTACTCGGAGGACTCGGACTCGCTGGACGCGCCCATCTTTGTCGCCCAGCGGGAGGGCTGTGGTTCGACGAAGGGGCTCCATTCGCAGAGCCTGGCGCAGTCGGCGGCCATCCCACGTCGCACGCAAGCGTCGCAGAGGGTGAGGCGGCATCCGCTGCAACGCAAGACCGGGGCGCAGTCCGAGCACACGTGCGCCTCGCAGCCATCACACTTCATGCACAGGGTGAGATGCTCATCTTGGTGGTTTGCACCCCAGCGGAGGAAGCGCTCCTCCGCGCAGTAGATTGTCGAGCAAAGCGCGCAGCGCGCGAGCCCCGCCTCGAAGGCACAGTCGGTGTTGCCGCCCCAGCAAACCTTGAAGCCGCATTCGGCACACCCGCGGAGCAGCTCGACCTCTGAGACCGGCCCCCAGCCCATCGAGCGAGCGGCCACCTTGACGGATGGCGACGGAAGCGTCATCACGGCCTCGCAGAAGCCGCAACGGTCCAGCGTCAGGCCGCGAGGGAACGCGAGGTCGAGGGACTGGAGGTTGGACGTGAGCCAGAGTAACGAGCCGGGGATGCGACGGCAGCACTGGTGCATTTGCAGGTAGGCAAGCTTCGAGGGAAGGATGGGTAGGAGAGACTGGTCGTCGATTTGCGGGCAGTTGAAGAGCGACAGCGCGAGCAGGTCGGGTGCTTGCTTGCGCAAGTCACCAAAGCATTCTGCGCTGAGTCCTTGAAAGCCGGACAGGGAGATCTCCTGAACCCGACCCATGGCGAGGCAGCGCCGAAGTGCTACATTGGTGAAGCAGTCACTTTGGAGATCGCACCCTACCTGCCCCTCTCTGGCGGCGTGCAGCGAAAGCGTGCGATGCAGCGATGGCCTCGATGCCACGTTCGCCCAGAGGACGCAAACACGCATGGCGCGGTACGTCGAGAGCGAGCCGGCAAAATACAAGCAGAGCTCAAGCACGTCTCCCGTGAGCACATCCTCCCACCGTTGGGTGGGACCGTTGTCAGCCATTTTTGACCGCTCCGTGACACGCGTGACGGCTCGACGAGCGAAGGCTCCCGAGGTCTCGAGAAGTTCTTCCGTCGATTTAAAATGATTTAAAATGAGAGCAGGGCTCTCGACCCCCTGGGCTAGTAGATGGGGAGCGTGGACCGAGGTGCTATGTGGAATGTATTTGTTTCGGTTCGTGAATCGTGAGTCGTGTGCGCGAGGGCGCCCGTGTCCCCGGACCCCGCCGTGCGCCGTCCGCCGAGAGACAACATCAACAAAAGAGAAAAGTATGGGCGCTCCTTCAAAACAAAATAGAAGTGTACGGCCGAGAACGAAAAGGCAGCGGGCGACAGCCACGAGTGACCGTCACGGCACCGGCGATACGAGCGCCTCGGCACTCGATTGGCTCGCCTGCCTCGCGACCGCGGCGTCCCCCAGCTGGAGCGGGTTGAGCGCCTTGTGGCCGATGTGCGGCGCGAGGAAGGTTAGCGGGCGCGACATCGTCGACGAGTACGTGAGCACGCCGCGGTGCCTGTACTCGTACAGGGCGGCTCCGTCGGCGTCAAAGAGGAAGGTGCCGCCGCGCTGCGCGAGCTTCGTGGGGTTGGCGACGTAGGTGCTCCACCTGCCGAGCACCTCCACCATGTTCCGCAACCGGACGGTCGCGAGCTCGACCGGCCTCTGGTAGCCCTCCTCCTCCGCCCAGCCGTTCGCGTACGAGATTGGCCCGAGCTTGACCGGGCCGACGCCCGGCCCGATGACGACCGGGCCCGCGGTAACGACGGCGTCGGGCGCAAGCCGCTCTGGCGCGGAGCGGTCGCCGAGGTATCCGCGGAGGATCTCTGGCAGCGTTCCGGGCGCGCCGATCCCGGCGCACATGGCCAGGTAGCGCAGCCAGGCGGTGAAGGCTGGGCGGAGTTGGGCGTCGTCAGCAGGGACGCCGCCGGGAAGCGTGCCGAGTAGCGCGGTCAGCACGCTGTCCGGAACTGCGTCCGGCACGCTCCACTCTGGCCCGGCGTGCAATCCGAGTGCCTCGTGGATCGCAGCGTCCGGGTCAACGCGCAGCACGTCCAGCGGCAGGCCAGTGAACTCGCTGAAGCGGCCGGCTCCGGCGGCGTCCCCGATGCCGACGACACACAGGTCAATGCTCGCCTCCTGCAGGTCCGGCCGCACAGCCACGAGCTGCTCGCACATCTCTGCGCTGTCAAACTCGCCGAGCTGAGGCAGGAGCACGACGAGAGCCTTGCGGCCCCGGCTGCTGAGCGGAGAGGTCAGGCTGCCGTCTCTCGGATCGACGACCCGCGCGGCCTGAAGCGTCTGAAAGGAGGGCGAGAGCGGAGCCGCGGTCGCGAGCGGTAGTGAGAGAAACAGCAAAGACATCAACTTCTGCTGGGGCGATCGTTGTGTTGCTGCTCCTGCCTGCGCTCCTCCTGGCGAGTACAGACCACGCCTGCTATTCACAGCACAAGCCCTCGCCGGGGGCTCGAGCATGCGCAGCGAAAAGCAGGCGTGCGGCATGCGGAGCTCCCCACCGGCGGGCGGGCTTGAAGACACTGAGCCGAGCGCGCCGGCGGCGGACCCTCGCCGGCGCGCTCGCTTCGGCGGATGGCTGAGCGGCACAGTTTCTGGCCGCCCGGCCTGCGAGCAGTCACCGCGAGACGATCAAAGGCGCTCAATTCAAGCGCGCCGCCATGCCAGATCTCGCCCCACGCCCCGGCCAGACCGGGCAGTGCGTGCAGGAATGATGCAGGCATGATGGGTGGGTGTGGTGAGCACGCCAGCGGCACCGCTGCGCACTCTCAGGGTCGCAGCCGCCTATCTCGTGAGGGGCGTGGCTCGGGGCGGGTGCGAGAGAGTCGAGGAGCGCGGCGCGCGTGCGCGCGCGTGGTAAAGTCGGTTTATATTTCATCACTGGTATAAAAGAGACCCAAAACGGCACTCGCGCCGCGCCCACGCGCGCTCGTATCACCTCAACACTCACACAGCACGCTTGAATGAAGCCCCCGAGGGGCGAGCCGGACCGGCTGAAGACTTGAATAGACTCGACGGTTCTCTTCGCAGATCCATGAGGAGCTGTGAGGAGGCACATTTCCGGCTGGTTTCGGCTCCGGACTGTGCTGGACTCACGTGGAACCGCCGGCGGGGCGAGAGCCAGCAGCGGGCAAACCGCGCCTCCGGTGCTCCGCTGCGATGACGAGCTGGCGCCAGCCACGCGCGGCCTGGCCAGGTCGGCAGGCGAGCAGCAGGCATGCCGAGCGCGCGCGCGCGCGGCGGTCTCGTTGAGGCGGCAGAGCAGGCCGCATGTTGAGCAAAGAGGGCTCCAACACCCATCCTCGCCGAAAGACGGCGATCCAACCCTCCGCTTGTCACACGCCTCCTTTTTCCAGACCGATCCCCCCCTGTGAAAAAGTGAGGCGTGGTCTGTACTCGCCAGGCGCTCCTCAGCTATGTCGGTCGGGCGAAAAGAAATACCGGCGCGCAGGCCGCGGATGCGGGCGCGACGAGGCAGTGGGGCGACGCCCGAAAAGCGAGCAAGAGACCGAACCAGACCGAAGATTCGCCCTGATGGGTGCGGGACGAGGCCCCCGCGCCGGGGAGCCGCTGCACACCAAGCAGTGTACACGTTAGGTAGTCGTGTGTGTACGTGACGGGTGGTGTCGTAGTGTCCGTGTCCACTAGCTCCGAGTAGAGGGGGCGTTCTGCAGTTAAGGGGAAACCCGGTACACGGAGCCCTCTCGGAGACCCGTGTTTATTTTACGGCCCTCTCCCTGCGAACGCGCACCCCCCAGGGCTAGGGCTCTCTAGCCCGTAACCCGATCCCGATCATCCGGCCCGCTGGGTGCGCTTCTTAGCTCCCCGGCCCTGGATGTGAGGCTAATGACTGCACTCCAAGTGCTCCAAGTGACGTGCCACGTCCGCTTTCTTTCTTTCTTTACATTGGGGCAGTGTCGTGCGAAAAAGAATTTTAACCTGCACACTAGTCACGGGACTGGCGCGCACTGGCACTAACACCGAAAAAGAAATTCGTGGAGGGAGGAGGAAATACTACGCGGGGCCAGAAGTATGATGGGCATTAACTCTTGAGATCTCCGAGTGTGCCACACGGCTGTGAAGAGTTCGATGGGGCGGGTCCCTGCTCGTCTCGCTCGCCCTGAACACTCTAAACACTATCTGGCCCCGAGGGGTGAACCCCCGAGGGAAGGCTCCTAGTCGCACACCAGAGCCAAATAAAACACTGGTGTTGAATGAGCAAGCTCACTGGTATTGGCGCGTCTGGCTGCAGCGTTTGTGTGAGTAGCCGCACAAGACAGGTGAGCTCTGCTGCATTCTGGGCGTAGGTTGCCTCGTGCGCAGTGCACATACCCGCAAGCCGCTGGAAGACGGTGGTGGCCTCTCGAAGTTCGTCGAGAGTGCGTTCCCCGAAGGGCCATTCTTCTCCGTATCTCCAGCTGTACAGGACGCGTCCCCTCATCATCAGTTGCGACTCAGTATGTCGGGATGATCGAATCATCACCTGTGCTGACAGCTCTTTGAGAGCATTGTCGTTCCACCACTCAGGTAAGCGCACCTCACGTCCCTGGGATTTGAGGTTCGATATTATTCGAAAAGGGAGAAAAGTCTGCCCAGATATTCAAATCCACAGTATTGGTGATTGGGGAGACTTGATAATGAAGGTCAACGAGCTCGCGCGCTTTCATGTATTCCAGCAATGCTTGATCAGGCAGATCAGATCGGTCCAGTGCCGTTCCGAGGTTTGCGTGTGCCTGTATCAAAGTGTGAAGCAAAACAAAGCCTCCGGAGGGAGGGTTGTCGGGCGTCGCGAGTGGAGGCAGTGCTGTGATCTTGCGGAAGATCGCGGCAGCCTTTCTGTAGTCTTGCATCGCCATGCACTGTATGCCCTTTGCCAGCCACTCTTCCCCTTTCAGCGCCTGCGGGGCGATCTCAGCCATGCCCATCTGGCTCATTGAAGACAAAAGCTCTTTGGTGATTTGTTGCTGCTGCTGGTTGCTTTCACTATCACGCTGTTTACCAGCGTCGGAGCGAGACTTTTCCCGTTGCTTCTGGTGCTTGTGCCATGCGTTGTGGCGAGGCCAGTGCTTCCTGAGGCACTCCGCGCTGCAGAAGTAGGAAGGGGGCAGCCTCCGCTCCTGGCAGAGACCGCAGCTCTTGAACTCGACACCGGCGGGGGCAGCACCCCCACAGCCCCAGCAGATGCAAGCTGGCCCACTGCGTTGCTTGGGAATGCGTTGCTTGGGAACTTCAGCAGATGTAGTCGTATCCAGAGCAGCGGCTGCAGTAGATCCATCATCAAACTTTCGCAGCATCTGCCGCAGCTCCTTTGCGCCAAGCGTACAGTCCGGGTCTCGCTCTTTGAGCTGTGCCAGTAGCTTCTTGACACCAGCCGAGGGAGACTGCTGCCTCAGCTCGCGCAACGTCTGGAGCATGTTGCACTTAGGACCAGCGAGAGTCATCCCGAGAGCGGTGACGCAGCGCGGATGGGTGAGTCGACGTTTCTACTTTCGGCTGCGTGCCGGACCCCCCCCTACTCTGGGCTTCTTTCTTTCAGAATGCGAGCCAGGCAGGTGGGAGCGCGCCAGGCAGCGTGGGGTGGATAAAACTACTTCCAGAAAGATCCTCGACCCTCACCCTCTTCCCTCTTGCTCTCTACGTGGTCGATTTTTTTTCTTTTTGTGACACATTTCACAGAAGGAAATTCTCCATGTTGTATTGTATGCACAAGAATACGATATGTAAGGATGTACACTGTCCGCTCGCAAGCCATACGCCTATCTCTCCGATGCCCGGTTTGGTAGGTGCTGCGTGGCGTCTGTTTCGCTGCCCCCCTCGACCATCCGCCCGAGGCTGGGCTGAAGGTCGTTTGCGCTGCTCCGAGACCTGCGCGGCTCGGAGACGAGCCGCGCCGCACGCTCGGTCCATGGGAGCGCCAGCGGCATCGGCAGCGGCGACGCGAAGGCGGTGCTGTCCGACGGCGCGGCGCGGCCGGGCGGCGTGGCGGCGCCGGGCGGCGTGGCGGCGCCGGGCGGCGCGGTCTGCGGCGGCTCGTTGCGCAGGAAGTAGGTGTGCATCTCGCCCTTTCCCTTGTAGACGCGCGTGCCGCGGTAGGTCGCGGCGAAGCGGCCGCGCAGCTGGCTGTACGCCGCCTCCGAGACGTGGACATGTCCCGGCTCCGAGCCGGAGCACATGCGGGCGGCGGTGTTGACGGCGTCGCCGCATAGGTCGTACTGGTACGTCATGTGCCCAATCACGCCGGCGATGGCGGAGCCAAAGTCGATGCCCACCTGCACGGTGAGCTCGTGCCCCTCGAGCGCCTGCCGCAGCTCCTTGTAGCGGTGCTCCTTGAGCTCGAGGTTGATGACAGTCATCACGTTGACCTGCGCGGCAGGGGCGGGGCGGGTGGGCCGGGGGGGGCAGGCCGGCCGCCAGCCGCACGCGCGCGATCGACAGAGAGCCGGCGGGCGAGGGCGGGCGGGGGGGGGGTCGCCATGGCGAAGCCAAAGCCGGCGATGGCCGCGGCGCGGTCGTGGCAGTTTGGCAACAGGTTGGGGTCGGGCAGCCCGGCCGCGACGAGGTAGTACTCGTTTGCCGTCTTGCGCACCTGCCGGCCCGCCAATTCGGGTCAGGGGCGCCGCCTCTCTCTCCCCCCTCTCCCCGACAGCGGAGGGGGGGGGGGGAGGGGGGTCGCGAAACGCGCCTTTTGCAGCTGAAACACGTCGGCGAGCCGGTCGAAGCGGTCGAACATGCGCTGCAGCAGGCCGATGACGAGCTGCGGCTCTGCGAAGGGGTCGTTGATGAGCTGCGAGAGGCCGCGCACCTATGACAGGCTTCCGGGTGGGATGAGGGACGCTTCTCGTCGTGGCTGAGCCCGCGAGATGCCGCGCGCCTTGGCGAAGAGGAAGGCGCAGTCGTGGAAGCTCTCCGCGAGGAGCGAGCCGCGAGGCCGCACGGGCAGGCCGTCCGACGAGAAGCGCAGGCTCGCCGGCGTCCCGTTGGGCGGAGACACGCCGCCGCGCGGCGACGCCTCGCCGGCGCACGGGTCCCTCTGCGCCTGCGCGATCCGCTCGAGCGAGCCGAGCGTACCGACGAGCTGCGGCGGCAGAATGGACTTGAGCAGCCGGTCGCACGAGGCAGTCTCCTCCTCGATGCAGCGCATCACGGCGCGCTGGCGCGCCTCGAGCTTGAGGCCGCGCCACATGTCGCGCCCGTGCGACCAGTGGTGCAGCAAGCCGATGATATTTGCAAAGAGGAGCATCAGCGCCATGCGCGCCAGCTCGAGCACGACAAAGTCGTCGAGGCCGGGCACCTGCCGGTGCGTCGACGAGTGGAGCTGCTCGTGCCAGAACGAGTCGACCTGCTGCTGCGCGAGCAGCACGACGGCGAGGGAGAGCGCCACGGCGGCGGGGCCGAGGAAGGTGGTGGGCAGGTGGGTGAGGCGGTACGCGAAGAAGATGTGCCACGCGGCGAGCTCGGAGACGTACTCGAAGGGGAAGTGCTCGCAGAGGTTCGGCCCGCCCGCCGGGTCCTCGTACTCGCTGCAGTAAAACGAGCGCGGCCTGTGCGCCGGAAAGAGCTCGCCACCCTCCGGCGGCGGAGGCGACGGCGGGATCGGCTGCGGGTCGACGTCGAACTGCTCGAGGAACGCCCCCGCGACCGTGCAGCCGGAGCCGGCGGCGGGCTCCGGCAGCGCGTCGTGGGCGGCGTCGTGCAGCCCGCCCGGCATGCCGTTGCACGGCACGATCGTGTAGGGACCGCGGCAGAGGACGGTGTCGAGCCGGATGTGCAGCACCGCCGCGACGAAGGCGGCGAACGGAAGCGCGAGCAGCGCGAGCGCCACCGCCGTGTTGCCGAGCGCGGTCGGCGTCCTCGCCGAGAGGCAGATGGAGCGCAGCAGGACGAGCGCCGGCGCGAGCAAGGCGTACCTCAGCATGAAGAGCGGCTTGACCGCGTCGAACCCGCTCCAGCGCACGCTGAAGTGGGTCATGTCGCTCGCGCCGTAGAGCAGCATGCAGAGCAGGTACGCAACCGTGTACCGCGCGAGGAAGAAGCGCGTCTGCAGGTCGCTCACGCGCCTCGACCCGCCTCCGCCCCCGCCCCCGCCCTCGCCGCCGCCGCCGCCGCCGCCGCCGCCGCCCCCGCCGCCGTGCCGCGCCGCCGACCAGCCGCGCGAGGGTAGCGGCGGGTCCTTGCTCAGCTTTGCAAAGTAGTTGGTCGCCTCGACAAAGTCCTCGCCCGTGTCGGACGAGTCGAGCCGCGCCCGCAGCGGCACCGACGTGGCGGTGCGCCGCAGCGAGAGGCGCGAGCCGCTGCCGGTGGCCGAGGAGGAGCGAGGCAAGCAAGTCGAGGTCCGCAGCGGGGCGGGGGGCGGCGTGGGCTCCGGCGACGGCTTCGTGTCCGAATGGCGCAGCTCCCAGCGCCTGGCTCCTCCGCCGCCGCTCTGCAGCTGACGCGCAAACTCGCCGCGAGACGTGCCCGTCAGCTCGGAGACGGGCTCGGACTCCTCCCAGCTGGCACGGGCCCAAGCCGCGTCGGAGTTCTCCCCCGCTGGCAGCACGTGCGAGCCGCCGGCCATGCGGTAGATGGGGCTGCTGTGCCGCTCCACCTGGCCGCTGCGCCGCGGCGTCGCGGCGCCACCCCCGCCGGGCGGCTCCTCGGCCTCGCGCTCCTCCTCGCCCTCCTCCTCCTCCTCCTCGCCCTCCTCGCCCTCCTCGATCGACGACTGCTCCTCGAGCCGCTGCCACACCATGTGAGAGCCACGGTACTGAGGCCGCCTCGCGCCGGCAAAATGCTGCGGCTCGGGCAGCTCGTGCTCCTGCTGCTGCTGCCGCCGCCGCCGTGCGGGCTCCTGCCGAAGCCGCTCCGGCTCCTGAGAGCGGAACGACGGCGGGAAAGACGAAGCCGTGTGCACCGAGAGCGCGGCGAGCGCCTCGCGGGCGTGCTGGAGGATCGCCATCGTCGCGTGCGTCGAGCGGCGAACGAACGACCGCTCGGCCGGCCCGTCCGGCGCGGCGTCGGCGGGGGCCGTCGGGTCGCGCGCCAGCGGCACCGGCTCGGACTGTGCCGGCACAAACAAGTCCTGGTCGAGTGCGACCGGCGCGGCGGTCTGCGCGCCCGTCTGCTGCGAGATGAACTCGGCCAGCCTTGAAGGCTTGCTCTCCGAGTCGCGCGGGCCGTTGCCGGTGCTCATCAGCGAGCCGCGGCTCCGCATCCACCCCGGCGCCCCGCCGACGCCCGAGCTGCCAGAGGAGGAGACGTCGACCGACGAGCCGTCCCGGTACGTCCCGAGCTCGATGCCGGGGAATGGCTTCTTCGGCACGTGCCCCTCGAGCGCCTCGTCGTCGAGGTGCAAGCCGCCTACAGCAGCAACACAGGCCACGCTCGTCGCGACGCACGCCCGAGCGACGGGTCGCTCCAGGCGCGGCCCGCCCAGCAGGTGCATCTGCGACGCCGGGAGCAGGTCCTTCCGCTCCTCGACGTAGTAGGTGCGGTGGATGCCCATGTGGGCCGGGAAGACGCCCTCTGCCGCCGTGCCCATCCCGTCGCCGTTGCCGGGCGCGGGCGAGAGCGCGAAGGTGTGGTAGAGGTGGTTCGCCTGCGGGCGGGGATGGGGCGGAGGGGCGAGGCGGACGGGTGGGCGGGCGGCGGGGGGGTGGTGCGAGGGGGAGGGGGGGGCGGGCGGGGGTCCGGCGGTGCGCGGCGCGAGGGGTCCGTGGCGCGCCGTCGCGTCAGAGACGTGGACGCGGCCGGCGGCGCCAAGCTCCTCGAGGCGCAGCGCGCCCGCCACCGCGCGGCCCCAGATGTCGAAGTGGAAGCGGACCTGTCGACAGCTCCGCCCCGTGACGAGGCGCCGTTTCACAGCTGCCGGAAGCGTCGAGGTGGGAGGGGCGCCGTGCCGATGATGCCTCCGATGGCGGTGCCGGTGTGGACGCCGACGCGGATGTCGATGTCCACCTGGAGGGTGCGAACAGCGCGCGTCTTCACGCTGCGGGTCGCGCGGGGAAGGGAGCAGCCGAGGCCGGCGTGGCCCACCTTGCGCTCCTCCTTGATGGCCTGCACCTCGCCGATCATGCCGAGCGCCATGGCGCCGACGCGCCGCGCCGCGTCGGCGGGGTTGCCTCTCGCCTCGCCAAAGGCGCCGCAGCAGACGATGTACGCGTCGCCTGTCCGCAGCAGAGGGGGGGGGGGGGGGGGTGAGAGGGCGCTGCTCGCGCGTGCGGCCCGCAGCGGATGACTGCGCTGCTCGCCGATCGTCTTGACCTTGTGCACGCCGTACCCCTCGGCCAGCCCGTCAAACTTCGCAAACAGGTCGGACAGGAGGCCGAGGACAAAGTCGGCGGATCGCTCGCTCGAGAGCTTGGTGAAGCCGACCATGTCCGCCTGCAGGAGGGCAGGCCCGGGACACGTCATGGCCCTGTGCCCAGGGAGCGTCCACCGAGCCGACCGCGCAGCCGCCTGCAGCACCGTCACCTCGTCATACCTGTGCGCCACCTGCGTCGACCCCGACGCGATGTCTCGCACGATGGGCGCCGGGAGGGTGTTGAGGAGGAGCCGCTGCACGCCTGGGTGGGGCACGTCAGGGGCACGTACAGAGACACGCCAGGGACACGTCAGGGTCACGTCAGGGACACGTCAGGGTCACGTACAGAGACACGTCAGGACACGTCAGGGACGGGGTTGTGGACGGATCGTGGGACGAGTCTTTGCGGGAGGGAGGCGCGGCGCGCCGTCGCGGAGAGCGACCTTGACCTCCTCCTCCTCCTCGAGCAGCTTGTGCCTAGGGGGGCAGCCCCGAGACGGCTCAGGGAGGAGCCTCCGCCGCCTCCCGCCCCGCGCCGCGCCGCCTCGAGAAGTTGTCGCGGTTCTGTGCCTCGGCCATGCAGGCGAGGCACATGCAGGCGAGGTTGACGACGGCGTCGTGGATCGCGACCGAGGCGAGGCGCAGGCCGGGCTGCGGAAAGGCGCGGAGCAGCGCCAGCCGTGCGGCGAGCAGCGACCAGAAGGTGAGCGTCGCGTGCCTCGCCTGCAGGTGCGGCACCAGGGTCGCGTACCCAAGCAGGTGCATCAGCACGAGCAGCACCTGCGGAGAGGCGGACCGGCGCGGGCGCGTCGGTGGGGTGGGCAAAGCACGCCGCGGCGGGAGAGCGGCGGCGCCACCTGTTTGCTGCTCGAGCTGTGCAGCACGTCGGCAGCCGTCATCAGGAACCCGTCGCACCAGAGCAGGGCGAGGAACATGGCGCTGAGCGTGGCTGGGTAGTCGAGCACCGCCACGCGGCCCGCGCGCCAGAGCGCCGCCGCGAGGCCCGCCGCCGAGAGGCAGACGGAGAGGCGGCCGAGGAGGAGCGCCGCGCCCAGCCAGCCGCCCGCCAGGTCCGCCTGCACGTCGAGCTTGACAGGCACCAGGAAGAGGGTGAGGCAGACGGGGCGCAGCGCGAGGATAAAGGCGGTGCGCAGCAGGGCGCCGCGCGACGCGGCGAGCGAGTACCGAAAGTACTCGGCCTCCAGATCCGGCGTGAAGCCGGGCAGAAAGGCGAGGTACGCGGCCGGGCGCGAGACGGGTCCCTGCCTCGCCACAACCCCAGCCTCCGCGGAGCCGTCAGCGCTGCGTGCGTGCACCTCGCCCGCGGGTGGAGAGCCGGCGCCGGAACGGCCATGCTGCAGCCGCCGGATCGCGATCAGGGTGTTTGCCTGCCTCCAGCGCGCTCGCGCCGCGTCGCTACCCTTTCTTGGCCTGCCACTCCCGCCCTCCGAGTCGCCCGATATGGTCCGCGCGAGACGAACGGCGAAGTGCTGCGGTGAGGAGTGTGACGAGTCCGCGCTGTGCTCCTCCGGACTTGCGTCCGGCTCGGTGGTCGGCGTCATTCGTCAGCAGCAAGGCATGCGGGCGTGGGCGGCGGCAAACAACAAGCAAGGCGCCTCCAATGGTTGCGGGAAAAAGAGACAGCACTGCTGAGCAGTGGAGTAGCAGTGGATAGGGTCGATTCCGCATGGTACGGGACCTTATGAAGGAGGTGTACGCGACCCAGAAGAAATCGGGCCGTGTCGTTCCCTCCGCTGGAGAGAGGTCCATCAGTTCGCCGGCACTAGCTAACTGCAGGTTCTTGCTCTTCGCCATAATTACGCAGTCTTCCCTTCGGGGGCCCCTCTGGAAGAAGATTTTAGAAGATCAACAAGAAATCACGCCTCCCACAGTGATTTGGGCTCGGCAGCTTGTCAGCGCCCTCAGCCGAAGCTGGGGCCGGTCCCGTAGCCGAGAGAGCCCGCGCCGATGAGTTCGACGCGGTCGGGGGGCCTTGCGGAGAGGCCAGCGAGGTGGCGATCGCTGTACTTCATGGTGTCATCAAGTGACCGGCTGACAAGCCAGAGGTCGATACTCTGGACGACCCATAGGATGCCACGAATGCCTGGAGGAGAGGGAGGCGAGGCCAGAGGCAGGCTCAGCTGCTCTCGGGTGATCTCGCTTTGGTGGCCGAAGGACCCGATGGTCCTGTCACATTCGCATTCCGAGTCGTGGGGGTAGAAGAATTCGAGTAGGCATCGAGTCAGCACTTCCTTGTAGTACAGCGGACCGCCAGGCTCGCCGGCAGCATCCGCAGGGAGGCAGTATATGAGGCACCAGTCTTCTGGAGAGCGCAACAGTGCGGCCGCGATGGTAGAGTCGGCCGCGGTTCGAGCGAGCAGCTTTTGGCTGCTGGATCGAATCGCGGAAGGCTCATGCCCTCGCGGAGCGACGCGGGTCGCGCGGCGCGCGTGTGTGCGAAATGCGACAACAGACGACAGACGAGAGGCGCCTGAGCGCTGTACGCCTGAACTTTTGTCGCCGCAATCGCCACCGCCGCCATCTTGACGAGCAGCGCGAGCGCGCTCGTCGGCGGCCAGCCGTCGCGGGCCGGGCCGAGCCCGGCCTCGACCGGCCGCGCCGCCGCAGCAGGCCGGGAGGCCCGAATGGCGGCCGACCAGCTGATAAGGACTCTCTCTCTTCCCCTCTGCGCCGGGGAGGCGTTGTTGGAGGCTAGGACGCAAGCGTCCGTCGCCCTTTTCAAACTCGGGGCCCACTCCGCTACGCTCCGACCCGAATTTGGAGGGCCTGCAAGTTTAAGGTGTTGCTGCGCAAAAGGGGTCGGACACAGGGCGCAGCTCATGCTAAGAGCTAGAAGAGGAGATAGAGAGAACAACCACCCTGTCCCGTTATTGCGTACACCAACACCACAAAAGCTCTCTCTCCTGCTCCTTGAGCACTTGAGCACTGGATAGGGTCGATTCCGCGTGGTACGGGACCCCTCGATCGTCTCGCCCTCCCTCACTGGAGTGTTCATGGGGGGGGGGGGGCATACTGTCCAAGCCTAAAGTCTGGGCAGGTTGTCGGGGACACGATCCCGGCATGAACACGCCGATCTGGCAAAATCCCGAGTGCCTACCGCACGCGCCGCGTCGCGGCGCGTGCGGTAGGCTTTGTTTGAAGTTAAAAGTCGAATCAGGGCGCCGTCGGCGTTGTCCCCCGATTTTGTCCCCCGGACCGCCCGTCCGGACCGCTCCGGGACGCACGCCGGCGAAACACCATCAAGCAACAAACAAAGCCTCAACATACTCGGGCTGTCGCCGTCCCAAACTGTCACTCCCCTCTCTCCCGGCCGGGGTGGGGCGCGCGCGGGGGCGGCGGGTGTGCGGCGAGTGTGCGGGATGTCTGTGGGCCCGAGAGCGATATGCCATGTCCGCCTTGCGTTGTTTCATAACATCGAAGGCTAAGCTCACAAACAAAACAACAACTCTCTCTCTCTCTCCGATCAAGCTGCTGTACGGCCCCGGCATCGCCTTCCCAGGCTTAGCTAGATTGAAAGATATTGTGGACATGATTCGTCTCTACAATATATACACTGACACTGAACCTCCCAGAGCTCGTCCCGGTCCGTCACGGCCATCCTCGGCCTCCGGAGGGCCCCCGGCCGCGGCGCGGTACGTCGGCGTCACAAATCCGACCACAGAGCACCGGGACGCGGTCGGGCGATCCGAGGCCCAACTAGGCGTATGCATTGCCTATCCAGGGCTATCACCTGGACCTATCAACAGGCGCCTGCGGCGCCGTGGTCAGGAGCTGCTGTTCACGCCGGTCCACACTTTCATAGTGGACAGTAACAAACACGGTACAGGATCGAGGTGCACGCTGCCGAAGCAGTGTCGTCCCCCTCTCCTCGACGGTGATGGCGGTGTGACCGATCGAGCTACAAGAGGAGCTTGTTCAGCAGGATCAGGGGTGGGCCGAGCAGTTCTATAGAACTAAGCTTAATATGAGCCATTTGGCCAACACACATTGCATTTCAACAACACAGACAGACACGCACGACTGACTTTTTTCCGTGACAACGATACGATGCAGACAGCAAGAAAGAAAGAGTAACGGGATGGGCGCAGGCAATGCGGTGAAGCGGATCGGTCGTGCCGACCAGTCACAGCAACTCGCGGGCCCTGCCGACGCCCCGCGCGAACTTTTCTTGTCTCGTCGCTCGATCAGCACCTTTTCTCGCCGATACGGTTTGGCGGAGCCACAGCTTCTCCCCGTTGGCTTCGGCACATGCCGAGCGAATGTGGCATGGAGAAGTGCGGTCTCCATAAACGAAGCGCAAGCAGCGACGAGCCAGCGGGGCGACCTGGGGCTCTGCCAAACCCAAGACGCAATCGCGCACAAAAAGCCGGTGGGCCGACCCCCGGAAAAGGGGTACGCTAGCCACCCCCTACCACTGGAGGCGGGCTGCCGTCTGCCATCGACCTACCTTCCTCCTCCCTTCCCCTGAGAGATCCCGAATGTCCTTAGCGTGGACGCACCCACGCACCTCCGCCGTCGTCCTTACCATAAAACCGACTTACCGCTGCAACGCGTTGACTTTGAATACCAACTGTGTCAAGTGTCAGACATGACTCGGTACTGTGTACGTGCGCGGCGCATGCGCATGCACAGTCCGTCGCCCGGGAAAGGCCCGCGTCCATGCTGCCGCGCTGGATTTCGTCACCGCGTGGACGTGGTCCGGTATACCGCGGTCCACCTACTACACCAACGCTGGGACATCTACGATTTCGCCGTTGCGGCTCGTAACCAGAGCCCGCTCATGTGTACGACATGAGCACTTGGAGAGCTTCGCATAAGGGCACATCTGGTCAAGGAGCGCCGGCCTCTGAAGGTGGAGAGGCTCGGGCGGCGGGCCGCTGCGCTCCCACCAGCACGCGCGGCTAAGCGTGCCGGTCGCAACGTGGCGCGCCAGAGTGACATCGCGCTCGGTCACAAGCAGCCCCCAGTGCAGGCTGAGATTGGTGCTCAGAGCGTGCCACGGCCATAGCGCGTGTGTGCCCAGGTAAGGCGAGAACCGGGAGAGCGCCATCGCGTACTCGTTCAGACGGCGCGTCGCGTCGCCCATCGCATCGACCGCATCGGGGGCGCCGAGAAAGAGCCAATCGATCATCCAGTACGTGAACTCTGCCGGTGAGCGCCCGCCGTATGTCACGGGACACTGCTGTCCGCCAAGCGTGCATGACGTCGCGCCACTCGGCGTGACGGCCGGCTCTCCTTGGCAGCGTCCCGGGCAGTAGAAGGGGAAGACGACGTCGCGTCCAGCCAAGCCGAAGACGGCGGGCGGCAGTCTCAGCGGCCGCAGCAGCGCTATGTCGTGCCGAGCCACGAGCACCAGATCGTACTTTTCGCCCACCTCGAGCTCGTGCTCGCGGCGAAGCGACAGAGCCTTTTCGAGCGACAGCACTTGCGACACGGTCCTCTCGCAGCCAATCGCAGGCACACGGCAGCGGAAGACGAGGTCGCTGGAGGACGAGGCGGTGGTGTTGGCGTAGCGCGTTGGCTCGTGCTTCTGACGGCGGATCATGCCACGCCACAGCTCCGTGAATGAAGTCGACGCTTCCGGCGACCAGCTGTGGGCAAAGACGTCAAAGGATATGTCGCGTGCATTGGATTGAAGCAGTTGGCTTGTCCAAGCAGCGTGCGCTACCTGAAGCAACCGCTCGTTCGCGCGATGTCGAGGCAGCATACTTTGTGAGCGCAAGGCCGAGCCACTCTGCTCGTCGAAGTGTCCATGCTTACCGAAGAATACAAGCGCCACACGCTTCTTGCGCCGCGGCAGAGCAGTGCCGCCTCGGCTCACCATACCGCTGCGGAAGAGCCGCTCGGACTTGATATCTTCCAAGCTACACTCATGGTACCAGCTGCAGTCTTGATATTGGAGCGAAACCGTGACGTACCTGCACTGCTCACAGCTTCGGCATTTGAGGACGCACTCATGGATTGCAGTGGGCCAGCCGCGCTTTGCATCCTGGCTGCTCAGGCCAAACGAGCCGACAAGTCCCATAGAGCAGTCGCCAGTGGCACCCGAGGTGATTCCACAGTGGCCGAAGTGCCAGGCGGTGCCGCCGTGCACGCTCCTGTCCCGCCATGTGTTGTTCGCCATGGCGGTGCTGGACTGGTCGGGATGATATGATGTTGAGGTAGCTCTCTGCGTAATACAGTATAGAAAAACGCTACGCGTAACTCCAGAAATACCCATAGAAATCAACCCTAACCCTAACCATAGGTTGTACCCGTTCACCACTACACAGCAACAAATCACCCTAAACGAACGCGGGAATCCAGAGTTCAAGTGCTCCAAGTTCACCTCAGCAACGCGCCCCAAAACGCAAAAAACACGCAAAATCCACTTCCCGGAAATCGTCGTCCAGACTCGACCCAGCTTGACTCCGCTGAGTTGGGATCGGTCCTGTTGCATTTCTTCCCCGCCCTCCAAGTGCTCCTCCCCTCCCCAGAGGGGCATCCACCCATCCCTAAGAAAGAAAGAAAACAGACAACCCAAGGGAGGGATGGGAGGACGGCACGCCGCCACCACACAGGGATTTTAAGGAGAGGAGTGTGATGCGCTAGCCGTCGCCCACCCTAGGGAGTCTGCCTCTTCCTATCTCTTTTCGCAGTCTCTCGCCGATTCTCGCTGCAACCTTCATGCCACCTCGCGGCCGTCCCACTCTCGTCGTTCTCTCCCTTGTCACTTCCTCCTCTGTCGCGTCATTCTCTTCTGCCTCGTCCTGCGCCGCCGCCGCCTGCCGTTCCCTTGTTCTCTCGGCTTCTTTCGCCTTTCGGCGCAGCTCCGCCCTCCTTGCTGCATATCCTGGCCCCTCGATCCACCCATCCCTCCTCAAATCGCGATTTCCGCATTTCTTCCCCGCCAAAGTGCGTGATGGTCGCGCACGGCCCCGTGCTTCGCACGCTCTACGGCTCGCTGCTTCGGACGGCACGATCGATTGAGGCCCTGACCAACAAGCATAACGCGCACTTTGTCGGGCAGGTCCTGCGGAGGTCGACGATCAAGCAGTTTGCTGAGGCCTCTCTCGTGTCGCTCGTCTCGAAGCCCTTCTCTGCGGCCGACGGCTCGAGCCCGGCGTCGCTCGTGCGCGAGGCTTTCCGTGGCAGAGGCCGGCACCTCGCTGCGACCGAGGCGCGATCCACTTGCCCGCCGTCGCATTCGCTCGACGACGCGTTCGCCGCCCTCCGCATCGGGAACGATATCTTGTCGTGGCTCCGCCTGAACGGCACGCTGCACAGGCTGCACGAGACCGATGCGGACGTGCTGGAGGGCGCCTGCGCCATTGCGGACGCGTTGCGCGGCGACGGCGAGCATTGCCTGCGCGGAACGCTGGCCGAGATCGAGCGCTACGCCACCGAGGCAGCCGATTCTTGTGTGAAGTAGCTCGGAGATCTCTCGGACCCAGCCGCCAACTTGCGAGTAGGTCGAGTCGCTGCTCGAGGCGGACAGCGTCGCGCGCGGCGAGGTGAAAGGAGGGACGAGCACGCACACACACCGAGGCTCACACACTTTCAGCGGCCCTCGGCGCCTCGGTTGCAGGTGGAGGACCTGCTTGAGATTGCCGACGAGGTCAAGACGCTGCTTGAGGCGGACGGGGCGAGGCTCGCGGGCGATGCGGCGGGCCGGCTCCGGACGCTGCAGCGCATCAACACGATCCTGTACGACAAGCTCGGCCTCAAGGGCCACTACGGCTCGGGTGACTTTGCGGACATCTCCCGCGGCAGCGGCATTGACCAGGCGCTCGCGCGGCGGCGCGGGCTGCCCATCGCTCTGTGCGTTATCTACCGCGCGGTCGCGTCGCGGCTCGGGCTGCCGGTCCAGGTCACAAACTTCCCGAACCACGTGCTGCTGCGCCTCGAGACGGAGGGCGAGGGAGCGGTGCAGACGGCGGAGGGAAGCGAGGCAGAGGCTGGCGCGGGCGTCGACGTCTCTGCCGTGACGGGCCTCTTTGTCGCCGACTACGGCCCGCACGGCCCCGAGGTGGTGGACGTGCAGGTGGGGCGCTATTGGGGCGAGGTGCGGCTGGTGGCGACCAAGGTCACCGGCGACGCGCACGTCCCGGTGAGATCGCCCTTTTCACCAGAGACCTCCCGCAGAGGGTCGAGACCGCCAGAGAGAATCTGAGATGGTCAGAGATGACCGGCGACGCTCGCGAGATCACCCGAGACCACGCTGGGGCGAGCGTGGGTGCCGAGAGGTCGCGACTCGATGTAGGCGGGGCAGCAGAGCTGGTGGGCGAGGCTGGCGGCGGGCGACGGCGGCGCAGACCCCCCTGTGGGCGTCGGGGCCGAGGCGCTGCCCCTCGTGCCGCCCCTTCCCTCGAGCGCGCCTCTCAAGCTCGAGGCGGGCGTGCAGCTCGCCGACGAGGGGTTCGTTAACCCGCGCTGGGAGGAGGGAGCGAGCCTCGAGGCGACGGCGGCGAGGGGAGAGGAAAAGAAGTCACACACACCCGCACCTCGAGCTCCGTGCGCACGCGCTTGCAGGTGCGGTCGGCGAGCAGCCTGCTGCTCACCTTCGGCGAGGCGCGAGGCAGCGATGCGGCCGCGCCGCCGCTGCTGTTTGAGCGGTGCGACCCGGCCGGCCTCTGGTTTGTCGACGCGTTTCGCGGGGGCGCGCTGCTCCCGCCGCAGGTGTGCGCCGAGATCCTGGCGCGCACCGGCATGCCTCCGGACCAGCACGCGGGCTGCTTGGAGCCGGCCCCGCCGGCGAGCGTGTGGGCTCGCATGACCCGCAACTTGTGGGCGGCGGCGCGGCGGGGCGGTGACGAGACGAAGGCGGTGTTTTGGGAGGGGGCTGGCTGCGGGCTCGACGAGGCTGCAGGTAGAGCGAACTGACATGCCCGGTTGTACACTTGCGACACTTGCGACGCCACCGCCCCTCGTGATTCCCGCGCGAGCCGTCCAGTTCGACAGCTCTTCTCCGATATATGCCGTGTCTGACAATTTAAACCCCCGCACAAAAAACGCTGGTTGTTTTACTACAAGATTAAATCAACATTACATGCACATGTGCATGTGCATGCACGTAAACCCCCGCACACAACACGCTGATTTTTTCACTACACGTTAAGGTCAAAGCCTCAAAGGTGCGGCTCTCATGCCAGTTTCGGGGGGCAAACCCTGCCCGGCCCCTAGAGCCCCAGGTAAGGCCCAGGTGTGGCCTAGGGCATCAGAAGGGACCAAGAGGAGTCCAGGCTGAGCCATAGAGCCCATGTCTTCGCCCCCGATGGTCGCGTTCAAATGCCCGGAACGGCCGTTGCAGTGGTGTCCGGCCGGCGCGATCACCGAGCTGTGACGCTCAGGGAAGCCTGATGAGGTGCTGGTTTCTTTGCCCAGGGCTGGCCTACGGCCCGTGCTGGATCAGCTGAGCAAGGTTTGGGGAGAATCCCCCACTCAGATCTTCAGATATTTTGACGGATGACCGAAAATGGGCAAAAACGGGGTGATTGACACACATCAATCTATGTGGCTGCTAAGTGCTATTCTGCTGCAACCATGTTCGAGCGAGCTCGCCGAGCCCGGGGTCTGCCTCGCACTTTGCGGGATGGTAAGCGCGTCTCGCCAGCACTGGACTCGCGAACTGCTTGCGCTTGCTCGCCGACGAGTGGCCTGCAACCATGCTGCCCAGGTGCTCGGGCCGCAAGTGCGAGAGGGAGCACCAAGCGGCGCGCTCGCAGAGGGGTGCGAGTAGGGCCTCATGGAAGCCCTTCGCGCGCTGCGTGGTTAGCGCTCGAGCAATCTCGCTGGCGACAGCGTGCGACATGCGTAAGAGTGGCCAGACGACCGCGGTGAGAGACCTGTCTTCGGCCGAGCGGCATCGTGTCGTGATGTTTAGAAAGCACGTGCGCTCGTGGGCAAAGTAGGAGGTGCTGGGGTGGTGAATGGTGCTGGCGATGATGTGCGACTCATCGGCCGAGTAAGCGTTGAACAGCGCGCTCCACGGGCCAGTGAAGAAGACATCGTCCTCAATCTGCCAGGCCCGATGGCAGGACGTGTGGCTGCGCAGTAGCCACAAAACAAAGGCAGCCTTCGAGTAGCCCACGAATTTTCCGCCAAACAGGCCCCATGGCGAGCTGGGCACGACTAGCGGCTGCCTGACGAGGCGCACATTTTTTTGCGGCCGCAATTTGGCCACCGCCTCGCCAGTCGGTGTGTGATTGCGGCCGTGGAGAACGTAAACCATGCGGTCGCCTGCACTTGCCACCAGCGCAGCCAGTCGAGCAAGCCGGCATCCGTGCTCTAGGGAGCGCGTGATGTACGCGATGCATTCGCCGGAGCGCCCCATCGCCGGCACAGCTCCATCCATGTCTGATCGGAAGTGCCCGCCGCCGCCGCGCACGTTCGTTGGGCATATGCCGGCCAGGGTGGCCAAAGACGACGTCACCGCCGACACACACGACTCGCAGCTTGCTTTGGTGTCCATTGGCGGAGTGCACCGATTCCAGCCATCTGCAGCGACGCCAAGTAGGGCAAAGAAGCATGAGCCTGGGGCCCGGCGGACAACGTTTCGCAGACTGACCGATGAGTCGCCTGAGCTGACTGGAGTGGAGGATCCCACGCAGATCGACGATCCGGACGCGGCTGCCAGCAAGGGCGTGTCGGTAACACGTCAGCGTGAGCTCGTCATTTGCGTGGTGGCGACCGTGCTCATCGTTGCTGCTGGCTGTGTCGGCACGCCAGTGGTGCTCATGCATTCACCCCTCTCAGCCCCATCGAGCGATCGAGCACAAGCGGTGCACGAGACCCTGTTGGCGCCGCCACCCATACCGCCACCGCCGCTACCGCCGCCGCCTCTTCCGCCGCCCTCACCGCCGCCGCCCTCGCCGCCACCTTGGCCTCGGCCGCCGCCTCCGTCGCCCTCTCCTCACCCTCCACCGCCGCCGCAGTGCGACGACACGCAGTGCACAAGTGCCGGCAACGACTGCTGCGCCCCCGCTGGGGACACCGCAACCTGCCGCCACGGCTGGACCGCCGTCCGCAATCAGCGAGACTGCTTTGGCTTCCGTGGGGCGAGCTACACCTGCTGCCCCCCGATGCCCCCCTCGCCGCCGCCGCCGCCATCGCCGCCCTTGCCACCGCGGCCGCCTCGCCCCCCTCCGCTGCCGCCCATGTCGGCAGCGGAGCGCGCGCTGGTGCGTGTTACCAGCGCCTTCCAGTCTCACGGCCTCCTGACCCACTCCGTCGGCGGCGGCAGCCGCTGGATGCAAGACCTCATGCGCACGTCGAGCCGGCACGACTTCACCGTGGAGCGCGACTGCGGCGAGCACTGCTCCGCGTTCACGCTGCTGCACCCCGACCTGCCGTTGTCGGTCTTTGCATCGGGCGACGGCCATGACAACGGCATCGGGCTCGCCTTTGAGGCCAGCGACGAGGTTTGGGACACCGCCGTGCAATGCATGTCTGTGCTGGACAGCAACAGTGCGAACCGCGCCTGCTGCGCCTGCTTCGAGCGGCAGTATTGCCCGCTCCCGAGCCTCAACCAGCGCGACTCTGGCTACTGCCACGCCGCGTGCTCTGGTGGCGGGGCGGCCGAGCAGCTCCGCTGCAAGCAGCTCGCAGCGGGCTGCGGCGTCAACACGATGACGGCGCACTGGGAGCGCTTCCCCGGGCAGGCGCAGTGCAGCGAGCAGGAGATTCGCGACGGGCGCTGCCGGATGTGCGAGCGCCCCCAGTGGTGCGCAGACCCCGGCTCGGCCGGCTTCGCTTTCGGCGGCCACGCCGACACGCCCGAAAAGTGGCTTGAGCTCTTTTTCCACAAGCCGTTTCCGGGCACCCGCCAGTGCAAGTACAAGCCGAGCCAGAAGGAGGCGTGGATCGAGACGGCGCGCGAGTACAACCGGCGGCGGCAGACCGACACCGACAATGAGCCCGCGCTCGAGAATGAGGTCAACCTCTACGTCGGGCCCGGCGACGGCGGCGTCGAGGCCGCCTTGGCGAAGCACTTTGTCGGGCTCCTCTTCTTCCGCAGCACTGGCCAGCAGGCGAGGGACCTCGGCGTGCTGCGCCGGCTGCGCGACCACCTCAGCGGCAGCCTCGGCTGGCAAGTCCCCATCTACGCGGTCACGAACGAGCCGCCCGGGCAGCTGCGCCACTGGAACCACGCGCACAAACTGGACCTGCGCGCGCCGCCCTACAACTTGCAGCTGGTGAGCTAAATTAGTGTGACTACAGGGCGGTGAGATGGAACGTCGGGGGCGTGGGCAGGCTAGATGCGTCGTTGTGGATTGGGCGCGGGGGATGTGTGTAGGAGCACCGCAGAATTCTTCAATTTCAAGCCGCTGTCAACGCCGGCTGACCTGACAGCACCCGGTGCAGTGACTTGCTCGCTCTCATCAAAGAGCGACCTGACCTGACCTGCCTCGCTCTTTTGCCGCCCTCCGCGAGTCCACGCCTCGCACCCGCCGCTAAGCCGGCCCGATGTCCGATTTCTTCGACATCGATTCGTACCTGAACCGGATCGGCTTGCCCGCACCCACCGACGAGCAGCGATACCAAGACGGCCTCATCCTGCTGCGCGACATCATGGCGGCGCACTCCCGCACAATCCCGTTTGAGAATCTGGACATCGTCCTCAAGCGGAACTTGCCCGTCTCGCTCGAGTCGATGGAGCTGGAAGCGAAAATGGTGGCGGGCGGCCGCGGCGGGTACTGCTTTGAGAACAATTTGCTGCTCTGCTTTGCGCTCCGCGCGCTGGGGTTTGGCGTGACGCCGATGCTCGCGCGGGTCCGCTGGAACAAGCCGCCGGGCGATCCGCAGCCGCTCGGGCACCTCGTGCTCCTCGTGACGCTCCCGCAGTGGCCGGTGTCGGCCGCCACGCCATTTTCGGGCCAGCTCTCAGTCGCGGGCACCCCGTACCTGGCCGACGTCGGCTTCGCAGGCGGACGGCGGTAGCAGAGGGGCCAGGGGCGGGAATAGCGAGAGGGGTGGCCACCTCTCCCGTACCCTCGCTCAGGCACAAACTCGATCGCTCCGGTTGCCGCGGCGAGCGCAGAGGTGCAGCAGCTGCCCGAAGGCCACTTCCGTCTGCTGTCGGAGCCGTTTGGCTGCACCGGCAGCGGAGGCATGTACAGCGCGGAGCTGGGCCAGCCGCTGCCGCCCCCGCTGAGCGACAAGCAGTTCGTGCTCCAGCGGCAGGTGCGAGGCACGTGGCGGGACCTCTACATGGTGCGCGAGACACTTCCGAGACACGTCCGAGACACTTCCGAGTCGCTTCAAAGCCCGGCCCGCCCTGGCCTGCGTCAGGTGCGGAACGAGCCCGCCTGCGACGCAGACATCTCCCAGGCAAACTGGTACAACTGCACCCACCCGGACGCGCGCTTCGTCTCGTCCTTCTTCGTCTCGCGCGTCGTCGGCGACGAGAGGCACCACATCGTCAACGGCGAGACCCCCCCCCCCCCCTCCACCTTCCCACGCGGCGACTCGCTACTCCTCGCTGAGTTGCCGCAGGCTCGTACATCTTCCGCAAGCCCGACGGAAGCATCAACGAGGAGGTTGTCACCTCGCGCGCGCGGCTGATGCTGTTACTCACGTCGGCCTTCGGCATCGCGCTTCCCGACGAGACCGCCGATATCGACCGCTTCCTCCAGCCGCCGTCAGAGCAGCCGCCGGAGCAGCCGCCGGAGCAGCCGCCAGAGCAGCCGCAGCAGCAGCCGCGGCAGCCGCCGCCGCCTCCGCGCCCGATCGCGGGCGGGCTCGGCGTGGGCGGCGCGCTGGCTGCGTCGCTCACGTCTCGCGATAGCAGCGCCGACCTCCGGCGGTCAGTCTCGGTCCCGGGGCGCGGCGCGGAGGCCAGGGCCGGCAACGGGGCTGGGTACGGCGGCGGGCAGAGCCCGGACGAGGACGAGTTTGGGGACGAGCCGCTGACGCCGCAGCTGTCTGTGCTGCCGCAGCACCCGCAGGCGCAGGGGCTGCCGATGCCGTCGCTGCCTCCGCCGCAGGTGCCGCCGAACGGCGCGCCGGCTCGCCGGCCGCCGCCGCCGAGGCCGCCGCCGCCGAGGCCGCCGCAGGGGCCGGGCAAGGTCGCCGCGTCGGTGGGCAAGGGGGCGGGGGGCGGCAAGGGGAGCAGCCTCGGAAAGGGGAGCCCGAAGCGGCCGCGCGAGGCGGGGGGCGGAGGCGGAGGAGGAGGCGGCGGAGGAGGCGGCGGAGGAGGGGGCAGGGAGCCCCCCGTGCTCGACCTGCTCGACGGAGGCCCGGCGAGCAGCGCGGGCGCGGCCGCAGGCTCGGCGGGAAAGGTGCACCTCCGCGTCGCTGGCTACTACTCGTGGTCGCTGCCGTACAGCGGAGAGAAGGGCGAGCTCGGCACCGCCTTCACCTTCGCAGTCGACGGCATGTGCGGCTTCCCCGGCTGCCCGCTCCCCGAGCGCCACCCTGGGCCGCACCAGATCGCCGTCGTGGACTCGAAGCGGAAGCGGCAGCCCAAGCCGCAGTTTGGGTCGTGAGAGCCGCTCTCGCGCTGCTCCCCCCCCCCCCCCGCGCGCGCTCCCGCGGCGTGGATCGTGAGAGACGCCCTCTCTCCCGCTCCCGCGGTGCTCTCCCGCTCCCGCGCCACCCCGCACTGCGGCACCCGCTGCGGCGCTTCGCCTCGCGCTCGGGCCGAGGGGTTGCGCTTGGTCTCTCCGGTAGTCTACCCCCACCGGGGCCCACCCCCTGCGCCCCTGCGCCCTGGCGGCCACACGCATGTCGACGATGTCTTCTCTTCCCCCCTCATTCGCGACTAATACGTGATACATGTACACATCTTCGAGTAGCACGGCGCGAAACATTCTTTTCGCCGAGAGGGCCTGTAAAAATTCTTTTCGCCGAGCATCCCCATTTTGGCCCCCGCGCTGTGCCACACACATGCCGACCATGCTACTGCTCGGAAGCGTCGCCGCAGCGATGCACCCGCCGCTGCGGCAAAGCTGCCCACTGTTGCCGTGCTTCCAGCCCTCGCGCCGCTCGCCGCCGCCGCTCTGCCAACTCGGTGCCGGTGCGAGGGGCCGCCTCTTTCTCGACCAAAAGGAGGCGATGACTCGTCAGGCAGAGGTCGAGCGTGATCTGCTCGCGCCGCACACCCAGCCCATGGTTGTGCCAAAGCCGAGCAAGAAGAAGGCGCGGGCCATGGGAGGCGGCGGGGGCGGCGGCTTTGGGGCAAAGGCGGCGGTGGCTCCGAGCGCCGAGGAGATCGCCACCGCGCTGCGGGTGGACACGCTCAAGTCGGAGGGCGTGTGCTATGTCCCGGGTGTCCTCCGCAAGGAGTCGGCCGCGGGTCTGCTCGAGTGCGTCCAGGACGAGTTGAAGCGGGCCTACGCCGCTGTTGAGGCGGAGCCCGAGTCGAGCGTCGCCCGCTTCAACGTGCCCGTCGACACCTTCGACCCGCTGCGTGGGTACCTGCTGCTGCCGCTGCGCGACGAGAGGTCGGTGGAGGCCGGCGAGCCGGACGGCGTGATGGTGCGCGCGCTCCGCGAGTGCCTCAGCAGCGGGAGTGTGCTGGGCGAGCTGTTTGGCTCCTCGCTGTGCGGCGGCGGAAAGGCGGAGTGGTACGACCTGGTGGCGCTGCGGACCGAGGCGGGGGCGGCGCGGCAGCCAATCCACTACGACACGCCGTACCAGAAGGCGTGCGGCCTGCGCGACGGAGGTGCCGTGCAGCCTCTCGGCATGTGAGCCGCCCTCTCGGAGCCCGCAGGTGCCCGGCCTGTTTTGCGCCTTCATCGCCATGTCGGACGTCGAGTACTCCAAGGGCGCGACGGTCTTCCTGCCGGGCACGCACCGCGACACGGCGGAGCGGCAGGCCTTCGAGCAGGGCGGCGAGGCGCGCGACGCGATGCTCGGCGCGAAGCAGTCGGCGTTCACGGCGCTCAAGGCGGGCGACGCCGTCGTGTTTGACATGCGGACGCTGCACGCCGGCACCGCCAACCTCGCCTTCTCGGAGGGCGGAGGGCAGCGTCTGCTCTTCATCCTCACCTTCCGGAATCGCAAGGCCAAGGGGGCGCTCGGCCACGCACCCAACCTGAGGCCAAACTACCGCCACCGCGGCATCACGCTCGCCGAGATGCGGAGCGAGCTCGAGAGCCCAGAGCCGTTTGCGGGGGACGCCAGCGACGGGAAGCCGTTTGGAGACGGGCTGTAGAACAGGCATTACTTAACTTATTCGGAGCACTGGTGGAGTTATTCGTGTCTGATTTATTGGTGGGGGGTCCTCCTGCCGTGTGCGCTTGCATGACATGGTGTCCATAAATAATTAATAAAACGGAAACGAGCGAGATCTTTGGTGTTCTTTTACAGTGTGAATTCTTCTTCGCTAGTTCCTGCTTGACTCACCTTCGCAGTCTCGCGCCTCTTGTGCATGGTCCTGACGGACATCTTCCGCTGCTGGCGTCTCTCCTTCTGGCGGCGGTTCGACCGGAGCCTGCTCGCCGCGGTGGTGCACCTCCTTTTCGTGTGCTACCTCGTGGAGGGCCTGCGGCTCCATAGCTTCCTGCAAGCAAGCGCCTCCGAGTTTGCCTCACTGCGCGCGGGCGCCGTGATGAAGGAGCTGGCAGAGGCGTGGCCAGACAACCTCGTCGTGACGCTTCAGCGCTCCGCGGGCGGGGAGGTCCACCTCGAGGCCTCTCGGGACCTCCCGTTTGAGATCCTCGCGCCGTCGTGGGCCACGTCTCTCTTCATGCTGATCGTGGGCTATCTGACGAGCGCGCCCTCCGCTGCGAAGGCGTGGGAGACGCCGCTCTCGATGCGGCTGATCTTCACCACCGAGACCGAGCTCTACAAGTCGCTCATGGACAAACAGACCGACGTCACGGTGGCGGCGGCTGCCACGGACCAGCGCGTCCGCTTCTACTACCCGCTGTTTGGCACCGGCGCGCTGATTGAGGCGCCGTACTCGCTCGATACGCGCGAGGTGCGAAACCACCTCTTTCCCTTCGCCGAGGGCCTCTGCGAGCCGTGCGCCCTTGGCGACCCCGAGTGCACGCGGATGCTCGACGACCTGGGCTTCGACAGTGCAGACGCGTTTATCTGCCGCAAGCCGCACCTGCGTGCGCTGGCGCGGCGCGCCTCGAAGCGACACTCCCCCGCCATGCAGAATGCGATGCAGCTCGCCGCGGCGGTGGCGATGCTGGGAGTCGGCGCTGCCTTTGCCGTCGGCGAGGCGCGCGCTTCCGCATCGCGAGACATCGGCCCGGGAGAGGGGGGGAAGGGGGGGCAGGGAGGCGAACGTGCTGACAGCAGGAGCCTCCCGCCGTATCAGGAGCTTTTCCTCGTGCTGATACTGCTGCCGCCGGCCCTACTCGCCGCACGCGGAGCTGCACACGCTGAGGCCGTGGAAGGAGGCGGCACGCCCCACCACCCCCCACCCCACCACCCCGCCACACACACACCCCGTCCTCACTCCGCCGCCACTCCCCGCGCCCCGCTCTCACGCCAGCCTCGCACTTCGACAGGCCATCGCCCGCCGGGGGGCGGCGAGGCTCGCTGGGGCCTCCTCCGCACCCTCTCCCTCCTCCTCTACTCGCGCACTCCGGGCAAGCTGATCGAGGCGCGCACCGGAGGGGCGGCAACCCAAACCGGTCCGCGAGACAAAAGCGCCTGCCACTAGGCTGCGCTGCCCAGTCGGCTCGGCTGGCTCGCCCAGCTCGCCGTCTCCCTCGCCCTCGTCGCCACCGCGATGCGGCGCCGCCCGCCGGAAGTCCCGGCGCCCCACCTCCCCGGCGGCCGCCGCGAGGGCGCTATCGCGGCTTTCTTCGCTGCTTTTGGAATCGTGTTGAGAGCGCCGCTGGCGCAGCCCGTGATCGAGCCGCAGGGCGTGGTGGTTGGGGTGCGCGTGCCCGATGAGGTCGTGAGGGCGCATGAGGAAGATCTCAGGGCCGCGCGCGCCGTGGGCGAGATGCGTATCGGTGGGCAATACGCACCCCCGCGGGCCTTACGCACCCTCGCTGCGGCGTTCCGGGGGGAGGACGTGACGGAGGAGGAGCGCATCTCGGCGATGGCGGCGGTGATCATTCAGGAAATGGGCATGTTCGTGGCGGCGCCGGGCCTGGTCGGGTTGAGTGAGGTGCAGCTGCGCGCCATGGCGGATGCGGCGGCGGAGGCCGAGGCGGACAGCAACGCGGCGGCGAGGTTTGCGAGCATCGACGAGGCCGAGCAGGCCATCCGGTCCGCGGCGGTGTTGCTCGGCCTCGAGCCCGGCGGGAGCGTGCGGCAGCAGGCCGAGACCATCCTCACAATGCTGGGGGTGGGCGAGGAAGCCGCGCGCGCTTGGGACGAGGCGCTTGCGGGTCAGACGCGACGGCATGCTCGCGAGGCCGCCGCGCCGCCCGCCACCGCCCCGCCGCCGCCGCCGCCGCATGCATCGCCGCAGGGCGACACCCCTCTCCCCGCTGCGCTTCGTGCGCCGCCACCGGCGTCAACACAAGCGACGCCGCCACGGCCAGCAAGGGCATCGACGACTGCGACGGCGACGGCGCCGACGCCCACCCCGACACCGACGGCTGCACCGCCGCCGCTGCCACTCCCGACGCCGCAGCCGATGCCCACGGCACCGCCGCTGCCGATGCCGGCTGGGTTCCCGCCCGCAGCAGGGATGTTTCCTCACCCCTTCTGGACAGGGCACGCGCTCACGCCCGAGGGGGCGCTGCAGCTGCACGCGCACCAGGCCGCCCTCGCGCAGGCCGCGTGGTTTGATCAGCTTCAGGCGCGCGCTCAAGAGGCGTGCCGGCAGCGGCGACGCTGAATCCGATCTCGATTCTGAGGCATCTGTTCCTCTCGTCATTTTCGCGTTTGTTTCGTCCTCGCGTCGGGTGTGAGTTTTTGATAATGTTGGGGCGTTTTGGTGTGCTGGGTCGCATGTACGTAGTTTAAGCGAGGGGTGTGTGACGCATTCAGTCGTCGTATTGTTTTGCCGAACCCCGCCCACAACAGGAGTCGGAGCTCAATCGTCAATGAGGAGCGCTCGTCACACGAGAGGGGGGGCACGGGCACGGGGCCCACACGCGGCCACGGCCCACGCGCCACGGGGCCGGCGGCGCGCTCGCTTTGTGGTCGCTGGGGTGCGTGCGCGTTCTCGCGCGCCGGGGACCGTGTGCAGTTGACAGCGGCCGCACAACGCGCGCAACGGCACAGGGCACGCACACACACACTGCACACGGCACACGCGGGTCTTCTCTTCCTGCTCTGTTGGTGACGAATTGGTGCGGGGTGCGCTGGGAAACGAGCTCGCGTCGTCTCACCGCGTGTTCTCCGGCCGTCCTGTTCGCGCCAGTCTTCTGGCGGAGCGCGCGTCTCTCGCCTCTCACTCCTCGTTGCGGCGAGACGCGAGCTGCCACAGGTCGTCGCTCACGTCGCGCGGCAGCTCGCTGCCCGTGAGCCGCCGGACGGCCGCGTTGAGCCAGAAGTGCCACGCGCGGAGTCGCCTCGCGGAGTAAAAGTCGAGGGGCCGCGCGAGCAGCGAGCGAACGGCCAGCCCCGGCCCGTCGTCGATCAGGACGGGGCCATCGGCTGCAGCGGCGGCGTGCTGGGCCGTGCGGGCGCGGAGGCGAGCGTGAAGCCCTTCCTCGGCGGTGTCAGCGGCGACGAGGTGCCACACGTTCGTCTCCTTGGTCTGGCCGATGCGGTGCACCCGCCCGACAGCCTGGTAGGATGCATCGGACATGCTTAAGGGCGGTGGCGCTGCCGCTGGGACCCCAATGTCGCCCACCAAGGGCCAATGTTGCCCACCAAGGGCGGGCCCTCACTACACCCCCGCCTGGCGCATCGTGCCGACATCCTCCACGGGGTCGAGGAAGACGACGTGCTGCGCCACGGTCAGCGTGAGCCCCGCCGCGTCCTGGCCCAAATGCAGGAGGCAGACCTGGATGGAGGGGTCGTTCATGAAGGCGGCGATCGACTTGGCCGCAGTCTTGCCCGTCTTGCTGACGCGGACGGCGCCGATCTCGACCCGCTTGAGCACCTTCTTGGCATGCTCGAGCCCCTCGTTGTACGAGGCAAAGATCACCGCCTTCTCGGGCCGCACCGAGGAGAGGAGCTGCACCAGGCGAGTGAGCTTGGTCGAGAGGTGGACGTCCTCACGCACCTCGACGCCCGCGAGTGACGACGCGAGCGGGTGCGGCGGCGAGCACATGACCAGCTGCCGCGGCCTCTCGGGCGACGGGAAGGGCGAGGGGCCGAAGAGGGTCGTGGCCGGCAAGCAGACCCGCAGCAGCGCGTCACGCCGCTTGCACATCGCCAGCCGGGCGGACCGCATGCGCGAGTGCTCGTCCGGGAGCATGCTGAAGATGAGCTCGTTGCCTCGCTTTCGCGGGTCCAGGCGCTCGAACTGCTCCGCCACGCTGATCCGGATCACGTGACTGCGGACTGGGGGCGGCTGCAGGTAAGACGGGGCGAGGAATTTGCCCTCGAAGGTGGTCTGGACCCCCGACGCCGAGAAAGCGTTCCGACCATAGACCGGCGCCGGGCGCTTCGTCGTCCAGATGCCCGACGCCTCGTCGAGGTAGACCACACCGTGGTAGTTGTGTCCGATCTGAGTCGTGTGCGGCCCCCAGACGCCCCACTGCAAGAGCTGGTAGCACGTGCGCTTCGTCGTGGTCGGGCTCTCCTCCGGGGAAAGCTCCGAGACGATGGCGGCGAGGCGGGATGGGTGCGCGGGTCGGAGGTAGGAGGGCAGCTGCGATCGCTTCGTGGGCCAGTTCAAGACCTTGCACTCGGCTGGGGAAGGCAGCCACTCGCGAGCCTTGTACTCGGCTGCACGGAAGACGAAGGCCACGCCGCAGGCGGCCTGGGCCACCTCGGTCGGTGCCCCGCGCGCGACGTAAGAGAGTCCGGCGAGCTCGAAGAGCACGCCTATACGGGAGGTGCTGTGGGACGCGTCATGGACACGTCCTGGTCAGCCCGGTGCGCACATGAGACGTGTACGGAAGTCGCAATCGTGCATCGTCCGGCACGAGCCGAAAACGCGATGCCGCTCGACGCTGTCCACGTTGGACAGGAGCCGCTGCGCCTCGTACCGCATGCAGGTGAGGAGAGGCGCGTCGCCATCCTCATCGAGCTCCTCAATGCGGTAGCTGTTCCAGCTGTAGCGCACCGCGTGGCGCATGACGGGATCCCCGCACGTGGGCGGGGCGAGGCAAGCGTACTTCAGCTGTGGCATCACCGTGCTGATGGCGTGCGTGTCTGCCCGGCTCTTCGCGGCAGGCAGCACCAAATTCTCATAATACCACCGCTCGACCGGCGAGAGCTCGAGGGTCAGCGTGTGCACGCGCTGCGGCGGCAGCGACACCTCGCCGAGCACGCGCGCCTTTGTCTGCCGCCACAGTTTGCCGCGCAAGAAGTGGTGCATCGCCGCCGCCGCCCCCCGCCTCTTGCTCTGGAACGCAATGACGAGTGAGCGCCATCCCGCCTCGGCGAGACCGCCCGCGCCGAGCACGAACTCGACCAGCGGCTCGAGGTCAGAGACGCCGCTGCTGACGGGGGTTCCGGTGACCGCCCACCGATTGACGGCCGCGATCGCGCGCGCTGTCTTGCTGCACTGCCGAGTGCCCGAGCCGCCAATCATCTGGACCTCATCGAGAACGACGCGCCAGAAGAGGAGCTTCGTGAGCGGCGACTGCTCCACCTACGGTCGGTCGTTTGCCGCCGTGAGCTCCCCGGCGTTGTGGTGTCCTGTCCTCGATGTTTATTTCCACCTTGAACCGCTTCACGTGCCGCAGGCTCGTGGTGGTGCCGTTTGTATCCTCCAAATAGTGAACCTCGCGCCCGAGCACATCGTACCTGGAGCGCGAGAGTACCGGCTCAGAAAGGCGTGAAACCAGAAAAGAGCGACGTGGACTGGGCGCGCACGTGCAGAGGACGACGTCGGCATCGAGGAACGCGTCGACGCCCATCGGATTCTGACGGTCCATGCCCGTGTATCGCATCCAGCGCAGCCCGGCGGCGTGCTTTGCCAGCTCGCTCTCCCACTGAGAAGCGATCGCCGCCGGTGTCACGATGAGGGTAGCTCCGCAGGACTTCGGATTGGCGGTTGACTCTGGTGAGGGAGCGACAGCCAGTCTCTTGGCTGGTGCGGAAGCCGCCGCTCTGGCCACCCTCTTGGGAGCCGATCTGGGAGCTGACTTCGAGGCAGCAACAAGGCGGTGATCATACACGAGGGCAATGACCTCCAGCGTCTTGCCGAGACCCATCTCGTCGCAGAGGAGACCGCCGCCGGTGCCGGCCTCGCAAAGGAGCTGGTCGTTGGCGGCGATCTCTCGCGACTTCAGCCAATGCAGCGCTTGTCGCTGGTACTCGTGCAGCTTTGTCGTCAGGCCAGCGGGCTGCTCAGCGAGCGGAGCCGCGTCGTCGGCTTCAGTGCAGGGCCGAAGCGCCTCAAGAAGTGCGTCGGCCGAGAAGCCGCCAGCGGAGGCGTCGTCGGAGCACGCCGGGAAGAGCGCGTCGTGCGTGGCTTGGGAGAGCGGAGCGACGGAAGAGGAGGGCGAGGAGTACGACATCGAGCTGTCCTGCCGCCCGCACGCTTTTCACGAAGTCGGGTCCGGGGAGATCCCTGTGTCCGTCAGTCAGGGGGCGCGTCGTGAAGCGCCGTGAGAGAATCCGATTTCTTTCTGAGTGCCGCCCGTTGTCAGTGTAGTGGGGAGATGGAAAACAATGGAGCTGCTGCAAAATCGTCTTTAGAAAAAAAATCTCCCTGCCCCACAGCAGCGCGAGGGCGCGATTGGAGCCTCTGCACGGGCTGGAGCAGCCCGTGTGAGCAACCCGTGTGAGCAACCCGACGTGCCCATGCCCTGCGCGCCTTGGCGGCCTCGCGCCAGCGGGGATGATATGGACGTTGACGAGGCTGCCGTCGTCGACGGCACGCTGGCGAGTGGGCGGTCTGCAGAGGAGGACGGGCTGCTTGACTGCTATCCGTACACCTTCTCACCACTGCTGCTCTTCGCCGAGGCCTCCTACTTTGACAAGGGCTACTCCAACTACAACTCCGTCGCCGCCTTCTTCGCCGGCGTGCTCGAGGTCAACATGCTCGAGAATGTGCTGTACGAGCGCAAAAACATGCTGTACGAGGACCTGCTGCACCACGTGGCGTCGCAGCGGATGTTCGTCTCGTGCTGCATCGACGCGCACTTCACCGCCTTCCAGGTGCTGGACGAGCGCAACCTCCTCTACTACGACCCGCTCTCCGCGGGCCTCTCCCTCGTGAGCGGGGAGTCCTTCAACAAGCTGGCGCGAGCCCGGACACCTCCGCTCCCTCCTCCTCCGCCGCCGCCGCCAGAGGGGCGAGGACCCTGCCGCTCGTAGGCGGGCTTCCTGCTGCTCAAGTGCTGCTACGGCGACTCGCAGCACATGCAGGTGCGGAACCGCGCCGCCCTGTGGCAGCAGCAGCAGCAGCGGCGGCGGCGGCAGCAGCAGCAGCAGCAGCAGTTTGGCGCTGGCCGTGCCGGCCCGTACCCAGCCGCCCTCGCCGCGCCTCCTCGCCGCAGGAGAACAAGGCGCACTACATGGGCCCGGACGCCAACCCGACGCGGCGGATGCTCTACAACCTCTGGCGCCAGATCAACAACCTCGAGGAGCTGCTCCGCTGCGTGCAGGGCTTCAAGAGGCGTTCCTGTCAGCCTTCTCGGAGCAAGTAGGTTGGCTCGCTGCACAACGTGCGCTTCACGCCCGCGCCGCTCGACCTGGAGCGGTACCTCCTCGTCAACGGCGCCAGCCCCGCCTCTCGCTTCGCCTGTCGCCAGCGGGACGCGCGGCGCCAGCGGCGTCCTCCCAACCGTAGGCCGCCGCAGCCCTCGCTCGATGTCGACGCAGCTGACGGGCAACACGTGCTACTTCCAGACCTACCTCTACGCCCTCCTGTGCAAGGTGCGACCCGCCCGCCCCCCTCGCCGACCCCCTTCCCTTGCCCTCGAGCCGCTCACCCGCCGTGCCGCCGCCCCCCCGCCGCCGCAAGGTCGGCCAGCCTGCACTCAACCGTGAGGGCGCCATCAGCCTGCGGGCGGAGCCGCAGCTCGCCGCCGCCACCGTCTCGGTGAGCCGCTTCCTGCTTGAGTTCTTCCTCGACGGCTCCGGCGTGCGGCGGCCGCTCACAAACAGCATCTTTGCTGCTCGACCCGCTCCGGACATGTCCACGGCACGGCCACGACTCGTCCCCGACGTGTCCATAGGCAACCTGCTGCTCGACTTTTACCGGCACCGCAGCTCGCCGTACTTTGGCCTCTTCACGGACTACCTGCGACAGCGCGGCGTCCCGGCGCCCGACTACGAGCTGCAGTACTCGGAGACGCTTCGCTACTACGAGGAGCAAAAGACGCTCCACGGATACGCCCGCTTCACCCTCTCGGGGTCGATGCCATCGACGGTCAACACAAAGACGCTGCAGCCGGTGACGGGGACGGAGGGCGCGGTGGTCAAGCTGGCGCGCTCGAGCTACTACAAGTACCGCGCGATCAACTTCATGTTTGGCTTCAACGCTGGCATCCTGCACGGCCCTCGCCCGCTGCGTCGAGGGCTCGAGCCGGCGCAGAGCCTTCCGCGAACCCTTCCCGGAAGCGTCGCGTAGGCCTCGCCTCCTTTTGCGAGTTCAACTCGCTGCGCAAGAACCAGCTGCTCGCCTTCTACGAGGCGCGATCGCACCTCGGCCCCATCTCGGCCCCGTCTGAGCCGCGCCTCACCGCGGCTCCACACCTCCCGAGGCGCTGCGCCCCGTGCTCGGCGGATGCCGCGGCGGGGCGGTTGCGACGAGCAAGTACCGCGACTACTACTTCCTGCCGCAGTACGAGGTGCGGCGCTCGCCTCCTCGTCGCGACCCCGCCGGCTCCCCCTCGCGCCCCGCCGCCCGCCGCCCCCTGCCCGCCGCGTGGCGCGAGGCCGAGGCGGCGAGGCGCGCCTGCCTTGCCCGCTGCGCAGGTCGGGCAGGAGGAGCTGGTCGACCTGCACCACTACACGTACCTCATCGACCTGTGCGCCATGGTGGGCAACGCCAACTCCGCGGCGCTGGTGGGTCCCGACGGGCTGGCGATGGTGGAGCGCGTCAACCGCCTCCTCGTCGAGCACATCCACTTCTCGACGCAAAAGAAGACTAACTACGAGCAGTTCCTCAGCCTCGCAGAGCTGCAGAGCAGCAAGCGCTTCTACGCGCCCATCCTCAAGACCTTCCTGAGCGCGCAGTACCTCAGCGACTTCGTAGGCCCCCCGCGGCCGCATGCGAGGCCCGCCCGACGGCGGGAGAGGCGAGCGCTCACCTCCGGGAGCCCGCCCCTGCGGCGTAGGCCTCGGCTTTGCGGAAGTCAACCCGAAGGAGAAGGACGTCAACTCGCTCACGCAGACCGCATTCTACCTGAGCGAGATGATGGGGTGCGGCCGGCCCGCCGGGAGGACGCGGCGTGGCACGGGGCACCTCCCTCCCCCACACTCCCGCGCGCCCACCCGCGCAGGCAGCAGATGTACCGGATGGAGCACGAGTTTGAGAAGGAGTGCATCAACCAGATGGCGCGCTCGGCGCTGCGAAAGTACTCGCAAAAGTTCCAGGGCGGGCAGAACCTGCATCAAAAGTACCGCGTCTCGATTCGGATCGGCCACGGCTTCACCTACTCCAAGTACAACACGCTGATGCACTTTCTCAATGCGGCGGAGGCGTACTGGCACAACCCGGACCTGAACAACATCCAGGTCTTCGGCAAGGATATCCGCGCGCTGCTCGCCGTCTCGTGCCAGAAGATCTTCTTCGAGGAGGGCCACCGCTTCTACCACTACGGGCCCATCGAGGTGCCTACCCCCACCCCCGTGCTGCCCCCCTTCCCTCCCCGTCTCCGTGCAGCCGCGGTGTGCGACGCATCGCCGCACGCGCCGCCCGCTCGCCGCACCGTAGTCGGCCTCCTTCCGCGGCGAGATGGACCTCGCCCTCGCCACGACGGTCGGCCACGTGGTCCCCGTCGTGAGCCGCGAGAAGCCGCGCGATCGGAACCAGCTCGTGCTGACGGACCGCGTGTACGAGCACGGCCACCTGCGCGCGCTCCTCGGCTCCGTGTTTGCGGCCGCGAATGGCGTGCGCTTCAAGTCGGACAACGCCGTGCTCAACTTGTGCCTCCTCTCCCTCATGCTCGACTTTGGGCTCTACGACGAGCACGCGGGGCTCCTCAACCTCCCCTGGCTGCAGCAGCTGCAGCGCGGTGACAAGCGGCAGCTGCAGGCCGGCTTCTCGCAGCCCAGATCAGCCGCCCCGCCTCCCTCTGGCGCGCGTGCGTCTGACGCCGCCCTCCGCTCCCGCCAGGTCGCGGTGGCCAACATGATCCTGGAGTTCGACAAGAAGAACACCGCCGACGCGGTCACGCGCACCAAGCTCGAGCAGCTGATCTGGGAGGCCTCGCACAAGTTTCTCGTCAACAAGGGCTTCCCCACGCACTCGAGGCAGAACGAGCTGCTCGGGCAGCTCAACTGCGACCCGGCCTACGCGCAGCACTTGCTGCTGTGCAAGGTCAACATGTCGCTCTGCCAGATCAACAAGTCGGTCGAGGTGGACTACTACAAGGTGCGCTGCAACGGCGAGTTCCGCACCGTGATCCCGCGCTCCTTCAGCCACACCACCGGCGAGTACCTCGAGGAGATCACGCGGAGGTACGCCTTCTCCGAGCAGGAGGGTGTCATCACGTACGGCGCGCGCGTCCCGCCGCCTCGGCCCGCGCGCGCTGCCGCGGGACGGCGCGCCCTGAGCACGAAGCCCCCACTCGCCACCAGGCGCGCTCCGCCTCTTCGACCTGCGGCCGATGCAGCCCGAGATCGACCTGTACCGCGTGCGCCTCGACTCGGCGACGGCGGTCCAGTCGATGGTCAAGTGCATCGAGATCAAGAATGCGTTGCGGGCGGTCGACTCGGAGCGGCAGTACCTGGTCTTCATCGCCGACAATGCGCTGCTCATCGACGTGGCCGACGGCGGCGGCGTGTCGATCCGGATCAACGAGATTGCCGTCGAGGCCCGCCGCCACCGTTCCCGCCTCCCCCGTCGCCCCCGCCTCCCTCTCCACCCTGTCCTTCTCCCCCAGATGTCGACCACTTTCTTCAACCGGGCCGTGTCGTTTGTGCCATGCTTCAAGTGCGCGCAAACCCGTCGCCGGCCCTCCGCACACGCTCCTCCTCTCCCCTCCCCTCCCTCCTCGGCTCGCCGGACCCGCTCCCCCTCCGCTCCGGCCGCAGGTACAGCGACAGCGAGGACGTCATCCTCTTCGCCTCGCGCAACATCCACTACCTCGTCGACTCTGGCGGCCAGTTCGCCACCGACTACTACGGCATGAAGCACGAGCTCATCGAGTGCATCAAGTCGGAGGAGGTCTTCATCGACCTCAACGACGAGCACGTCTTCAAGTCGCTGAAGCTCTCGGAGTTGCTCACCGAGTCGAAGACGGTGCTCTACTTCCCAGACTACCTGCTGCAGGTGCCGAGCCGGCAGGAGCTCGTCAACCTGCTCGACCTGGCCATCCACGTGCGCAACCTCTCGCTCTTCATCCTCGTCTTCCTCTACCTGCGCCGCTGCTCGGTCCAGCTCGACTTCATCGCCAAGGAGAACGACGTGGTCAAGATCGCCGGCCCGTGGAAGGAGGCTATCCTGTACACACTCAACAAGGCGGCCAACGAGCACTACGACTCGCTCTTCCAGCCAAACTTCTTCGACCTGAACCGGCACGAGCGGCTGCCGCTCCGCGACTTCATCGAGGTGCTCTGCCAAAACTTCTGCCGCTACCAGCGGCAGACGGACGACGGCCAGTACCAGATCGTGCCGACGGAGAAGCAAAAGGCGTTCCTCGCACGGATCCTCTGCGCGGAGGAGTGCTTTCACTTCTCGGAGGTCGGGTCGGGCAAGACCAAGGTGATCCTGCCGCTGCTCTGCCAGGCCTTCCTCTCCAGTAACGAGGCCGTGCACGAGCAGCTCGCGCGTGGCGGCCAGTGCAAGCACGTGCTGGTGGTGCTCGTGCCGGAGCACCTGCTGCACGACGCGCGCTCGCAGGTCTTCCGGTACTGCCTCAACCTGAACTTCCGCGACGAGTACCGCGTGTACGACGACATCTTCGCGCTCCTGCACCAGGACGTTCAGCTCGGCGGGCAGCCCGCCGGCAGCAAGTTCTCGCTCGGCGGCGGCGGCAAGTTCCCTCGCGGCCCCCGCATGAAGCAGATCTTTGTCACCTCCTTCAACCAGTTCAAGAAGGCGCTGACGAACGACGCGATCTGCGCCAAGGTGTGGCCGCACCGCGAGCACATCCTCGTCGTCGCCGACGAGGCGGCCTCCTCCGCCGCCTGTCCGCCACCGGTGGGGCGCGTCTCGTCACCGCCCTCGCCGTGAACAGGTCGACGACTTTCTCGACCGCGACAAGCTCGTCTTCAACATCTGCTCCAACAAGCCGAACGCGTTCGACAAGTCGACGCTCGCGCTCTACTACGAGGTCAGCCGCGCGGCGTACGGCGCCGAGGCGGCGCCGCCCCGCGTCGGCGCCTCGCCGAACCCGCAGTACTGGAGGCAGCTGCACGACAAGCTTGGCGCGCTCCACGCCGAGATCCAGGACGCGAGCCGCTCGATCAACAAGAGCTTCGGCATCTTCAACGAGACGACGCTCCGGCACTGCTCCACCAACATTGCGCACGACATCGAGGGCTACAAGTCGCTCATCGCGCGGCCGTACGAGTCGGTCAACCGCGCGATGCCGGGCTCTTCACACCTCTCCGTGTTCTTTACTCACACCTTTCGCCGTTAGGTCAACCGCGCGATGCCGGGCTCGTACTACAGCGACGTCGAGCGCACCATCTACCTCACGTACGTGATCCTGGTGGAGGACATCGCAAAGTACGACGAGCTCTTTCAGCAGGAGCGCAAGTTCCTCAGCTTTGAGTACTGGAGCGCGCACGTCAGCCAGATCGACTACGACGACCTGGTCTACGGGCTGGACCGCCTGTCCGAGATCGTGTCCAAGCAGCCCGACGCCAAGGACGGGCTGGTCCGGTTCCTGTACGAGATCATCCTTCGCCGCATGGAGGTGCGCGACCGGTCTCGCTCGGTCAACTCGATCGACGTCATCTTCAACTTCGACTGCATCGGCTTCACCGGGACGCCCTTCATCGACAACTACCCCACCTTTGTGAGCGGCCCCCGCCTGCGCCTGGCGGCTGGCGCGATGGGGCCCTCTCCAACAGGCCCCTCTCGAATAGGCGTACCTGCGCTGCCAGCGCGAGGACGAGATCCCCGACATGATCGACCGCAGCTTCTACGCCTACTCGAGCGAGGCGCTCGGCGCGGACCTGTTCGAGGAGCGCTTTGCGCGCTTTCAGGGCCAAAACAGCCACGTGCTCGTCGAGTACGTGCCCTCCGACTTTGTCGCCGCCGCCGACGACGCGCGCGCCCCTCGCCGTCGGACGCCGCGCGCCGCCGCCTGCCCTCCTCACCCCCCCCCCCCCCCGGCCCTGGACCACGGCAGGAGCTCGCCGTGCTGGAGCACATCTTTGCGCGCGAGGAGCGCGTGCGCCTGCAGCGGGCCGAGCAGTCGGCCGAGGCGGGCTGCTCCAACGTGCTGGTCGACCTGTGCGGCATCTTCAAGCGCTCGTCCATCCACGACGTGCGCGACCTCGTGCTCCGCCAGTTTGGGCCCGACCGCTTCCACTACGTCTACCACATCGACCAGGTGCGCGGCGGGACACGGCCGGTGGCACGCGCGCACGACGCGCCCACGACGCGCGCACGACGCGCCCACGACGCGCCCACGACCCTCGCTGCGCAGGTGGACGGCAGCGACCGCGTGCTGTGCGTCAACTCGAACTCGGACGTGCAGTTCGACGAGGAGTTTTACAAGTTCCTCTGCAAGACGTACGGCGAGGCGCTGCGCGAGCGGATCTTCTTCTTCGTCGACAACCGCAACGTCATCGGCAAGGACGTGCCCTTCCAGCTCGTCTACCAGCGGCGGTTCGGCCAGCCGCTCTTCATGCAGAGCGTCGTGCTCGCGCACGACGTGGACGACTTCAGCAAGATCTGGCAGGCGATGGGCCGCTCGCGGACGATGAACGAGACGCGCTTCTCCATCTACAAGAGCGGCGTGCCCGAGGACGCCGTCGCCGGCGAGGGCGCGGGCGTGCGTGACATCAAGGCGCAGCGGTTCACGCAGCGGCTCTACGAGCGCAACTGCGACTGCAAGATGGCGGGCAACCTCTCGTCCATCTACCAGACCCTCGTCTCGCTCTTCAACCTCTCGCAGGGCCGCTTCTACTTTTGCGACGAGATTGTCAACACCTTTCTCGAAAAGATGGACGGCGCGCCTGGCGGCGAGCTCGGCGGCGTGCCGAGACGAGGCGTCGGCTCTCACCTCGCGCTGCTCGTGACTAGGCACCATCGGCGGCAAGCTGGCTCGCCACGAGGAGCAGCTCGTGCAGAAGGTGCTCGGCGTGCAGGTGCCCGCGCGGGTGCTGGCGCACATCCTCGCCAGCAAGTTTCGGAGGAGCCCCGTCCTCGCCGTCGCCGAGGAGCCGCTCACGCCCGCCGTGCTCGAGGCGCTGCTGCGGCATGTGGTGCAGGTGTGTGCGCCGCCGAGACGCGCCGCCGAGACGCGCTCTCCCAACCTCCACCCCCCGCTCGACCCCCGCAGCAAAAGTTTGAGCAGCGCCTGCCGTCGGGCGACATCTTCGACGAGTTCCTGCTCCTGCTCTCGGGTGAGCAGCGGAGCCTGATGGAGATCAGCTACACCAAGCAGCAGCAGAAGCAGAAGCAGAAGCAGCGCAACAAGAGCCAGGACAGCGACACGATGGACGTGTTTGACAAGCGGCACCAGCTCGAGCTCTGCGTTGAGGTTGACAACTACTTTGCGTACGCCCTCGAGGCGCGGACCGACCTGCCGCGGCGCTGGCTCAACCTGCCGCTGCCCGTGCCCATCCTCTCGCTCACCTGCGCGCTCGGCGGCGAGCGGCGCGAGATCCACGTCTACCCGACGCTGCAGTTTGTCTACTCGCACCACATCCAGGCGAGCTACATCACCCAGGAGGTCAAGGACGCGCTCGGCAGCCACCCCGACCCCGACGGCGTGTGCGCGCGCTTCCTCGCCGCGAGCAGCGCGCGGCGGGCCGGCGAGGCGCCGCCCGGCCCGGAGCTGGCCCACGCGCAGGCGGGCGCGAGCGTCGACCCCGCGCCGCGCAGCCCGCGGCGCAGCAACAACAGCGACGCGGCGCAGCAGCTCGAGATCAAGGTGCGCGTCAACCACGTGCGGCAGAGCCCGCAGTTTACGCTCGCGGCGATCAGCGAGGGCGTGTACCTCTTGGGGATGAAGGATCAGTTCAACGCGTACGACTTGCCGGCGCACCCGCTGGCCGACCGCATCCAGTACGTCATCGATGAGGTTGGGCTGGTGCTCTTTGACCGCGGCGCCGGCGGCGCGAGCAGAGCGCTCGACAGCCTCGGCCCGTACTTTATTGAGAACTACATCCTGCTCGAGGTGCTGTCCAAGCAGGAGGTGGCGCAGAACGTGCTCGAGTACTATGTGTACCACAAGGAGAAGCTGCAGCGCAGCCTGGAGAGCTACAGCGAGGCGCAGGGCAAGGGCTTCATCTGCTGGCGCTTCTTGATGAACGAGGCGGTCAAGCAGGCGCGGGCCGACGCCGCGAGCGCGAGGGCGTCGCCGGTGCCGGCGGAGGGCGGCTGAGCGCCCAGCCGTCGCTCTGTGCGGAGAAGAGAGAGAGAGAGGGTGTCAGAGAGCGCACTCGCGCCTTGTGCTCTCGTAACAGACAGGAACGTTCACCATCGGCCTGGTCTCAATCCGTCCACAGCTGTGTGACGCGTACCAAGTACCATCTCGCCCGCGCCGCCGCCAGCGCATGCTCCAGTCGGCATATCGGCGCCCCCCCAGGGGCAGCGGCGCGCCCCGCCGACTCGCGCTGTGAGCTGGGACCCGGCAACGCGGGGGCGGCAGCCGTCACGGTGGCGGCGTTTGGCGCGGCCACAGTGCACAGAGCGCTCGGTCACGTAAAGCGTTGCGTACGCTGTCCTCTCGTTTTCACACATCACAGAGAACAAAAAGATCTTGAGATAAGAAATGGCTCGCGCATATTCATGAGTTATGACGGAAACACATATGTTTATGTGGGGGACGTACCCATACTGTGTTCGCGCCTAGATGTGCGCACGGATCTCGGATGTACGTTTAATATTTTGGACTCAGAAACCCGTCGCGTGTACAACTCAATAAAACATAGCCACGACCCACCTGGTCCGTGCGCCGCGCAATGGCGCGATTCTAGCTCTACTTCCAGTGCTGCTGGCTGATGCGCTTGGTGCCCCACTGCGCCGCGGCTGGCTCGGCAGGCGCCGGCGTGTCGCTGTCGGCCGGCTCCTCGTCAAGCGCGGGGCGGGAGGGCATGCACTTTGGCGCGGCGGGCAGGAGGCTCGAGAAGGCCTTGGACAGCTTCTGGATCAGCGTCGGTGGCCCCTCCTCCTCCTCCTCGGGAGCGACCGCGGGCGCCGCCTCGACCGCCGCCTCGGGCGCCGCCTCTGGAGCAGCCTCTGGAGCAGCCTCAGGCGCAGCCTCGGCCGCAGGCTCCGGAGCCGCGACCTCGGCAGTCTCGGCAGCCTCGGCCGCCGCGGCCGCGTGGCCGTAGGCGAGCCGTGCCTCGACCTCAGCAAGCTCCTCTGGCGTGACGCTCATCTCGCGGGCGAGGCCCGCCTCTCCCGCCGCCAGGGTGTATGCCCGCCACTCGACGCGAGCCTCCTCTTGCTCAGCGTCGTCGCGCTGGGCGACCGCATCGACCGCCCCAGTCAGCGCGCGTGCGACCGGCTGCTCCACCTCCGCCGCCGGCGCGTCGGCCTCCGCCGTCTCGACCGCCTCGGTCTCCTCGACAGCAGGCTCAGACTTGCGGCCCGAGAGGTAGTCGACCACCTGGCCCAAGATGGAGGACGACTTGACCGGCTCGGTCGGCGGAGGCACCTCGTCGGCCGCTTCGGCAGGCGCCTCCTCGGCTGCGCTCTCTTCGGCCGCGACCTCGTCCTTGGGCTCCTCTGCAGCGGGCTCCTCCGCCTCGGGCGTCACGGCCGAGGGTGCAGCCGCCGCGTCGGCGGCGGGCGTCTCGGCGGGCGCGACCTCGGGCGTGGCGACGACGGCGGCGGTGTCGGCGGGAGCGCTGATCTGCTCCGGCTGCATCACCGGGTCGGCGATGTTGGTCGACTTGGAGCTGCAGGCACCCATGGTTCGCTTGTGTTGTTGTGGTCGGCTGACTGCCTTGCGTCGTGCGTCCTTGGGAACGTGGCAAGTCGAAGTTGCGACGACGCCCCCGCTCGAGAAACTTGTGTGTCGAGCAACGAGCATCGTGGAGGAGAAGGAGGAGGAGGAGGAGAAGGAGGAGGAGGAGGAGGAGGAGGAGGAGAAAGAGAGAGAGAGAGAGAGAGAGAGAGAGAGAGAGAGAGAGAGAGAGAGAGAGAGAGAGAGAGAGAGAGAGAGAGAGAGAGACTCGGCGTCGCGGGGCGGCCGCGGCCTCCACCATCCTCTTCCACACCCTTGGCCTCAGTCGTCCGTGCAAATGGGGCAGTCCTCCTGGTGACAGAAATGGTCAACCTTCGTCCGCATCGAGGCCTCCTGCGCAGAGCCAGAGGTAAGCAGGCACCGTGTCCGGCACGCAGAAGGACAGCCTGCTGCAGTAGGTGCGCCCTTCATATAGTCATTTGACTCGTCGTCCCTCACAGGAAGATACTCGGGTTGAGGTGCATGCCGCACAGGACCCGACTGCACGGCGGGACTAATTCTGTTTTCGTTCGCCAGAACAGGATTCGGTACTTCAGCTCGGTTTAGTATCATTGTATCCTTCTCGAGGGGGTATCAAGGTATGCTCTAGGCCTCTGTGGGGACCCATCTCGGCTGGGTATCAAAGTATCATCGGCGGCCGCGCAGCGAAGCGACAATTCACACCTCGCACGCGTTTATTATCGCTCTTAGCGCTTCCGGTTCCGCTGTTCGCGCGCCACGCCCAACCAACCAACCATATACCGAAATGGTCTCGTCGCAGCTACAGCTGGAGCAACGCTATCCGCCGAATCATTTGCTCTTCTGAAGAAGGCAGTAGCGAGCTGGGACAGTCCCATCATGGATTACATAGGTGATAGCCGTCAAAGCAGGCGGCGGATTGATTTCGGATTTTTTTTTATTTTTCCGCTTTCCCCCCAATTTAAGTGGTGCAGCGGTACGACCAACGTTGCCAGGTGACTCTCTCAGCGATTATGCTCGAGGCGGAAGGCGATGTCATCGAGGCCGCGGCCGCTCCCCCGCGGCTGCCGCAGCCGCACCGGCTGCCTAGCCCGGCTGGCGGCCGCAGGCCGTCCAATGCGACGACGGCCGCCCTCCTCGCCCAGCGCATTGCTTAGTGGTGCGCTCGCCTCCCTCCTGCGCGACGCTCATTCGAGCGCGTTGTCTGTCTCGGCCGGCGCGCGAAGAGGTGTGAAGAGGAGGGTCGTGTCCGGTGTGAGGGTAGCCCACGAGGGTATCAACCTATCCTCTAGGCACTAGGGGCCCAATGCGGATCCTCTCAAGTGTCAAGAGGGTATCAGGGTATAGCCCTGAAGTATGATATCCACCTGTGAAACATCTGGCGTATGTCGCAGCCCGTTGGCGGTCGGGTCGCCGCGCGCGGTGCCGCCGACTCGCACTCTGCCGCCGCGGAGGAGCGCGAGCGTGACCTCCGCCGCGAGGTGCGCGAGCTACGCGACGAGCTCCAGAAGCAGGTCTTTGCGCCGCTGCCGGGAGACTGTGGCGATCTGTCGGCTGAGTGGCAGGCCGCTCGCCTCGCTCAGAGCCAGCGGCAGGTTGCCCTGCTGGCGGAGGCTCTCGCGACGCGACAGGTGCCGAACGGCGGCTCCGCCGCCAGCCACGCCCTCACATTCCCACGGCTGACCGCTGCGGCTGCAGGATCTGAGCGTGGAGACCGAGGCGGTGCTGCTGCAGCTCTCGCAGCCCGCCGCCGACGGCACTCGCTCCGAGGCGTCGGCGTGGGCGTCGGCGGCGCTGCGCCGCCTCCGAGGCGTGCATCATGCCGAGGCGCGGCGCAGGCACGGCCGACGCGCCACGTCGCACACCACACCAGCACTACCCTGCACTCTCTAGGCCATCTCGACCGACCTGGTGCAGAAGTTTGCGTCGATGCCGCTGGGCGTGCCGCGTGCGGGCGGCGGCGGGAGGGGAGCCGACCGCGGAGCGGCGGCGGCGGCGGCGGCGCGAGGGCCGAGCGGCGGCGGCGGCGGCGGTGGCATGAGAGTGCCGGCGGCGCGCCCGGCGAGGCCACCGGCGCGGACGGTGGCCGAGGCGGCGCCGCGACGGGTTGGGAGAGGGACGCACCGGCCGGAGTGGCAGTCTTAAACGCATGTGTCGGAAGGTTGCAAGCGCAGCCGGATGCAAGCGACCAGCAGCGTTGGGGGACACTGTTTTATATCTCAACACTCACGTTTTTATTAGTGTGTGAGGTCAAGTACCTGTCCCTGACGGAGAGGGGCGGGCTTCATAGCTGTCAGAGAGGGGCTTCTTGCTCCAGCATCAGCCGCCGCAGCTCCCGCGGGAAGGGCGTGTCGCGGCAGTCGAGGTCCTCGACGCTGGCCATGCCGCACCTGGTTCGATCCCTGCGGCAGCAGCGGCGAGCCTCGGGCAGCGGCCTGTGGAGCATCGTCCCCTTGAAGAGGTAGTACCTCGTCCCCGTCCCCAGAGCGAGCTCCTTGATGCTCACGTTGCTGGCGAGCGCCCACATCAGCAGCGCGTGCTCGCTGTAGAAGGCGTGGCGCAGCCGCAGCGGCCTCATCGGCGCGGCGCCTGCCACCCGAACGCGGTGCGTCTCGGGGTGCGGGGACAAGTGGGGACAAGCACACCCGTGCGTGCGGTCGCCGGGCGGCCACATCAGCCTCGGCGCGCCCGCCCACCTCGGGTCAATGTACCGCCACTCGCGCAGCATGCGTTGCAGCGCTCCGAGCACCACCTGGCGCCGCGCCTCGCCGCGCTCCCAGGCGTCCGCGCCGACGCTCGGCGTGCGCGGCGCATCCGCAATGAGGGGCAGCTCCCCAATCTGAGGGAGGGGAGTGGGGCGAGGGACGATCGATTGTGGGTGGAGCGAGTGTTGAGCGTCGAGCGGATGAGGCCTTGCTAAAGAAGCGCCAGCTCTCGCAGTCAAAGGAGCAAGCGCTCGACGCGGCGACGCTTTGCAGGAAGTGGTCCACGGAGAAGGGCGCAAACTGCGTGTCGTTCCACACGCCGCTGCGCTCAAAGTGGGAGCCAATCGCAGCAAATACGCCTGCTGACGGGATGCGCGCGTCTGGCGGAGTGCTCTGGTGGGCAGAATCGGACGACGATCGCAGAGCCCCCGCGCCTGCTGCAGTCCGCATCGCGGCGCGTGCGCCCCAGAATACATGGTCGGTCGCCGCGTAGATGCTTCCTGCGATGCGACGCGAGGCTTGTGCGTGAGCTGAGCAGGTCTATCAGCTGACGTCCTTATCTGTAACCGCGGGTTGCCTGGGTCGCTTCTGGCGACACCGCACACGCGGGAGGATCGCCATCTGGGAAGCGGGACTGAATCGGCCCGTAGCTTGACCACCAGCTCGAACTGACGTCGTGCCCGTCGCTCGCGCTCCTCCATGAGCGCCCACGCAGCCTGAAGCCGGTGCCACTGCACTGCAGCGTACGGCTGCACCCACCCAGCTGGCCGAGGAGGCCTCGCCACAGTGCGAGGCTTGACGCCGGTGAGGTTTTGCAGAAGCGCTACCGTGCCCTCCTCCCACGTGTCGTAGGCCGCAACTCCCTCGATGCTCTGGCCGAGCAGCGCCGGCATCACAACGGCCACCGACGTGGAGGCGTCCTTTCCAGGGCAAGGTGGGTCGGTGACGAGGAAGATCTCTGCCGCGAGAGGGAGGAGGACGTACTCCCGCATGTACGAGGCGTGGAGTGTGGCGTTCGGGACGTGCCCGGAGCCGACCACGAGGGCGGCGACCCGGCACGCTGGCATGTGTGTGTGTCGACGTCCGTCCTCGAGAAGTTGGGGTTGCCCAGTCGAATCGGCGCGGCAAAACGGGGATGGAAGAAAAAAATCCCGCCGCGTCTGCTCTCTGCTCTCATGACTCCTCTCTCTATCATTTTCAAGGATAGTTAAAGCCGTAAGTGTTACTTTTGTGTCGACGCCCCCTTCAAGCTTCATCCACTACATACATAATATCGTCTCAATAGATCATGGCACATACATAGTAGATCACGCACGCGGTGGAAGCTGGCGACGGACGCCCGCGCAACACGGGCATTCTGGTTGCTTCACCCCAGAAATGAGAGCCAGGAGGACAGCATCCCCATCGCAGGCGGGGCGCTCGCGGCGAGCTCTGCCAGCCGCTGCTCCTCGCCCGGCTGAGCCTTGCGCAGCTTCAGCTTGGGGGGCGGAAGCCGGCAATAGTCCAGCTTTGGGAGCGCGGCGCTGGCACCCTCGCCCAGTCGCGTCTCCGCGCGGCTCTTCTTGACGTCCGTCACGAGGGACCAGATGAGCTTTGCAAACTCCTCGTCCACGCGGCGCACGTAGTAGACCCCCACCACGTCGTCGACCTCCCAGCTGAGCTGCATCTGATTGAGGCCGTCGCCGATGGAGCACATGCTCTTGTGGGGTAGCTCCACGTACCGCCGCTGCGCCTCGGCCGCGTCCTCGACATTGTCCCAGCAGCAGTTGACCCGCCAGTCCTCTGCCTGAGCGTTGACGCCCGACGTGCGCTTGTGGCCTTTGCGCGAGCAAGCCTGCGTCACGACTTGGTACCGGCGCGCGAGGTGCTGCTCAATACTGCCGCCGACGGTCTTTGCACAACGGAGCCCCGTGCCATATGTCTGCTCGGGCGGAGGGGGCGCGGGCACGGGTTGTAGTCGAGGGTTTTGGGTGTGGGGCCGTGCTAAGTGGGTGAGCGGCGTGCCCTGTGGGAGTCAAAGGCGTATGCGCACGAGACTTGGGAGGCGTTGGTGCGGAGCATAAACCCGAAGGTGTCGCGGTACGACCTGGTCGGCAGGTCGTGCCGCAGCAGCGAGGTGGCTGCGCCTCGCCTTGTCAGCTGTTGAAGCGCACACTGCCGGAACTCCTTGACGAACGTTCCAGTCGGCACAGCGGACTTGATGAAGCTCATGTTTACTCTGCGCGCGTCCTTCCTCAACTTTCGCTCGAGCGTGTCGCACTCGAAGGCCCTGATGAAGAAGCCGGAGCGAATCGTGCTCTCATAGTTGCACGGAGCCCCGTCGGGCGGGTTTTTGGGCACAAGCGACTGACGCAGGCTCATGAGTTGGCCGCTTTTGTCCTTGCTACGTCGATTGAAGAAGCCCATGGGCCTGCGCGTGCCTGGGAGCACCGGGGCGGTGGCAAACTTGGCAGACAGCCCTGACCGCAAGAATCGCAAAAGGCCACAGGAGCCTAAGCAGACTCCTGCCGTCCTGCGAGGAAGCGCTAGCGGAAATAATTGAAAACCACACCTCTACTGTAAGCGAAAAGAAAGGAGCGTACTCTTGAAATATCGCTGTGGACTAGCGCTAGACGGTAGTCATAGCAAGAAAACAGGGGGCTGCCGCGGATCATAGCCTTGCCTTCTCTCTACGCTGGGCCATCACCGGGGCCATGTGCCTCTACTCAATTGGGTCGCCGCACAGATTTCGAATCTCGTCGGTCGTGACGCGCGTCGACATGAGCTCCTCGGCCCACGCGGCGGCCGCGGGCTGGAGCCGCTTCTCGAGGTAGCGCTCCAGTACGTCCACGCGCCGCATTGGGACTTCAAAGCAGCGGAGCAGGGCCTCAGCCTGCTCGCGCGTCAGGCGGCTCGGCATCTTTGACGTTTTCACCTCCGTCTCCAGGATGCGGAACTTGACATTGCTGCGCGGCAGACGGGAGGGCGGTCTAAGTGGGTGGGACCGCACTCGCTCCGGTATCCGCTCAAGAGATGATGGGCTAAGTGCCGCTCGCAGAGGCCAGCGCGGCCTGGTCTCGTTGGCAGAGAGCCGCTCAAGTAGTCCCAAGATCTCACTCCGTTGGTTGGCTGGGAGTCGTCCATCAGACACGGGCAGAGGGTCCCGCTTCTTGTACGGGTCCTCATTTCGCCTGCGCCGCAAGCAAGGGAGTCGGGCTGTCGTCTGGCTATCTCAGATCCACGAGGGACGAAGGCGCGCCTCTGCATCGGCGGGCTCGCCTCAGGCTGCGAAGTCGAGTCGCGAGGTGCGGAGGCTGACTGACGGTTATCTTGCGAAATCTGCCGCATTCGAGCGACGTCGAGGGGCGTCGAGCCCTGGCTGCCTCTCGCGGCTGGCTGGTCGGCGAGCGGCTTGTACGCAATCTGGATCTGCTGGCCGGGCCTGACGTTTGGCGGGATGGTCACCTGCAGCTGCTGGCCGTCCGGCGCCTTGCACATGAGCTTCTGCCCCGGCCCCAGACCTGGCGGAATGGTGATTTTGAGCATCGGCTGGCCGCTCATTTCTCCAGACGATCGTCCACCCGCAAATAGCTGATCGACGACCGGCCAGTAAGGTGGCCCCGCTCCGAGCGCACGGGACGGACGTTTTGTGAAAGAATTTTAGCGCCAGAACGTCGGGCGTGAACACCAAGGTGGTAACGCAGCAGCATCAGATACAATGCGAGTATGCGACCGATGGCGCATCACCAGTCCTAACATTACGACGCGAGCGCATGGGGACGCGCGCAAAACTTTCTCACGACTCTGAGCTCACCTGTCGTCCATGCGGCGCCGTTTCACCCAGGGCAAGTTGTCAAGATCGATGTTGCCACCACACATGACGATGGCCACGTTTTTCACGTCTGGGTACTTCTCATAGAAGGCCTTCGATGTCGCCACGGCCACAGCGACGCCGCAACCAGGCTCAATGACCTGCTTGGCACGCTCCATCACGAAGCGGGTGGCGTCCTCAATCTCGTCCTCGGTGACAATGAAGACGTCGTCGACAAGCTTCTCCACAATTGGGTACGAGTTTGCTCCCAGACTGCTCTTCACAGAGTCGGCGATGGTGACGATCGGCGTGTTTGGTGGGTTCTTAACCAGCTTCCCCTCCTGCTTCGACATGTAAGCGCTCCTTGCCCGCTCCGGCTCTGCGCCGATCACCTTGACCTCTGGCTTGACCGCCTTGAGGTACGTGGCGACGCCGGAGATGAGGCCGCCACCACCAATGGAGCAGATCACGGCATCAATGTCTGGCTGCTGCTCTAGGAGCTCCAATCCGATAGTGCCCTGGCCATTGATGACCCGTAGGTCCTGGTTCGGGTGGATCTCCTCTGCCTTCTCCTCCCCTTTCTCCGCACGGATGCCGGCCACCACCTCCGCAGACATCGCCTCCCTGGCCTCCTGTGTCGGCTTGCACAATTTCACCTCCGCGCCATACGTGTCCCGTACGGCATTGATCTTGACGGCGGGAGAGTCCTCTGGCATGACTATGATGGCCGTTTTGCTGAGCACCTTGCAAGCTTGAGCGATGGCCTGCGCGTGATTGCCGCTACTCTGAGTCACCACGAAATCCGCCTTGGAGAGGGAGACGGCGTTGATGGCGCCCCGGATCTTGAAGGCGCCGACCTTCTGCTCATGTTCTGCCTTCATGAACAGCTGCTTTGGCGTGCCGGCGGCCTCCGAGGCGCGGCTGTTCAGCGCATCGCAGGTGAATACTCGTGTGCGGTGCACGTGGGCCTTGATGCGATGGTAGGCCTCTACGACCGTCTCCTTTGTGACGGCCATGGCACGCTCCTGGAGCAGACGCTCAACGCCTCAATGCACTCTTTGGGTAGCCGCTGCCTAGCTTTGAGCCCCGCGGTTTGTCCACGCTTGCGACTGGAGCACTTTGCGCCAGAGCGCCCGCGGACGGAGCACCCGTGAAAAGAATTTTTTCCGCTGGCGTTTGTTGGAGGCTAGGACGCAAGCGTCCGTCGCCCTTTTCAAACTCGGGGCCCACTCCGCTACGGCCTACGGCTACGCTCCGACACGAATTTGGAGGGCCTAAAGTTTAGGGAGTGTTGCTGCGCAAAAGGGGTCGGACACAGGGCGCAGCTCATGCTAAGAGCTAGAAGAGGAGATAGAGAGAACAACCACCCTGTCCCGTTATTTCGTACACCAACACCAAAAAGCTCTCTCTCTCCTGCTCCTCACTCAGGGCAGACTCAAGGGGGTCACAACTACCGAGTCCCTCGAGTCTAGCTGCCACGTCCAAAACCTGGACGGCGGCAGTGATAGTGCTATCAAGGGCATGGTCCGTGGAAAGTGGAGCGGGTGGTACGGGATAGTAGAGCAGGCGCTTTGTGGGTGGCGGGTATGGGCGGCAGCGTTGGGTGGCCGGCCGAATCGTTAGCGGAGCTCCTCCCTCAAGCTCGATCAAGCATGACGCACGTTGAGTGACAACGGCGGCGAGCTTCTGAACCAGGTTAGGTTGCCGGAGCACCGCCAACTCCTCCTCTGAGTCAGACACGCCAACGCCGACTGCGCCCTCCTCCTCCCATTCGTCGACTGCGCCCTCCTCCTCCTCCTCCAATTCGCCGACACTGCGCCCTCCTCCTCCATGGGCTCGATCCGATTCCGCAGCGTGTCGTCCCCAGCGGCGGTGCTGCGCGGGAGGCGGCCGGGGGCACGCTGGGCTCGATCAGCGGCTTCCCCTCAAGCTGCGCCGAAAGCACGGATTTGGCGGACGTTCTTGGCTTCAACTTTACGGATGTCTTGGCACCAGCTGAAGGCTTGCCCCCGTCCACGGCCGAAATCACGCAGTTTGTGCACGGTATTCAGATTTTGCTCTTTGTTCGTGGGGGGTATATTGCAGATTTGTCAATGATACCGCGTCTGCGACGCGGGCGCCTTGCGTGCAGAGGCAGAGCCCTTAGCCACCCTTTATGTCTTGCGCGGTCAAAAATCTACCCTTGCTCCTGGCAGGATAGGGCTTAGGGGTCTGTGGACACTCGGCGCGCGCGCGCGCGTGAACAGGGCTCCAGGCTGCCCCAAATGACGTGTGAGTGTTAGAGTTGTTTGGTATTGCTAAAAAAATCTCTCTCTGGAGCTCCCAGATATGTAGACAGGCCTCAGGCGCGAGCGCAAGTCCGCCTGCCTCACGCGGCGTCGGGTCGAGACGCCGCCGCCTCCGCTGCGCGACGCCGGAGGCGGGGCGGCGTGGGGGCTGACGCCTCAGCAGGCGTCAGCCGGGGGCGGTGTCAGATGCGCGCGTCATGTCTGGTTTGGCCCGGACCCTGCATAATAATAGGTAGGTTACCCCCTACTTTCAGTGTATGTGGCTGTTACGTACATTGTTTCCCCATTTTTCGCTTCGCTGCGCGTGGCCGCATATGTGGGCTTCACACACCCTATCCGGCTATGGAGCCCGAACCCAGTCTGACATACGCCGGGTCCAAAATGAAGAACTCAGACCAGGAATGGCACCATGTGAGTTGTGCGTCTTGGGCCGGGTTGTGTTGTCGCGAGAAAAGCTCGCCTCTTGCGCTGGATTCGCCACCGCCGCCACCGCCGCCACCACTGTTGCGACAACCACGGAGAAGAAGGGCTGTTGGCGCGACAACACGGATTTTCGCCCCACGAGGATTGCGGTGTTTTCTTCATACTCGAGTATATGGTGGGCTGGGAACGACTCGGCGTCCGCCTCCCTGCCGCCCTTGCCCGTGGGTTGGAGAGCGCTGGCCTGCGCCACCCGTCGGCCATCCAGCGCGCGGCCGCGCCGCGCATCTTTGCCGGCGAGAGCGTCGCCGTGCACGCGGAGACCGGCTCAGGCAAGACGCTCGCCTGCCTGGTGCCGCTGCTCGCGCGCTGTCGGCCCGGCGTGCCCAGGCAAGTGCTCGTGGTGGTGCCGTCGCACCAGCTCGCGCTGCAGACACGCGACGCGGCCGACGCTCTCCGCGTCGACGGCGTCCCCACCGCTGAGCTCCTCCGGCCGGCGCGCCGGGCGAGGCGTGAGGCGGCGCTCGAGGAGCAGCGCGCCGAGGTGCTCATCGCGACGGGTGGCCAGCTGGCCGCGCTGCTGCCGACGCTCGAGTCGAGCGCCGGCGCCCGCGCCGCCCTGCGCGCAAACCTGCGTGCGGTCGTGATTGACGAGGTTGACGAGCAGCTGTCGCTTCCGCCGAGGCTGGAGCTGCGGCGCTCGATGCGGCGGCGCGCGTCTCGCGACCGCTACCTGCGGCAGAGCGACCTGCCGAATGCGCTCCGCCTCCTCGTGCAGCGCACCAGGCGGCCGCACCGCACCCCGTCCCACGGGCGCGGCGCGGGTGTCGGCGATGGCGAGGGAGGCGCGGCCGACGATGAGGGAGAGGGAGGCGAGTTTGAGGGCGGCGGCAAGTCGGCGGAGCGGCCGCGGTCGAGCTTTGGTCGCGTGCAGGTGGTGGCGCTCAGCGCGACGATGAGCCACAAGGCCCTGCGCGACCTCCTCGCCGTTGTCGGCCGCGAGGCCGGCAAGCTCGGGATCGTGGTGGCGAAAGACGGCGACGCCGCCGGCGCACGCGCCTTGTCGCAGGAGCGGCCGGCGCTGCCTCCGATTGGGCCGCCGCCGGCGGCTGTGAGCGAGCGCGAGGCGCGCGAGGTCTGGGCGAGGTACATGGACGAGGCTGGGGCGGGCACTGAGCCGGGCGGCGGGCGTGCGCTTGGCCGAGAGGAGGGGCGCGGCGTGCGGGGCGGGGTCCTGCGTGTGCCGGTCCCCGCCGCGATCGCGCACCAGCACTGGGTGTGCCGCGAGGCGGACAAGGCTGCGGCGGCCGTCGCGGCGATGCGCGAGCTGCGCCCCTCCCTCGCGCTCCTCGTCACGCGGGACGGGCTCAATGCCGACCAGGCTAGCGCGCCTCGGGGAGAGCGAGGCCCGTGGCTGGCCTTCACGCGTCTCGCAGCGAGCAGGTGGTGGGCGAGCTGGAGGCGGAGGGCCTCGAGGGGGCGCTGACGCTCGACGCCGTCACCGCGCGCGCGGCGGGTGTGCCCGCCGGCGGCGATGAGCTCGAGCGCGGCGAGGGCGGCGAGCGCGGCGAGGGCGGGCCGTCGGCCGGCGCGCTGAGCGAGCGCCTCGCCGCCCTCGAGGGGGAGGGGCCGCCGCACGAGGCGATGCCGCTGCCGGAATGGGCCGTCAGGGCGCGGCGGCGGCGCGGAGCGAGGGCGAGCGGCGGGTCGGGCGGAGGGTGGCCTGGAGTTGGGGATGGGCCGGCCGGAGGCGGAGGCGGAGGCGGAGGGCTGCGCGAGGCGGCGGCGTCGGCGTCGCTTGTGGTAGCGCACGAGTCGGCGATCCGCGGGCTCGACTTGCCGGAGGTCGAGCTGGTGCTCATCACGATGGCGCCCGACTCGCCGGAGTCGTACATGCACATGGCGGGCCGGACGGGCCGGTTTGGACGGCGGGGCGAGGTCGTGTCGATCCTCACGCCGCGCGAGCTGAGCGCGGCCGGCGTCGTGACCGCCTCGCTGCGCGGCGTCAAGTTCCGCACCAGGCGCTGGATTGCGCGAGAGGAGGCGCTGGAAGAGACGAGTGGCGCGCCGGAGGTGCATGTCCGGACGAGCGCCTTGAGAGCAATGCGGCGCAAGAGCCTCAGTCTGAGCCAGCGGCAGGCTGCGGACGCAGCTCTTACATTTCAGTAGACCCCCGCTGCTTAAAAGTACTCACAAAAACCGTTGACACTTGACATCCATCACACAAGACAAGAAGAGGGTCCCGGGGGGCAGCGGGCGAGTCCGAGAGAATCTCGCGCGTCGCGGGGACGCGAAAACGCTCTCTGCGTTCTCTCGCGTGTGCGCGTGGACGAAGCTTCCCAGCGCAAACAGAGGTAGGCGGTTTCGCGCTCCTCGCCCCCCAGGCCAGCGGCGGGCCACGGTCCACCCTAGCAGTTGGCAGAGTCACGACCTCGCGCCGCTCTGTCGGTCGCGAAACGCGTCGCTCGCTCTGCGCCCGTCAATGGTGAGTGCGCTGCGGCGCGGCGCGTGGCGCGGCTGGCCGCCCGAGCCTGTGAGGCCGTGGCCGTACACCACCTGCGTGGTCGGTGGGCAGGGGGGCTGGTGGGCCGGTGGTTTTTGGGCCGGTGGGCCGCCTTGGCTGGGCGCTGCCGCCTGCTTGGGAAGGGGTCGGGCCGGGGCGGCAGTGGGCGGCGGGCTTTGGCGCGCCTCTGGCGATTTGAGGTGGACGAGGGTGGAGAGGAGCGGGTCGCGCTTCATCGACGGCGACGCCTTCTCCCACCTCCTCGTCACCTGGTTGAAATACGCCTCGACCAGCTCGCCCGACTCGAGCCGCCGGTTGTCTCTCCGCGCCGAGAGCGTGACGGCGCTCAGCCCAAGCACAAAGGTCGCGACGCAGCCGAGGGTCCACTGCATGCGCCGGCGCTCAGTCCGCGCGCGCGCCTCGCCAGCGGGCGTGTCCGCCCCAAAGTCCATGTACCCTTGGTACGGGTTGTACCCTGGCCGCGACGCTGAGCCGTACTGCGCTCTCGTGCCCCACGTCTCGTAGGCGCGCTCTCGGCTGCGGCGCGGGCCGGCGCCGCGGCCGCCGCCCCGCGCTGTGGAGGAGGAAGCTTCCGCCTCCTCGGCCACCAGTGTCTCGTACGCCAGCGCAATCTGCTTGAAGCGCTGCTCCGCCGCCGCCTTGCTCGCGCCAGAGTGCTTGTCCGGGTGCCACGTCTTGGCGAGCATGCGAAAGGCGGTCTTGATCTCGGCCGGGGTCGCGCCCTGATTGAGGCCGAGCGCCCGGAGGCTCTCTCGGCACGCCGCCATGCCCTACGGTGCCTGGTGTCGACCTGGGCCGGTTCGCCAAAATTTCGCGCCGAACGAAAGAATTGACACACTTGACGGAAGATCCCGCGACGGCGACTGTGGGGACCACATGATCCGTACAACATGCACATGCACATTCACATGAAGGGGCCGTTCGCGCTAGGCGGCGCGGGCACCACCACCGGGGCCGAGCGGGAGAAGACGTTCAAAGACCAAAGTTCTTCTTGTTCTGACCCCATTGAAAAAGAATTTTGGCTCCCTCGCTAGTAATGGTCCTGCTGCTCTCCACGCTCGCCGCTGCCGCCGCCCTCGCCGGGCCTCCCGCCGGCGCCGCTGTCAGCCGCCGCGCCGCGCTGCTCGCCGGCAGCTGGAGCCTCGCCGCCGGGCCGGGCGCTGCGCACGCGCTCTTTGAGTCGCCGACGCAGGCCACGGTGCAGAAGCTGGCGACGGTGCTGCCCCGCGTGCAGTCGCTGATCAAGGAGGTTGCGGAGGTGGAGCGGCAGCGGGCCAAGCTGCCGCCCAACAACGAGGACGACGCGTACGTCCTCCGCTTTTCGCGGTCCGTGCTCGAGCCGCTCGCCGAGCCGATGGTCGAGGCGGGCGCGAAGCTCGGCGGCAGCGCTCCCGACCTGTCGGCGGCGTTCGGCGTGCACGTGGCTGAGCTCGACGCCGCGTGCAGGGCCAAGGCGGCCGACCGGGAGCGCAAGGAACTCGAGGAGGTGGAGTCCTCCCTCTCCGGCTTCCTCGAGCTCGGCAAGCGGTGCGGCCCGCCGCGAGACCGCCTCCGCCTCGTCCGCCTGCCGCCGCCGCGTCGCGCGACTCCCACCGCCGCCGCCGCCCCGCACCTCCACGCCCCCGCGGCCCTGCCTCGCTGCCCAGTACGGCGCGCCTCACCCGCTGCCACCCGCCAGGCTCAAATACGACACGACGTCACGCGATGACATCAACTCCTACTCCGGGTCAACAGGCATCCTGTACAACAAGTTCCTCTTCCGCGCCGGCTGAGCGCGGCGCGGGGAGGGTTGCAGCGCAGCTACTGGTTGGCGCCGGTAGGCGGTAGGATGGTAGCAGATTTTGACCGCGACATCGTCCTCGCTTTTTCGTTGAGTGTCAGCGGTGTGGGAAAACTCTACCTAGTTGGCGTCTTGCTCGTCGGGCGCCTCGAGCTTCTCAAGCTTGGCCGCGCGAGAGAGGAGAGACAAGCGGAGGCGCGCGCGGGCGGCCGTCGAGGCGGGCAGCCTCCGCTGCGGCGCTGCCCCCGCGGGGCGGGTGTACGGTGTGTTGAACCACGCCGTGTTGCAGGGAGCACTCTTCGCGCACATCGCAGTTCCCCACCACACTTCTCGTCACTTCCACTTCGCACTTGGTGTGCTTGTGGAGCGGTCGTATACACACACATGGCACAAAACCAACAACACAACAACCACCCTGGGCCACCCTCAGAGGCCGCGCTAGGCTGTCACACGACGCGGTACACAAGCAAAGCTCCTGAGATCCCAGCGCCTTCTGGCTCTCTACAGCAGGCAGCGACGAGCAGCCTAAGCTCCGGGTCAAAGCACATGCCGTCGCAGCCCGGGTAGCACCGATCAGTGAGATCGATCTGCTGCCGCAGAGCCGGCTCTCTGCCCAGTGTGAGTACGTCGAGCCACCCAGTGTGACGCGCGTGAGGGACCTTCTGCTTTGTCCTTTTAGACCGTGCGACGATGATTGTGTCATGCACGATGGTGAAAGCAGTGATGGGGGCACTGTTGCCACCGAGTACCGTGCGTCGAAACTCACCTTGCAGGCTGAAGCACGAGATGGCAGTCTTCGGTTCGCTTGGGCTAGTATCGTGGAGCACTCCGTGGAGCACATAGAGCTCGTCATCATGCACCGCAACCCCAGAAAACCCCGCTCGCAGGCACCGTGTTCCGCCCAAATCGACCGAGCGTACGTGCGTCAGGTCTGCGGCAAAGACTTCGATCTTATGATGCCCCTGGCCCTCATCCCTGTGGGCAACATAGACGTGGCCCTTGGCAAACGCGACGGCGACAGGATCATGAATATGCCAGGCGCCGTGCTCAGCCTCGATCGTTGTGCCGAGGAACTGGCCGTCAGCAAGCCGAAACTTGTGCAACATGCCGTTGAGGTCAACTGCGAACACATTGCCCTCGCCGTCATAAGCGCATGCGTTAGCGCCTTCCAGTCTGTCCGGGACAAAATCGTCCTCGTCCGTCGGCACCACCAGCTGGTCCGGTGTGCGGTGGATTTGGGGTCCAACGGTCATGCGCACGATTGGACGGCTGCGCAGGTTGTGAGGGGCATGCAAATGATCGACGATCTGAAATTGGCAGTGGAGCCAATCTGCCACGCAGACCTGGCCATTGGGCAAAGCCGATACCCCCGAGGGTTCCCAGAAGCCTGGCAGCACTTTGTCGAATACGCACACCTCCCAGGCCTGAAGGACGGGCATGAAGGCTGCACGGCTCCCGGTGCTCGTGCGGCACAGCTGGCGCACCGCATCAAGGTCTAGCCAGCCGTCCGAGATTCGCTGTGCTATATCGGGCATGTGCACGAGCTGCTCGGGGATCTGGTACCGCGGGTCTGGCATGGGACAGCGTGTCGACGGGCCGCTGCCACGTGCGAGCACCAGCTAAGGGTGGGCTTGGGGCGCGTCGCGCCACTCGCTCTGGATGAAACGGCTGAAGAAGAGAAGGAGCTTCTGCCCGGCGCCGCGGAGAACACGGTGACTAGACCGGACTGGGAGGATCTAAAGGGAGTTTTCATCAATCTCGTCAGATGAGATTTCGAAGCTTCGGGGGAACAAGAACTTTCCGAGAACTAGAGGCACCCATGTCGGTGCTCGGCGAGACGAACGCTGCTGACGGCGAGGAGACGGTCGCCGTGATCGGATCCGGCATCAGCGGGCTCGCCTCCGCGTGGCTCCTCGCGCGGCAGGGCAAGCGTGTGACGCTCTTCGAGTCTGAGGAGACCCTCGGCGGCCATGCGCTCACCGTCGAGACAAAGATCGCGGGCCCGATTGACCTCGGCTTCCAAGTGTGCAACCTGACCAACTACCCGCACCTGTTCGGCTTCTTCGACCAGCTCGGCATCGACACCGTCGAGTCGGACATGTCCTTCGCCCTCTCCACACCCACCTCTGAGTGGGGCTCTCGCGGCCTCGGCGCCATCTTTGCCACGCCCGGCTCAGCCACCTCGCCCGCCCACTGGCGGATGCTGCGGGACGTGCTCGCCTTTGGGCGGCAGGCGCCCGAGGTGCTCCGCAGCCCGGAGGCGTGGGAGGGCGTCACCCTCGGCAAGTACCTCGCCCGCCGCCGCTACTCGTCCGAGTTTGTGCAGCGCTACGTTGTGCCGATGACTGCGGCCGTCTGGTCGTGCTCGGACGCGCAGGCGCTCGAGTTCCCCGTCGTGCCGCTCATCCGCTTCTGGTCGAACCACCACCTCCTCTCCATCCTCGAGCGGCCGGTGTGGCGCGTCGTCGAGGGCCGCTCGCGTGCGTACGTCGCGGCGGCGGCGGCGGCCATCAAGGACGTGCGCACCGGCTCTCGCGTGGAGGAGGTGCGGCGGGTGGCGGCGGGCGAGGGCGGCGGCGTCGCGGTGCGCGTGGCGGGGGAGGCGCGCGAGTGCCGCTTCGACGCGGTGGTGCTGGCGACGCACTCGGACGTCTCGCTCTCCCTGCTGGGCGACGGCGCGAGCGCGGCAGAGAGGGCGGTGCTCGGCGCCATCCGCTACAGCTCCAACGAGGTGTACGTGCACACGGACGCGTCGCTGATGCCTCGCGCGCGCGCGACGTGGGCGTCGTGGAACTGCATCAAGACGGAGCGGCCGGACGAGGCGACCGCCGCCGTCTGCGTCTCGTACTGGGTCAACCTGCTGCAGAACCTGCCCGCCGGCACGCCGGACCTCTTCGTGACCCTCAACCCGCCCTCGCCGCCCGACGCGGCGAAGACGGTCCGGCGGGTGCAGCTCGCGCACCCGCTCTTTGACGGCGCGGCGGTGGCGGCGCAGGCGCGGGTGGGCGGCCTGCAGGGCTCTGGCGGCGTCTACTTTTGCGGTGCGGCGCAGCTGCCGCCTCGCGCGCCTCCTCTCCCCTCCGCCGACCCTCCCTCAAGCCTCGCCCACAGGCGCGTGGTGCGGGTACGGCTTCCACGAGGACGGGATCGCCTCGGCCGTCCGCGCCGTCGAGGCGCTCTGCGGCGGCGGGCCGGTCGTGCCGTGGGAGCCCTTCTCGTGCGACGCGAAGGTGGGCCTCGTCCCGCGCGCCTGCCTCAGCCTCTTCCTCCGCTTCGGCGACGCGATGCTCTCGCGCGGCGGCGCCATCCGCCTCATCCTGCCGACCGGGGCCGACTGCTGGCTCGGCGACCGCGCCGCGCCGGCCGAGCAGACGGCGGTCGTGCGCGTGCGGCGCGCCTCCCTCTTCCAAAAGGTGGTTTGCAAGTCGGACATCGGGCTCGGCGAGGCGTACATGGACGGCGATTACGCCGGGGACGTCTTCAAGCTGCTGCTGCTCCTCTCGCGCTCGAACTCGGGCAGCCCGTCGCAGCTGCGCCAGGCGACGGCCGGCGCCCTCGGCTGGGCCGGCGGCGCGCTCCACTCGCTCTTCGAGCGCCTCGAGCGCGACGCGCACTATGCAAACTCAAACACAGAGGAGGGGTCGGCACGAAACATCTCGTACCACTACGACGCGGGCAACGACTTTTACAAGCTCATCCTCGACGAGACGATGCTGTGCGCCGCCGCCCCCATTCCGCCGCCGGCCCCTGCCCCGCCCCGCCGCCTCCCACCACGCCCGAGCCCGCCTCCAGGTACTCGTCCGCCGTCTTCACGGCCGAGCGCGCCGCCGCGCTGGCGGCCCTCGACGCGGCCGGCAAGGAGGCCAGCCTCGAGGAGGCGCAGTACGAGAAGATCGACGCGATGATCCGCGCCGCCCAGCTGCGGCCTGGCGAGCACGTGCTCGAGATCGGGTGCGGCTGGGGCGCCTGCGGCGTGCGGATGGCGCAGGTGGCGGGCGTGCGCGTGACGGGCATCACCATCTCGCGCGAGCAGCTCGCCGAGGCTCGCAAGCGCGCGCGCGAGGCGAACGTGGAGCACCTCGTCACCTTCGAGTTTTGCGACTACCGGAACGTGCGCGGCCAGTTCGACAAGGTAGTCTCGATCGAGATGATCGAGGCGGTGGGGCACGAGCACCTGCCAACCTTCTTCGCCGCCGTCTCGCGCGCCCTCAAGCCGGGCGGGCTCGCCGCCATCCAAGTCATCACCAGTGCGCTCACGCCCCCCCTCTCCCCCCACCCACGCCCCCACCCACCCGCCCACCCCGCCCTCCTCCCGCCCCCGGCGGCGCCCCTCCCAACCCCGCGCCGCCCACTCCCCTCGCCCCCAGTGCCCGACGAGCGGTACGAGGCGTACTGCAACTCGCACTCCGACTTCATCCGCACCCACATCTTCCCGGGCGGCCACCTCCCGTCGATGGGAGCGATGACCGCCATCTCCTCCCGCCTCGGCCTCGAGCTGCACGGCGCAGCCGACGTCGGCGACGACTACGCAATCACGCTCCGCCTCTGGCGCGAGCGGCTCACCGCCCGCGCGCGGCAGATCGAGGCGCTCGGCTACCCGCGCCGCTTCATCCGCATGTACGAGTTCTACTTCGCCTACTGCGAGGCCGGGTTCGCCAACCAGCTCATCCACGACTACCAGCTCACCTTCCGCAAATCGCCGCTCCCGCGGCCGCTCCCGCCGCCGACGGACGCGGCGCCGACGCCGGTCGACCCGCTCACGGCGACGCTGCTCTTGGTGTGGGGCGGCCTCACCGCCGCGCTCGTCGCCTCCAAGCCGCACATGGCCATCGTCCCCGCGGCGCTCGTCGCCGTGCTCTCGGCCTGCGGCCTGCTCCGCGCCTTCTGCGGCTTGGCGCCCTTCCGCGCCGCCGCGGCGACCGCGGCGCTCGCGGCCGCCCTCACAGCCGCCTCCTCGGCCGCGCTGCTTATCGCGGCCATGGCGACGGCGGACCTCAGCGCAGCCGCCGCGCCCGTCGCCGTCACTTCGCGGGCCGCGAGGGCGGCTGCCAAGGCCGCCCGCAGCGCCGCCGCCGCCCCATCGTCGCTCCCCGACGTCGCGTCCGCGGTGCGGTGCTTCGTCGAGCTGCTGCAGCGCCCGTCGCCGCCCGCCCCGCTCCAGGCGGCCGCGCGCGCCGTGGTCGGATCGGCCGCCGGCTGCAACGCCGCCCGCGCTTGGGAGGCTGTGCGTCACCGCCAGCTCCGCACCGACACTTTCGAGGGCGCCGCCTCGGCCGTCTTCCTGGTCGTCGCGGCGGCGGCGCTCTACCACGACATCGCGTTGCTCCCCATCGCCCTTGCGCAGCTCTCCGAGGCGCACGCACTCCTTCTCCGGCTGCGCATGCTCAAGCGCGCGCCAGAGCCGGCGGCCACCGGCCAGCCGCCCGCGCCGCCCGGAGGCGGGTTTGGTCTGGGGCTCGCCTTCCTCGTGCTGCGCGCTGCGCCGCACGCCGCGCTGATCGGCGCGACAATGCCTCGCCTCCTCGCGCCGGGCGAGGAGCGCACCGCGGTCACGTGGGCCGCGCTCCTCTCGTTGAGCGTGATGGTGATGCACGACAGCACCGTCCTGCTCTCCGAGGTGCGCCCGCCGATATGCGCCCCGAACGGCTATCAGGGCAACCCGCGACCCCTCTCACCCCCCCGCCACGCCGTCTCAGGTCCGCCGGCACCTCCTTGCGTCTCGCCTCGCTCACCTCGAGGGCCTGACCGCTGGCAACCACCGCAAGTCGAGCTGATTGGGCAGGCCGCCAGAGGGAAGGGTGGGGGACCAGCCGGGAGCGTCCCGCAGCCCGCTGCGGTGAAGCGCGCAGAAGAGAAACGGGCGCCGCCACGGGCTTCACGACTCGCGTCTCGATACCGAGACACCAGCCTACGTGGTGGTGTCGATACCGAACCTCGTACATACGCGGTGTGAGTGCCTCTCGGACCTGCTGCTAGCCCGGCCGGAGTCTTGAGAGGCGCAGAGTGTGGAGAGTGAGAGATCGGTCCCAGATCGGCCACCGCCGCGCACACACACATTTTAAGAGACGCACGCACCTCGCACGCGGTCTCTTGACTCCTCGGTGTGCGCCAACGGATTTTACTTGTGTGTATATTTACGTACTCCACTCTGGGACATGCGTGTACACGTACAAGCCGCTCAGCGGCTGAACTCCCCGGCTTCTTCCTTTTCTCTCTGTGTGAGCTGTGACCACATGATCGATGATGGCACACATGAGACGGCCGGAGGCGGAGCCCGCGCTATCCCCTCACGTCTGGCTCGCCCAGCACGTCTCCCCGAGCCACTGCTCCGCCCAGCACTCTGTCGACGCAAGGCGGAGCATCGCGTGCCACTCGTGCGGAGTGGCGGGCGCGCCGACGGCGAGCCGCCAGAGACGCGCGGTGAAGGAGCCGAAGAATGCGGCGGCGGCGGCGGTGAGCGCCCAACCGACCCGGCGGGGCACGGAGCGCGCGCGGACGACGAGTGCGTCCCAGCCGGCGGCGGCGATCAGGATGGCGAAGTAGTAGGCGGGCGCGTAGTAGAGGAGGAAGGTCTGCCGGTCCTGCGTCGCGTACGGCAGCCAGTGCAGCAGCATCGCGCACAGCAGCGAGGCGGTGCCGCCCGGCTCGGCCGCGCCGCTCAGCGCGCCGGCGAGCCGCGCCGCTCGCTCTGCGCCCTCCGCGCCGCGCAGGCGCTCGCGCGCGCACCCGAGCGCGAGGGCGGCGAGGCGGGCGGCGGCGGCGGCCGCGGCGGCGGCGGCGGCGAGGGCGATGGCCGGGTTCGGGTGGATGAAGAGGCCGAGCAGATGTTGGTCGTCTGGCGCCGCGGCGACGGCCGCCCAATCTCTGACGAGGGAGAAGTGGACGCCTCGCGCGGCGAGCGGCCACGAGTACCAGCGCGAGTCGAAGGCGTGCGAGCCGCGCGGGAAGAGGATGGCCATGTTGCGGTTGTAGCGGAACTGGGTGGCGGCGTGCTCGAGCGCGAGCGCGAGGAAGGAGGGCCTCTCTCCAGGCGGAAGCGAAGCGGCGAGCGGGTTGCCGGCGAGCGTGGCCTGGAAGCCTTCGGACATGTAGCCGTCGCCGTCGCCAGAGTTGGGGAGCAGGGAGAGGTGGAGGCGGAGCATCGCCACGTGCATCGCCAGCGGCAGCCCGAGCAGAATCGCGCCGCGCGCCGCCGCCTGCCGGAGGAGCGCCGCGACGCTTCGCCCCTGCGCGGCGAGCCGGCAGAGAAGGAGCAGATTCTGCAGCCCGAGCCAGCCGAGGGTGGTGAGGGGCGCGCCGTACTTGCACTGCAGCGCGCCGCCGAGGGCGAGGCCGGCCGCCATCAGCGGCGCGAGCGGCAGCGGCGCGGCCGCGTCGCGCGGCGGCGCGCGCGTCGCAGAGAGCGCGGCGAGGTGGGTGAGGCTAACGAGGAGGGCGAGGATGATATCGTTGAGGTGGAGGCGCGAGAGGGCGAGGAAGAGGTTGTCGCTCAGCACGAGGTAGGCGGCGAGCAGGCTCGACGCACGCGAGAGCCCGGCGGCGCGCGCAGTGATAAAGGCGACCGGCACCATCGCCGTGCCGCACAGTGCCGGCAGCAGCCGCTGAGGCGCGAGGTCGCACTCGGCCGCAAACGGCTCGGTCGACTCGTACGGACAGGAGGCGGCGCCGCGGAAGCCCAGGGCGAGCGCGACGCGGTACATGGCGAGCTTTGCTAGCGGGGGATGCACGTCGAAGAAGTAGGCGCGCTGGTGGTACCTTGGAGGCAGACGCGCGAGGAGTCGGATTTGAGATGGCGGATTAGATGGGCTGCGCTTGGGAACGGCAGAAGCGGCGCGCCAGTTGAGGAAGCGACCCACATGCGTCTCGTCGTACACCGGCGTGGCGGGAAGGTCGATTCGCCAGAGCCGGGTCACACCGGCTGCGAGTGTCAGTAGGAAGAGACAGCTCGCGTCGCCGCCGATCACGCTGCCGCGGTCGTCGGGGCGCGGGCCAGCAGGGCGGCGGGATTTCGCGGAAGGCATGCAGTGGTGGTGTCGTCGACTGACTTCGAGTCGGGGCCGCCTCAGAAAGAATTTTACAAGGGTCCATCGCACGACACCGGGTACGGGACTGGCACTGCAAAGGCGACGGCTTAGAAGCCGTCGCCCTCACAGATGCCGTCCTCCTCACAGAAGGCGTCGTCGGAATGGTAGTCAGGCGGATGGTCGAATCCGCGAGCACCGTGGTGAGAATTCTAGCTACGCCACGGGCGCTTTGGTGCCAGACCTAGAGCGCTAGGCGGGGGCCTCCCATCAAAGGGACTGCGGCAGAAGACGCCCAATCTTGCACAAGTGCAACAACCATACGTCTCGCCAGTTCGTGCGAGGGTATTTTGGACAATCCACAAAAAACAATTGCCGGGGTTAAAACACAACCTCTGCATGTATGTGTGTATGCTGCCTCTCTCACAGCACACTGACAAGGCTCAAGGGCGTGCGTGGACGGGCGCAAACAGCACAGACATCGGCCGAAAGAAGAATTCGCGCGGGGGGATCGCTTCCCGAGTAGGATTCCTAAGTCCTGAACAACCACATGGTCGTACTTTTCGTTCGCGGCCATCGCGCATCGGGGTACGGATACTCTCTCGTATGTGGCGAATCGCCATCGATAAACTGGAGGGGGGAAGGAATCTAGAGGGCGGGCTCCCGGCCTCCCGCCGGGACGTGGCGGAAAGTCGGCGGTTGAAACGCCAAACAACCGTCAAACAGAGTGCGCTTGCAAATTGATTCCAGGCCAATCGCCGCCCTGCGCGCCCTCGCCTGCGCCCCACAACGGCGACACGCGAACCGCCCACGCGCACACGGCCACACTGACACGCTGCTCGGCCCGATCGCCCTGGATTGCAACATTACTGATCGCCTGACCGTTGGCCGCGCCTCAGGATGTTTTCCAAAATCGTGGGCGAGTCTACCCTCATGCTGGCTGGCTGCGCTGGCGCAATCGCGATCCAGGCACAGCTCCTAGCGAGGGCCGCCAAGCCCGAGTGCGCTGCGGCCGAAGCCACGAGGCAGTTTGAGATGCCCTCCGACGCCGAGATTGCCGCAATGGCCAACGCAGCTCTGTCTTTGAGAGGATCCGCCCATCGTCGGGAGCGGCCAGTGGCGCTCGTGCCAGCGCGCGACTAAGATAGTGAGGGTGTGGGCTTGCTTCGAGTGCCGCCGGTTGTCCTGGCGCGTGTGCTTTTATGCATTATGGGGGCGGCGGCCCGGTCCCCGGTGGGGTCAGGGAGCTCAGCGCGCTTGCAGCGGCCGCGCGCGGGCACTGGGGTCTGGGCAACCACAGTGCACACCTAGGCCGTGGTCCAGGTGCTGTCGCGTTGGACGATGTAGAATGAACAACTGCTCGTTATCATAAACGACACGCACGAGTGTGCGCAACTGGCCAACTGCCCGGCGGGGGGCTCTATGACGAAAACTAGACGATGCCTTGCGGCGGCATGCCCGGCGGCATGCCCAGCGGCGGCATGCCTGGCGGCGGCATGCCTGGCGGCGGGACTAGCCGCGGCATGTCTGGCGACATGCCCGGCGGCCGCATGCCTGTTGGCAGGGCGGCTGCCGCGGCTGTCGGCTCCCGCTTCACGCACGACGTTGAGGGCTCCAGCGCGCCGAGCTCCTTGTTCACGGCGGCCTCGGCGGCGATCTCGCGGTCCTTGGCCGCGCGGTACTCATCCCACACAGTCTCGCGCGCTTTCGCCGCGGCCGTGAAGTCGTCGAAGGCCTTGTCGAGGCCACGCAACTGCGGGTGCCGCGGCCGCCTTCTGGCGCGCCGCCGCTTTGCGCCGCGCGAGTTCGTCGTGATCGTTCGTCCCGATCCACTCTTCGAGCGCCCCCTCATCCTGCAAGAGCTCCTTCACGCGCTGGTCAATCGCCGGGTCCAGCTTCGAGCGAGCCTTGGCCACGCGCTCCTCCAGGAGCTCGCTTTGCCTGCGGCTGCGCTTGCGTGGTGTGTCGGGCTCAAGGGTGACGGCGTTCTTGCGGCCCTCGGCATTCTTCTGCTCCCAGCTGCGCTCGCCCACGACCTGAACGTCTCCCGTCGCAGCTGGCACCTTCGCCGCAGCGGACGTCACTGGCTTGCTCAGCACCTCCAGGTCGCCCGCGTCGATCCACTGCTGTTGCTTCCAGTCCCAGCACCGCCATGGACTCTTGACGAGCTCGACCCTGTGGCGACATCACCGGGAGCGTACATGACGCCCTCGTCGGCGCCAATGTCCTCCGAGTCCCCAATCACCCAGCCTGAGTCAGCGTTCACGTACCACAACGCTTGCTTGACTTTGTCGTCCTCGTGGCGGTATAGCGGGTAGGCTGTACGGCCATTGGTTAGGGCGGGAATTTCGTGGTACACGCCGAGACATGCGCGAGATTTGCCCTGGTTCTCGGTCGGCAGCCTGCCGACGATGGCCACGCGAGCCATCTGTGTCCCGTGTTTCTGCTGCTGCTTACCTCACGACCGTGTTTCTTTCCCGTCTAATTATCCAGGCTGTATCTACCAGGCTGTTCTCCAGGCTGATCTTCCAGTTAACCTGCGAAGCGTGAACAGCGCCACGAATTTGAACAGCGTTCCTTGAACACGATATCGGTGTCGCACCGCTCTGACATGACCGGAGCACTTGGAGCACTTGGAGTGCAGTCGGTAACCTCACATCCAGGGCCGGGGAGCTAAGAAGCGCACCCAGCGGGCCGGATGATCGGCATCGGGCTACGGGCTAGAGAGCCCTGACCCCTAGGGGGGTGCGCGTTCGCAGGGAAAGGGCTGTAGAGTAAAAAAAATTGCGTTTTACCCTGCGAAAGACACTACTCTCCCCCTCCCGTCACTCGTCCCCCTTGGCGTGGCGCGCCTCTCCCCCAGCTCTCGGTATCGCGTACTGCACGAGGCTACCGTGGGCCCCGCCTGCGCGCTGGGGGTTCCCTGCCCTGTCGGGAAGCCTAGCTCTGAACCTGGGGTCGCTACCTAATGCGGGGCTCCTGGACGGGCGATGAAGTTCGCCTTGAATCTCTCGTCTCGCTTTCCCCCCGACTCGCGTCCGTCGGGGGTACTCCCTGCTCTGGCTCTCTGATCTCCCCCCCGCCCCCCCCCCCCCTCCTTCCCTCTCCGGGATGAGAAGCGCGCTGCTGTCCCTAGAGGGGGGTCGGGTGGTGAGGGAATTGATTAGGCCTCATGTTGTCCGCGGTCGCCCACGGACGATCGCCGGAGTGGGCCGAAGGACAGAGGCTTGCCTGTGTGGGGGCGCGCGGGCGCCCACTCAGGCTCGGCCTCCGTTGTCTCAGCCTTCAGTTCACCTCTCCTAGCGCCCGGTTTTGCGTGGCGACCTTCATTTCGGGGTCGAAGGTGCTACACACACTTGCCCCCTGGTGGTCTGGCACTCGGCGTTATACCTACTGGGGTTAGGCTGTTTTTCTTTGATTTTCTGAATTTCGGGGGGGGGGGGGGGAAGTGGGTCCCCGCGGTGTTTTTTCTTTCCTGTCAGTTTTCTTCTATAAAGATCTTGGCAAAAAAGAGGCCGTTTGTATCGTATTACAAAAGTACTGCGTGCGGCATGCGCGGGCTCGACGTGAGGCAGGCGACTGTCGCGGGGTGCGGGCTGCATCGCCGGTGCGGGGACTGCGCGGCGTGCACAACAAACATGTACATGTGCATGCACCTTGGCTTGCATGTGTGTGTGCTCTGTGCGGTCTGTGCTGTGTGCAGGCAGACTGGACAGCAAACTGAACGGATGGCGGAGCGCGCGCGCAGCGTGCCACGCGCGCGCCTCGTGCAGTGCAGGATCTGCGTCGTGCAGGCGCGAGGCGGCAGGGGCGCAGCGGAGCACGCGGGCTGAATGGTTCAGAACAAGCAGGGCTGCTGTGCAGTCTGCATGCAGACTGCACAGCAGCCCTGCTCGGGTAACGGAGAGCGTGCTCGGTGGCCTGCGCGCGCGGCGTGCCGCCGCGCGCGCCTCGCGGTGAAGCGTCTTGCCGGTCGCGTCGCGCTCCGGTGCGGTATGGTGCCTGAAGAAGGTGCAGGCGCTTGTGCAATGGGCGCAGACTGCAGTGAGAGGTGCACTGCGGCGCGCGCGTCGCGGCGTGAGTGGTCGTGCGCCTGGCGCTGGTGGTGCGAGAGGCGCGTGGCTGGTGCGGGCGGCTCGGGACAGCCATAGGATGCCAGCACAGAGCAGACGCACATGGCACAGCTCTGAAATGGCGCTGCGCGTGTTTGCGTGCGCGCGGGGACGTACGTGCAGTTTTCACGCGGTGTGCGTGGAGAGGGTCATGCAGGGCGCCGGCAGCGCGTGGCTCGGCGTGTGGGAGTGTTGGGGTGCCCGTAGGCGCGTGGGGAAGGTGCCCGAAGGCGATCATTTCGGGGTGCTGAAGGAACTGTTGTGCACAGCTTGAAAGGGCTGTAGAGTAAACACGGGTCCCCGAGGGTTAGCTCTGCGCTCCGGGTTTCCCCTAGCCGCGGAACGCCCCCTCTACTCGGGGCTAGTATTGTTTTCTCTTTGCCTTGTTCGCAGCACGTCCAACGCCATCGCTGACCGTGCTTCGAACCATCTCCCGTGATGGCCGCCCTCCGCTCCGCCGCCCGCTCGCTCTGGCGGCGCGTGCACCCCGACCTTTTCCAGCGGCACCCTGCGGCGGCGGCCTCCAACCAGCGTGCGATGCAGGACGTTGGCGCCTTCCTCGACGCGGCGGCGGAGCGGCACCACGCGCTGCTCACCGGGGCGCCTCCGCCTCCGCCACCGCCGGCACGCTCGCTCGCCTTCTTCGTGGACGCGCCAGCACCGGCCGAGCCGCGAGAGGTTTGTGTTCGTCTGGCGCCGCCGCACGTGCCGCGCCACCTCGCGTCCGCCGCGGCAGCCGAGCGGTGGGCGGACGGCGTGCGGCGCTGCATCGAGGATGCGGTGGCGGCCCTGGACGGGTCGCCCGACGTCAGGGCGGCCGGTGCGAGCGAGGAGCGCTCAGACGCACCTCCCGCGGCCGCCGACCCGCTTCTCGCCGCCGCCTTGCGCGCGTCCGCCGCGCGACAGCGCCACGAGCGGCGTGGCGCCGCCGCCGCCGCCGCGCCGCCGCCGCCGCCGCCGCCGCCGCCGCCGCCGCGGATGCGCCTCGAGACGAGCCGCCTCTTTTTCGGGCGCGGCATCGACTCAGACGAGCAGCAGCGGCTCATCGAGGCGCTGCGCCGCCTCCTGCCGCAGCTCAGTCCGCGGGTGGTGCGCGCGCTGCGCGGCGGCGGCAGCAGCAGCTCGCGCTCGACGCATTTGCGCTCAAAGCATTTGCCGCCGCACCCCCCGATAGTGGTTGCAGCGCGGGAAGGCGCGGGCGGCGCGGGCGGCGCGGGTGTGGGGGGCGCGGGGATCGCCCACCTCGATCCCAGCTTTCAGCTCGCCGATCTGGAGGCGGCGCTGCTGGAGGCGGCGAGGCCGCCCTCCGCAGCCGGCGGAGAGAGCGGGGCGCGGGGTGGGAGTGGTGGCCGCGCGGACGGAGGCGGCCGCGGCGTCGCCGAGGCGGCGGTTGACGCTGCGCGCCGGCTGCGCGCCGCCGTGCGGTGCGATGGCGTGCTCACGAGCGGTGCGGACGCAGAGACGGCGCTGCTCGTGGCGGAGGCGCTGCTCGCGCAGGCGACCGAGCTGCGCGAGGCCCTCGACCTGAGCTGGCAAGGCGTCCGGCTCCGGCTCCTCCCCGCTGCGGAGGAGGGCGCCGCCAACTGCCGCTTGACCGACGGCGCGGGCGGCGGCGCGCAGCTGCTCGTGCGCGGGACGCAGGGCGCGGCCGAAGTGCTCGCCCTCGTGCGGCGCGAGGCGCACAGCCTGAGGAGGGCGCGAGAGCGGGTGGCGGCCTCCCCTCTTCCCGGGCGGAGGCGTCGCGGGTGGCCACGTCCAAGCGCCCCCACCCCTCGTGGCCCGACAGGCGGTGCTGCTCGACGAGCTGTGCGCGCGGCTCGGCTGCGCCGACGCCACCGCCATTGGCATCGGCCGCGGCTGCGGGGACGAGCAGGTGGCGTCGTTGCGCCGGCTGCTCTGCGAGGTGCCGGAGGGCGGGCTTGTGCTCGGCGACAGGTTCGAACCTGCGAGGCTACACCTGGTGATTGGCAGCGGCGCCGCGGAGGCGGCGGAGCGCGCCATGGCCGGCCGACGCGGCGCAATGGAGGTGTATGTTGCACTACCGTCCGTCTTTGGCGCCGCTGAGCTCGCGGCGGCGATTGCATCGGCGATTGGCCGAGATGGGGCGGTTAGGACGCGGCATGGGACACGGATTTCAGCCGTTGGTGGCTCCAAACGTCAACGGTAGTTGCTAGTTCAGTCACACATTGACGGTGTGTATTGTGTTCAATCGTTATCATCAGCGTACAGTACACACAACACACGGAGAGAGAGTTACCACGAGAGATATCCGACTCGAGTCGTGTCAATCGCTCCAAGAGCAAGACGAGAAAAGAGAGGTCGGCTCATCACTGTTGTGTTCCCCTGTTCCCCAAAGAGGCCAGAGAGAGCGGACAGAGCGCAGAGACGAGAGAGCCGAGCCTGGCGAGCCTCTCTCTCCATCCTCCTCTACGTTACGTCTCCGATTCTCACCTGGCTCTGTGCCACACCTCCCAACACAAAAATGAATGACAGGAATCGCACATCAACTGCCTTGTCAGCTCTCATCCCCTGCCATTGGACTGTCTGCGGCAATCGCCTGGCCCTCGGCAGCGTCAGCTTCGCCACCCGGCTCCGCCTCCGCCTCCGGCGCCGGCTCGGCCGTGGGCTCAGGCTCGGGGGGCGGCGCGGGCTCCGGCTCCGGCTCCGGCTCCGGCTCCGGCTCTGGAGCTGGTGAGTCATCCGCCGCTTCTGCGGGCTCCGGATTGGGAGAAGTTGCAGCAGCCTCCGTGGGCTCACTCCCGGACGCAGGCGCGTCTTGCAGTCCCGTGGAGCCCTCGACGGCGGGTGGCGCCTTCGCCGCGGTCGCAGTGCCCGCTTCTTCCACGGCCGCTGCAGGGTTCGGCGTCCCGCCGAGCGTGTTCGAGCTGGACCCGCCGGTGCTCGAGGTCGACTTGCGATACTGCATCAGCTTCTCCTTGTTCTTCTCCTGGCGCCGCTTGATCCGCGCCTTTTCCCGAGCCTCCTCCTCCTTCTTGGAGGCGAGTGCCGCGGCGGCCTTGCTCTCCTTCTCCTCCTCCTTCTTTTGCTTGAGCTCCTGGTAGTCGAGCAGCTTCGCATGCACCTCCTTGCGCCGCCTGGCCAGCTTTGCATTCCGCTCCTTCTCCTTGCGGACCCTCTCCTCCTCCTCGAGTTTCTTGCGCACCGCGGCGCGCTTCATCAGGGTCTCGTTCGGAGGCATGTTTGCACTACTCATGCCTGGCACCTCCGCCGGCTGTAGCGGCGCCTTCGGCGGCCGTCGTGGCGCAGCGGGTCGGGCAGCCGGCGAGACCCCAGGCCGCTGCCTTGCCGGAGCGGCCAGCTTCGACCCCGGGTCAGGTGAAGGCGCTCTGCTCCGCGACCGTTGCGGAGACGCTGCAGCAGGTGCAGAAGGCCTTGCTCCACCCACCTTCCGCTCAAGTGCGCTTTTCGCGGGGCGCTTCTCGGGAACGACCTTCAGACGCGTCTCCTCCGCCGCCACCGGCTTCAGAATGTTGATGCCGAGGGCATTCTCGAAGATGCTGTCCATGAGCTCGAGCGAGGCGGCGGCTGATGCGCTCAGCCCCATCTCGGGCGGGACGACACGCACCTGCGTCTCCTTGCGCTCAACCTTGACGGCAAGGCCGGCAGGCACCGGCACCTCGTTCGGATCAGCCGCCGCATTTAGCTTCTTCTCCAGCGCCGCGCGCTTTTGCTCCGCCGGGGAGAGCTTGGGCGCCGGGCGCGGCGGCTCCTTTTTGCCCGCGTCAGCCGCCTGCTTTTTGGCTCTGTCCGCCCGAGCCCCGTTTGCCGCCTGCTTGCGAGGCGGCCGCTGCGCCTCTGTCGCCGCCGCCTTCCCGTCAACAAGCTTTGCCGCGTACTTCTTCCCACCGCTTTGCTTGGCGCGGTCCTCGCGAAGCTTGCGCCGCTGCTCCTCGGTCGGCTTTGGCTTTGCCGCTGTCGCTTCGGTGTCCGACCCCGGGTCCCGTCGGCCTGGAGACGGCCGGCCATAGCCGCCACCCTTGACTGCCGCGTAGCTGCCTCCTCTCTGCCGTCCTCCTTCGGTCCCCTTGCTTGCCGGCTTCGGCAACAACACCGGGCCGTCCGCCGCCTCGCCGCCGATGCTCGCCCTCCTCGCACGGGCGGGGCTCTTTTTGGGCGCCGCTTCCGCCTTGGTGGCCCCTCCGGCCTTGGGCGATCGGGCTGGAGAGATGGGCGGTAGCACCTTTTTGCGGCCGGTCGGTACCGCGTCGACATTATCCACGGCGTCGGAGCGTGGCCGAAGCGCCGGCGCCGGCTTTCCCTGCTTTTGCGGCGGCGGCGAGCCTTGGCTCTGATGCTTCTCAGCAAAGCCAAGCAGCGCTGCCAGACCCGGGTGCTCCGCTCCCCGAAGCTGCAGGTACTGCTGACTGGCGGCAAGCACGGCCGGTGCGACGCGGTTGAGAATCTCGGTGTGTTGCAAGTGGAGGAGCTTGGCGGTCAGCTCGACGCAGAGGGTGGCGCGGATGGAGGAGCCATCGACGGCACTCTTGCCGCCCGGCTCGGTCGGCAGCAGCTTGCTCAGCGCCTGCTCGCAAAAGATCTCGAGAAAGTCGTGCAGCATCTCAGAGGTGTGGTAGCGCTCCACGAGCACGAGGAATGGGATGCTGCCGACCCGCCCATGCAGCGCGTCGTTGAGGCAGACCTTGCCGAGGAATTGCAGCAGCAAGAGCGCGTGGCGCAGGCCGAGGCTCGGGTGCTTGGCGAGGGTGAGGAAGAAGTCAAAGTCGGAGTTATCGTAGCCGTACAGGGTGACCTGCTTGATGAGAGGCTTGAGGAGCACGCCCACGGGGATTTGCGGCTGCTGCATCAGCGTGAGCTGGAAGTTGCGCGCGATAAAGTGGCGGGCGCCCGCCTCATGGTGGTTCTCGATGAGCGAAAAGGCGAGCGCCTTGAACAGCGCCGGCGCCGCGGGGTGATTCGTCGACGCAAAGCGGTCGAGCAAGCGGAAGAGCGCAACGTGCACGCCCATCTGCAGCTCAAAGTCGGAATCGCGGCAGCCGCGCTTGAGCTCCGTCAGCACCACGCTCGCTGCGTCCTGAGACGCACCGTCCTCGGCGGCGGCTGCAGCGACGGCGTCGGCACTCGCCTCGAGCCGGATGGTCTGGAGTTCGTCCGGGAAGCTCGACCAGAGCTGCGCAAGCAGTTCGAGGGCGCGTCCGCGGCCAAGCGGGGGCGCGTACGGCAGCCGCGCCACGTGGAGCGCGCGCTGGACCAAGTATTGGAGCGCGCCCGAGTACCTGATGTAGCTGGGCATGCCGGCGGTGGCCGAGAGTAGTGGCAGAAGCTCGAGGGCGAAGGTCAGGTAGGGCGTCGGCTCGGCGAGCAGCTGAGGCAGCACGTGCGAGATGAACTGCTCCACATTGTCGCCGCTAAAGTGCAGCACCATTGGCAGCAGTGAGCCGGCCGAGTGCAGCTCCGGGTGGGCGCGCCATGCCTCAATCATGGCGGACGCGCCGCCGTCGGGCCGGGAGAACCAAAGCCACAGCACCGCCTGCCCTCCCCGCTGGGTGAGCTCCGACGCGATCCTGCAGAGCAGCCGGCTGGTCCAGAGCGCGACGTTGGCCTCGGTCGAGCTGAGCCCAGGCTGCAGCAGGGCGAGCGCCCTCTCTGCATTCGCCTCACTAGCACCGCACAGGGCCACCAGGTGGCGGCAGTGAGCAAACGCGAGCTTCAGGTACCTCACCGCAGTCTCGTGGTCTCCACGTTCGCCGTGCGCCAGCTTCCGCGAGAGGCGGCGGAGGCTCGGCTCGCCAACCATCTGCAGGGCCTCGCCCCAGCTGCACGAGTGCAGTTGCGTGTGCAGGCAAATCGCGAGGAACTCCTCGGGACTGCGCGCCTCGTTCGGGGCGGCTGGCGGAGTGCCGATGCCGGCCGATGCCTCCGCGGCCCCTCGATCGGACCGGTCGCCTCTCGCAGCCGCCCCGCCCTGCGGCCCTGGCGAGTGTGCGTGCACGTGCAATTGCTTGACCACGTCGACGACGATGTCGGTGTCTCCCGCAACTATGAGCACCTTCATGTCGGCATCGACGTAGACACCATACTCACGCAGCTCCGGCAACAGCAGGTTCCAGTTGTACAGCTTGGCAACCGGCGTGGTCAGCTCCTTGAGTGCGCCTGGCCGCCGGCCGCCCAGCTGCTGCAACAGGATCCCGACCCGCACTCCGTTCTCGAACTCGGCGGCAGCCTCCCGCGCAAGCGCGACCGAGTCGCCGTAGGGGGCCGCCTCGGACTCTCTCAGCACCCCCAGCCGGCGGAGCCAGCCGGCGACGGCGCCATCGAGCACCAGGGGCATGGTCGGCGCAACAGTAACGGTCCCGGCCAGATGATCCGGCGAAACTGCGTTGGGCGTGAACGATTGCGCTTTGGGGCTTACTCTACTTAACTCTCTGTGGCTAGAAGTTCCTATCTATGCTTCTGTTCTCGGCGCGCGCACGTTTGGCACTAACTCGAGGCTTTGATTCTTACGCCCCTCACTCACCCGCCAACCAAGGCAGGTAGGTAGGTGATTGAGTGAGTGACTTGTTTGTGTGTGTGTGTGTGCTCACTCACACCACTACACTGTCTGGTGGGGGTGCCCGAGCCATGTATGTGTGCGTCTGTGCATGTGCGGGAAAAAAGAAAGAAAACACACAACCCAAGGCGGAGGAGGGATGGGAGGACGGCACACCGCCACCACACAGGGATTTTAAGGAGAGGAGTGTGGTGCTAGCCGTCACCCACCCTCGGGCGTCTACCTCTTCCTATCTCTCTTTGCAAGTCTCTCGCCAATTCTCGCAGCGACCTTCATGCCGCCTAGCATGCCGCCTCGCGTTCTTCCTACCTACTCTCGTCGTTCTCTCTCCTGCTGTTTCATCCTCTGACTCATCGCTCTCCTCGCACCTCGCGGGCCTCGTTCTGAGACGCCGCCACCGCCTGCCGATCCCTTGCTCTCGCGGCTTCTCTCGCCTCTCGCGGCGTAACTCCGCTCTCCTCGCAGCGTATTTTGGCCCCTCGAGTTTATCGAGCCTTCCTCTCGCGCAAGGACCACATTTCTGACTCTCCCACTCCGATCATTATTTGCCTCCAAGTCATGTCGTTGCTCAGATCCACTCTCGCTTTTCGAGCACTTACCTCAACGGTCGGTGTTGGCACTGTGGGGCTCCATTCGTGTGTAAAAAGAAAGAAAGAAAACAGACAATCCAAGGGAGGGATGGGAGGACGGCACGCCGCCACCAGAAAAGGATTTAAGGAGAGGAGTGTGGTGCTAGCCGTCGCCCACCCTAACCCTTGTTCGTCTGCTCTTCTTTCTCCCTTCGCGTGTAACAGAGGCGGTGGAAGCTCCATCGACCGGCGACGTCGAAGACGAGCTTTAAAGAAAGAAAGAAAGAAAACAGTCAACCCAAGGGAGGGATGGGAGGACGGCACGCCGCCACCACACAGGGATTTTAGGGGAGAAGTGTGGTGCTAGCCGTCGCCCACCCTCGGGCGTCTACCTATTTCTATCTCCCTTCGCAGTTTCTCACCAATTCTCGCAGCGACCTTCATGCCACCTCGCGTTCTTCCCACTCTCGTCGTTCTCTCTCCTGCTGTCTCTTCCCCTGACTCATCGCTCTCCTCGGCCTCGTTCTGAGACGCCGCTGCCGTCTGCCTTGCTCTCGCTGCTTCTCTCGCCTTTCTGCGTAACTCCGCTCTCCTCTCCGCGTATTTTGGTCCCTCGAGTTTATCGAGCATTCCCTCGCGCAAGGACCACATTTCTGACTCCCACCGCGATCATATCCCGCCATGTCATGTCGTTGCTCAGGTCCACTCTCGTTTCGAGCACTTTTGTACCTCAACTGTCGGTGTTGGCACTGGGGTTCCCTTCGGGGATATCGTGACAGCTGACGGCGGGATTTCCACTGGTGTTTCGTCCTCCTCGGGGTCGTCTTCCCCGGCTTCCTTGCGTTCGGCGTGGCTCACCCTCCATGCCGTGAACAGGCGCTTTATCCACTCTATATTCTTCTCTCGTTCCTCTGCCCGTGCCTTGGTCTTGTCGTTGTTTCGCACCCATGTCTGTATGGCAATCGAGGCTGCCTTCCCCACTACCTACCTGTAGTTCACTCGTCACCTCTCCCGCGAGCGCCCCTCTCTTTCTTTCGGGTATGGGGTCCGTGAGTGCGGGCAACGTGCAAAGAAAGAAAGAAAGAAAACACACAACCCAAGGGAGGGATGGGAGAACGGCACGCCAGGCAATCACGGGCGGGTCCATGTTTTTCTTTTGAGGACGTTCTCAGCGGCTCTCCTCGGCGTGCCTGTGGCCCCACCTGCCTCTAGCGCGATGTTCAGCAACTGGGGCATGTTTTATCGCCTCGATATGCCGCCGCTGCCGCCTCTGGCGCCGCTGCCGCCGCTGACGCCGTCTCCGCCGTCTCCGCCGTCACCCCCGCTGGCGCCTCCATCACCCTTGCGGTCTCCGGTGCCTCCGATGCTGCCACCGTTCCCGCCTTCGTCCCCGCTCGTCGTGCCGTCGCCGTCGTCGCCAGCGGTTCCTCCTCCTCCTTCGCCGCCCACTCCACCCTCGCCGCCGATGCCGTGGCCGCCGAGCCTTGCGTCACCGCCACCGGCGGCGCCCCAGCGATTGTTTCGCACGGGGTCCATACGCTCGTGCGGCGAGACCGTTCGTGGAGACACCACCAAGGCTGCCAGGCAGACCGGCACCCCCGCGGGCGAGCACATTTACGCCTTCACCGTCGCCGCGGCCGGCACGATAGTCTTTGACACGTGCGGCTCTGGTCTCGACACGGTCGTGAGCGTGTTCACGTCGGGGCTCGCGAAGAAGGTGGCTCAGGGCGACGACAGCATCGCTTGCGGCAAGCAAGCCATCTTGACGGCCTCGCTCGACGCCGGCGCCTACGACCTCGTCGTCGAGGGCTACTATAAGAGCGAAGGGACGTACACGCTCACCGTCGGCTGTAGCAACCTGTACAGCGACGGCGCCCGGATTGGACCCCTGTCATCGCCCGCAGCGCCGCCGCCGCCGCCGGCACCGCCGCCCTCGCCGCCGCATCCTCCCCCGTCCTCGCCGCCGTCTCAGCCGCCGCTCCCGCCGCCGCCACCTCCCCCGTCCTCGCCGCCGTCTCAGCCGCCGCTCCCGCCGCCGCCTCCTCCCCCGTCCTCGCCGCCGTCTCAGCCGCCGCTCCCGCCGCCGCATCCCCCGTCCTCGCCGCCTCTGTCGCCGCCGCTTCCGCCGCCGCCTCCTCCCCCGTCCTCGCCGCCTCTGTCGCCGCCGCTCCCGCCGCCGCCTCCTCCCCCGTCCTCGCCGCCTCTGTCGCCGCCACTCCCGCCGCCTCATCCTCCCCCGTCCTCGCCGCCTGTGTCGCCGCCGCTTCCGCCGCCGCCTCCTCCCCCGTCCTCGCCGCCTGTGTCGCCGCCGCTTCCGCCGCCGCATCCTCCCCCGTCCTCGCCGCCTGTGTCGCCGCCGCTTCCGCCGCCCTGCCCGCCCCACCCACCTGGCGCAGCTCCTCCGCCGCCACTGCCGCCGCCGCCGCTACCGCCGCCGCCACTGCCGCCGCCGCCGCTACCGCCGCCGCCACTGCCGCCACTGCCGCTACCGCCGCTACCGCCGCCGCCACTGCCGCCGCCGCCGCCGCCGCCGCCGCCACTGCCGCCGCCGCCACTGCCGCCCGACCCGTGCGGCACGTGCAACGCAATCGTCAAAAAGACCGGCAGATCGCCCCTTCCTTATGGAGACCCGTGCCTGCCGGGCGACCCGGCTCAAACCTACCAGGACAACCCCAACACCCGCCCTCAGGAGACCACTGAGTGCTACACGGACATCGCGAGCAAGAATCATGTGCGCCGCTGCGTTGTCGCACCGTGGCTGGGCATCTCCTACGATACGCACTTCGATACGCCTGAAGACGTCGAAACGTGCCTGGTGCAGCCCTCGTCGCCGCCCCCTGCGCTTCCGCCAGCCCTGCCACCGAGACCGCCGCTAGACCCGCTCGACTCCTTTGCCGCCGCTGTGAAGAAGGCGCTCGGCGCCGACTCCTTGCCTGCCAACGACATCCGGCTCGTCCTCGCCCCCATCGTCGTTGGCCCCTTCGCCTGCTGCCTCCTCGGACTCGCCTCGCTCGGCTGCCTCTACCTCTGCATGCCTCACGGCGTGAAGCGGTCGCCGCCGCGCTCCCTCCTCAGCGACGACGGCGCAAAGGCGGCGGCTGATTTCGCTATGGACTTTGGCCCAGCCGCGAGCGCTCACAGCGGCGGCGGCGGTCGTGGCGCAGCTTCGCGGCGCTCGACGCGGCAATCGTCGTCCATCGCGCTGCGCTCGCCGGCCGGGCGGTCCCCTGCTGAGATCCTCAGCCGCAGGATAGCAGGCAATGTCAGCCCGATTCCGCTACCCTCTCCAAAGGCTCTCAAACAGCAAGCCCAGGCGCTACAATGGCTATGAATGCCTCTGTGTCGCTGTGCTGCAGTGCGCTGTGCGAGAACAGGCGAGCGTCGAAGCAGAGATGCTTCGTACCACCAATCCCTAGCTGCGCGCGGCGCGCGGATCTCCGCTTTTGGCTTTTGAGCCGGCGGCCGCGCGCAAGGCGCGGCGCGGCGCGGCGTGGGGCGGCGGGCGTCATGGCGGTTGGCGGTCAGTGTAAAAACCCTGTGTGTGCCCATGACGCGGTTGGCGCACGTGTGTGTCTCACTCTGCGCAGGCTGGGGCCCTGCGGCCCTGGGACACCACACGCGACACGGACTCAGTGCTGTTGAGGCGGGGGTTTCCGCGGTGTGTCTCATGTGTACTCGCATATACTCTCGAGTACTCGCACGCCGCGGCTCGCGAGCGCGACCTCCACAAGCCACTCCATCTCTCTATCTCAGTACTCAGATGGCCGAGTGAAATCTGGGCGCACATCTCTCCGATCTCGACACACAAACCAGATAGAGTGCAGTTTATTGCTATAGCCATACGACCTCGGCTCCTGCGCACCCAGTGATCACTGCCAGTGTCCCACGCTGCGCCACTCCCAGACCGCAGACGCCCCAGAGGTGAGAGGAGAGCGCGCAGGCCGCAACACGAGTGGTGTGTACGGCTTTAGACGCGGGCATGCGCGGCTGCGCTCACACGCCACACCTATCTCTCTATGCGTTCATTGTCCCCAACCATCCGCCATGCGCACCACGCCCACCCGCGGGGCCGTAGCCCCCCCCCCCCCCCCCAAACCACCACACACACAGTCCGGCACCGTGGTGCTCATCTGCTCATCCACCCCTCCCCCCTCCCCCCCCGATCATCAAATCGTGAGCGCGTCACGCACAAGGTACACATGTCCTAGCCTTGCCGTTTCTTGACGACGGTACTGCTGGCCCGGCAGCATCAGGCAGCGGCGGAGCCCTTGAGAGCGGCGACCAGCTGGCTCAGCCGCGTAACGTTGTCGGGACCCGGGTCGGCAGCCCTCTTGACCGGGTCCTTCTTTGCGTCCCGGCGGCTCGGCGCGTTCGGCGGCCGCTGCTCCTTGGCCATCTTGTCGGCCTTGCGCTTGGCGAGCGCGAGGATCGAGTCGAGTCGCTTGACGAACTCGGGCATCTTTTGGAAGACGTGCGCCCGCCACTCGCGCGGCCCCGTCACGAGCAGCTGCTGCATCACCACCAGCGACTCGCGCAGGAGCTGCTCGTGCTCGCGGTAGTTTTGTGCGAGCTCGACGATGGTCGGCACAACCTCGCGCTGCTCCCACACACGGTCGCGCAGCGATGGCGTGCGGCCGATGTTTGCGAGGATCCGCAGCACGTGGCCGACCGCCTTTTGGTGCGGCAGCGAGCGGTTGCACAGCTGCAGGAGCTGCAGCATCACGGGGACCGTCCCGACCTCGACCATCGCGGCGGCGACGCGCGGCGAGATGAGCGTGAACATCTCGAGCGAGCTCAGGGCGGAGAGCAGCTGCCCCAGGTTCTTGGTCGTCAGCAGGATATCCAGCGCCACCTTGGTGCGCGCCGGCAAGCACAGCGACGGGTCGGCTAGCATCTTGCGGTACGCATCGGCGGCGCGAGCGGCGATGTTGCGCAGCTCCGGGTGGCGCCGGTACACGCGCGATCGGGTGCGCCGGGCGCGGAGCATCGCCTGCAGGCTGACGACGACGCGCACGAAACGGACGCGGCGACGCAGCGTGATGGCGGTCAGTGCCCTCCTCGCGATGACGGCAGCCGCGGCGCGGCGGCAGTTGCGGTACGTGAGGAAGCGAGCCCTCGTCTGCACGAGGCGCGCGCACTGGTGGAGCTTGGCGAGCGCGGCGAGGTGCATCACCTTGCGGATGGCGTGCGACTGCTTGATCGCAAGGGCGACGCGGCCCGCGCTCTGGATTGCGATGGCGGCGAAGTGCCGCCGCTTGAGCTCAGCAAAAGCGACGAGCGACGCACGGCGCCGCGCCGCCGCTTGCAGGCGGGTGCACGCGAGAGCGCAGCGCCGCAAAACGCGCCGCGCGACCAGCCCGCGCGCTCCTGCCTGGACTTGGACAGTGGCCCGCACCGACGAGGCAATGAGGCGGCGGCAAACCGCCATGCGCTGAGCCGATTGAATGGCGATCGCCGCCAGAGTCCACGCGTCGCACAGCCGCCGCTCGATGCGGCCGCGAGCGACCGCCTGGATGAGCAGCGCGGCGCGCTGGCTTCGCTCCCGCAAGCACCGCGCGACAAAGGTGCGGCCGGCGGTCTGGATGACCGTGGCCGCCTCGATCGACTCGGCCAGTGCGGCCTGGGCGAGGAGCGACCGCCAGCTCGCCTGGATGCGCATCGCGGCGAGCGTCCACTGGTCGGCGAGGCGCCGCTCAGCGACGCCTCGCGCCACAGCCTGAATGTACCGCGCCGCCCATCGCGACCACTGCAGTGTCTGAATGGCGTGCGCCCGCCGGGCCGCCGCCTGGACGGCCACAGCAGCGAGCTTCATCGCAGCAAAGCGCTGGCGGCAGAAGTTGGCCCGCGAGACCGCCTGGATGCTAGCCGCCGCGCTGGCCTGGAGAGCAAGAATGCGACGGGCAGCCGAGCCACGAGACACGGCCTGCATACACCGAGCAGCGCGCTGCCGACGCGCATCCGCGCAAGCGGCGAGGCGGCGAGCCGAGGACTGGATCAGCACGATCGAAACGAGCCGGAGGTGAGCCTGGCGTGCGGCGTTGGCGCGCCGGCCCGCCGCCTGCATCGCCACCGCCGCCGCGACCGAGCGAGCGAGCAGAGCCTGGCAGCGCGCAGACCGCCACTGCGCCTCGATCCGCGTCGCCGCCGCGTGCCACACGGCGACCTGCTGCCGCGCCGCCGCGCCGCGCCGGAGCGCCTGGATCGCACGCGCCGCACGCTCGCGCCGCGCTGCCCGCACCGCCAGCTGGCGCCGCGCCGCGCTCTGCAGCCGCGTGCAGCAGCCGCGCTGGACACGCAAGCGCCGCATCGCAGCCAAGCGGCGGGCCGCCGCCTGCACCGCCACCACGGCCGCCACCGAGGCGGCAAACTCGACTTGCAGCGTCACCGACCGCCACGCCGCCTGGATCGTGACGGCCGCCGCCGCGCGGGCGGCGCACCGGCGGCGCTCGGCGGCGCCGCGGGCGAGCGACTGGACGCGCGTGCACTGGGCGATCGAGACGCGCAGCACGCGTGCGGCGTTGGCGCGCCGGCCCGCCGCCTGCATCGCCACCGCCGCCGCGACCGAACGAGCGAATGCCTCCTGGCACACGGCGGAGCGCCAGACCGCTTGGATGCGCACCGCAGCCGTCGCGCTGCGAGCAATCGAGCGGCGGTCGGCGCCACCGCGCGCCAAAGCCTGCAGCTTGCGCGCCGCGCGCTGCACGCGCTTCTTTTGCACCGCGGCGCGGCGGCGAGCCGCCGCCTGCATCTTGACGCATCCGATGTGCTCTGTATGCAGCTGCCGGTGCCGCCGAAGCTCGGCCTTGGCAAGGAGGCGGCGTGCCTGCGCCTGGACGGCGACGGCGCTCGTGCGCTGCATGGCGAGCTTCCGCACGGCGGTCGCGCAGCGCACGTTCGACTGGATCGAGACGATCGTAGCCACGGCAGAGGTGAAGGAGGCGCGAGTGGCCGACGCGCGCCAAGCCGCCTGCACGCACGTGGCGGCTGCCGCGTCGAGAGCAAGCGCACGCCGAACGGCCTGGCCGCGGACCACCGCCTGAAGACGGCGCGAGCAACGCTGGCGACGCAGCTCCGAAGCCGCGGCGGCGCGTCGCGCCGCCGCCTGCACGCGCACCGCGGCGAGCCGCGCAGCCTGCAGGCGGTGCCGGGCGCCGAGCATCCGCGCGGCGGACTGGATTCGGGTCGACGCGCGCGCGGCGAGGCTCCGTGCCGCCTGGCGCCGCAGGAAGTGCTGCAGCGCGAGCGCAGCCGCCCGAAGCGCCGAGAGCCTCGCCACAGCGCGCCGGCGCCGCCCCGCCGCCTGGATCGTGCGCGTCGCCCGCACGCTCTCCAGGAACAGCACGCGGTCGCGCCAGGCGCCCACGGCGCGAGAGAGAACCACCCGCGATCGCAGCTCTGCTCGCGCGTCCGCCCGTTGCTTGCTCGAGCGCCGGCGCCGCTGCATCCGGATCGCAAAGACGCACTGCTTCATGAGCTTCCACGGGTCGACGCAGCGCTTACCGCGAGCGCAGCCGCTCAGCTGGATGAGCCGCGCCGCGCGGGTCTGCGTCGACAGCTCCATGACGCGCGCAAAGAGGTGCGCGAGCAGCACCGCCGCCACCGCCTCATCCGGGCCCGTCTCGACGGCGTCCGCGGCGATCAGGAGCTGCGGCACGCCGCCGAGCGCGTGGAGGGAGCTGGCGAAGAGGGAGAGCCGCCGCTTGGCGGCCTTGCGCGCCTCTGCCTCGGCGGCCCGCCCGGTGTCCCCCTCGACCGGCCGCAGCCACTGGCCCGCCTCGAGCTCCTCGAGGAGCAGCTCCTCAGCCCCGGCTGGCCGCTGCAGCCCGAGCTCCGCGCGGGCGTCGAAGCCGTCGCCGAGCGCCTCGGGCACATAAAAGTGCACGAGCGCGAGCAGCCCGCGCCCGTCGCGCAGGCCGCCCGTCAGGTCCGAGAGCCGCAGCCGGTAGACGGCCGCCACCGACTGCACCCAGCAGAGCAGCGCCGCCACGGCCGCCGGCTGCTCGGCGCCGTCGGGCGCGGCGGGCGCGAAGTCGGTGTTGGCGGTGCGGCGGGCGCGGCGCGCCTCGTCAAGCACGATCCCGACCGGCGCGAGCCTCGGCAGCGCCACGTGGCAGATGAGGCTCCACAGCAGGTCGAGCGTCGCCTCGCAGTGCCCCTCGACGAGGAGCTTGGCGCAGCCGTGCAGGTCGGGCGGGTGGCGGAGCAGCGGGGCGCCCGCCGCCTCCATCGCGCGCAGCGCAATCTCAACGTTCTTGAGCTTCGAGGTGCGGTTGACGGCGGGCAGCCGCAGCGACGGCGTCAGCCGCAGCGCCGCGGCGCCGCCGCTCGGCGCGCTCGCCACCTCGAGCACCTCGAGCAGGCGGCAGAGGCGGGCCCCGTCGCGCAGGTCGGTGGCGAGGGACTGGACGGTGAAGTTGAACTCGTGGTGGGCGGTCTGCGCGTGCGCCAGGGGCGCGTCCATGTAGGCGAGGTGCTTGGCGAGGTCGCCGATCCCGCCCGAGAGGAAGGAGCGCGCAAACTCGATCGCCATCTGGCGCGTGGACTTGATCGTCGAGTCGGGGCAGAAGAGGCACGGGTCCGCCTCGAGGACGGTGGTCTCCTTGGCGCGGTCGAGCAGTAGGAGGACGCACAGGACGCGCCGCACGATGCACTTGTGCGTCTCGCCCACGGCGGCCGCCCGCGCCTCCTCCCACACCTTGTCGGGGTGGCGGCCCGCCGCCGCCGCCACCGCCGCGGGCCGCGCCGCGGGGTCGAGCCGGATGGGCGCGAGGAAGCGCTTGTCGAGCCACTTGCGCAGCGCGTGCGCGTCGTCCGCCGCGGCGCCGAGCGGCGCCATCTCGCCCGAGATGGCCTCGAGGGCGAGCCGGAGCCAGAGCGGGTTGTAGCAGCCGAGGAGCGAGAGGAGGTTGTCGCGCTGCCCGACGTCGGCGGCGAGGTTGAGGCTCGGCCGCACGCACAGCAAGCCCGACTCGACCTCGGCCTCGAGGCGCGCGATGACGGGCCGGAGCGATGGGCCACGCAGCAGCGTCGTCATCCGCCGCCGGTTGACCGCGTCCTGCCTCCGGTTCTCAAACTCCATCAGCGTGAGAGTCTGCCGCTCGCCCGCGCCGCCGCCGCCGCCTGCCACGCCGCCGCCCGGCGCGACGGTGCGGCTGCCGCCGACCACAAAGTTGAACCAGGTGGTGAAGCCGGCCTCGCGCCGCTCGCGCCAGCGCGCGTCGTAGAAGAAGCCGCTCGTCCGCCCGCCGAGCGCCGCGGCGCCCTCGAGGCGGCCCGCAGGCGCACCCCTCGGCGCCGCGCCCCTCGGCGGCGGCTTGCTCAGCCGCAGCCTGCCCGGCACGCTCGGCGCCTTGCTTCGCCGCACCTGCTTGAGCTTCGCCTCGAGCTCCTCGACGTGCTCCTCCGCCAGCTTGCGCCGCTCCGCCGCCACCTCGACGCTCGCCGCGGCCGGCGGCGCGGCCGGCTGGGGCGGCGCGGCCGGCTGGGGCGGCGCGGCCGGCTGGGGCGGCGCGGCCGGCGGCGCGGAGAACGCGCTCGCCATCAACGACGCGGCGCCCTCGTCAAAGACGAGCAGGTCGTCTCCCAGCCGAGAGTTGCGTCTCGGCCGCGACTTGGACGAGAAGGACGAGGCGCGATTGTTTGTGAGCCGGCTCGGGCTGAGCGGCATGCGCTCGTCGTGCGCCTGCGCCTTGCAGAGAGCGGGTGCCGTGGCGAGGGCGAGGATGGCGTCGCCCACGTCGGGCGGCGCAGCAGTCGGACCGGGCGGCGCCGCGGGGGCGCACAGCCCCTTGAGCTCCACCGCCAGCGTGTTTGAGCGGTTCCAGAGCAGCTCGAGCCGCTTTGGGATCGAGCCGTGCGAGAGCGGCGCCCACGTGACGCAGAGCTCCCCCTCGCCGTGCGGCGGGAGCTCGAGGAGCGGCGGCTGGACGCTCAGTCCGCCGCGGCCGACGCCGCGCACCTCCAGCCGCTGCGGCCGCGGCGCGACGTTCTTCACAGCGAGCGCGCGCGTCACCGACGCCCGCGGGGCGATGGTCCCAAAGCTGACGGTGGGCGTCGTCGCGACACTGCTGAGCACGAGCGGCGCCGGCACGCAGACAGGCTCGAGCGACGTCGCCGCGTTGCGAGCAGCCGGAGCCTTGGCCTCGACCTCGGCGAGGTCCATTCGACCTAGCTCCATTCGAAAGGGAAAGACACGCGAAGAAGAATTTAAAAAGCCAAGTCTCTCTCACAGCACACAGGCTCGACACAGGTGCGAACTGGCGCGTGCTAGTACTATCACCGGCACACCACCGGAGCCGCCTAAGCGACTCCGCGAAGAAGAATTCGACGACGCGTCTAACGGATCTTACCCCGCCTGTAACCTATCAAACTCATGTGGCTGGGTCGACCGCGCCGACAGCTACGCCGCGAGCGCGATGTGCAAACCTCTCTCGATTCAGGTAAACTCTGCCGTCCCTTCGGCGATGCACTGCCGTGACGGATGGCGTTATCTTTAAGGTATTGCTAAAATCTCTTTTGAGCCGCCGCCGGTGGCGGGAACTCACACGCAATAGAGGCATCCATGTCGTGCAGGAGCGAGAGGCCGCGCGCAGGGGGGTGGGACATTGATGGACATTCATGAATTCAACGTGTATTTCACACGACTAGAGAGTGGGGGACCTGCGGCGGACCCGCCTCTGTTGACTGTTGTTCGGGCAGTGAGAGACGCAGGATCTGCACGCCAAAGTGGGGCCCGGGTATCGCTGAGTGTGAGAGGGACTGGATCGGCAGCGGCCGGAGGGACTGGATCGCGGGCCGGCGACCCTCCACACGCCGTGGCTCTGAGCCCGCTAACTCCTTCGCGGCCGTCGGCAGCGGCCGGAGAGGCCGGAGAGCCGTCCGACGGAGGCCGGTCGTGCATCGGCGCGTCGGCCGTAGGGGCCGGGGGGGCGGCGGCATCCATCGCTGCGGGTCCGCTGCAGCGGGCCGACGATTGTGGACTGATCGATCGTCGGCGGGCGGTGTTCTCGGTTTGTTCAGCGGAGACGTTCTACGTTAAAAGAGCGTCGGGGACACGAGAGACTTATAAAAAGCGCGTCGGCGCGGACACGAGAGACTTAGTAGCCAAGCAAGGCGCAACGACGGCTTCTGAAAAGAAAATAATTTGGCGATTTGCAGAAAGAAAGAAAGAAATAAAAATAATTTTTGGCATTTCCTTTCTTTCTGCGGCAGGAGTCGCAGGCTTGGCGGCCGTCTGGTGTACTGTGTTAGTGCCAGTGCGCGACGCTCCTGGCCGCTGAAAGCAACGCTGCATATGCATCTATCCAACACGCCCCTGATGTCGGCCGCGTCCAAGCTGGCCGGAAAATTGCGCCTGCCCTGCATCGGCGCGCCGCTCTTCATCGTCTCCACGCCGGACCTCGTCATCGCGCAGTGCAAGGCGGGCATCGTCGGCTCATTCCCGGCGCTCAACGCCCGCCCAAAGGACAAGCTCGATGAGTGGCTGGTCCGGATCAAGTCGGAGCTCGCGGAGCACGACGCCGCCCACCCCGACTCGCCGGCCGCGCCCTTCGCCGTCAACCAGATTGTCCACCGCTCCAACGACCGGCTGATGCACGACCTCGAGGCGTGCGTCAAGCACGAGGCGAGCGCCGCCCGGCCGGCCGCCTCCCGCGCCGCCCCTCGCGGCCGCCTGCCCTCGCGCGCGGAGAGAGAGGGGCGAGGCCTCGCCGCCGTCGCAGGTGCCGCTGGTGATCACCTCGCTGGGCGCGCGCGAGGACGTCAACCAGGCGATCCACTCGTACGGCGGCCTCGTCTTCCACGACGTCATAAACAACCATTTTGCGAAGAAGGCGGTCCAGAAGGGCGCCGACGGCATCATCGCCGTCGCGGCGGGCGCGGGCGGCCACGCGGGCACGCTCTCGCCCTTTGCGCTCGTCTCTGAGATCCGGGAGTGGTTCGACGGGCCGCTCTGCCTCTCTGGCTCCATCGCGACGGGGAGCGGCGTGCTGGCCGCACAGGCGCTGGGCGCCGACTTTGCGTACATGGGCTCCGCCTTCATCGCGTCGGCCGAGGCGAACGCGCAGGACGCGTACAAGCAGTCGATCGTCGAGTCGGTCGCGGCGGACATCGTCTACTCGTCGCTCTTCACGGGCGTGCACGGAAACTACCTGCGCCCGTCCATCATGGCGGCCGGCCTCGACCCCGACAACCTCCCCGAGGGCGACGTCACGCAGATGGACTTTGGCTCCGGAGGCAACACCGACGCCAAGGCGTGGAAGGACATCTGGGGCTGCGGGCAGGGCATCGGCGCCATCAAAGAGGTGAGCACGGCGGGCGAGATCGTCGAGCGCCTCAAGGGCGAGTACGCGGCCGCCGTGGCGGAGAGCAGGGCGGCGACGGGCAGGTTCGTCCCCTGACTCGCGAAGCGCCACTCGGGCCCCAGTCTCTGTTCAGCGCGCGCACAGACGCTCTCCTGTCAGTCCAGTCAGTGTATCTCCCCCTCTTGACTCTCGTCTGGGTCTCGGTTATTTTGTGAAGCGTGTTCTTGTACGCGTCCAGAGTGTCTGTCTCGCCTCGGATGTTGCGGGTATTTATCTGTGTACTGTGACGCTGTCGACTCACAATGCCACGGCATAGGCACACGCACATATATAAGACATATTGCCGGCTTGCCGGGGCATGCCGGGGCGGGGCCCCGGCCGCGCCGCCGCCGCGCGCCGGGCCCGGCGGGCGGGCGGGCGAGAGCGAGAACGCGGCCCTCTCGACTCTCGTCCAAACCTCCAATGAGAGCTGTAGCATTCCGCGTAGCATGACTGACGGCTGTCTGAAGGCGTGGCGAAAACGGCTTTCGGCTCTACACACGGCACCGATGGACACGAGACGAGCATACCTCCGCTCAGGCACAGGCTGCATACACGTGCATGTACACACACTCACACGAGGCCCACTGCTAGCTCGAGCGACTGCTAGATCCGGCGCGGAGGTCCTCCAGGCTCGCACAGTACACCCAGACGGAGCAGACTTGGTTAGGGTAGGCGTGCACGTACACGGAGAGCGCAAACTGAATCTTCTTGGCGTCCGCAAGGAAGATATTGGTCTCGCGCACGCGCTTGATGATGGCGTTCCGGTCGGTGTACGTCACGTTGATGGGCAAGCCGACCATGTGGTACACGCTGTGAGACCATGGGTGTGAGGTTAAACCACGTTACCAGCGCTTGGTCACATCGGCCCCGAGGTCAGATCCTTCTACTCTGTTGATGACAAGACTTGTCTACTGGCTGGAGCCGAGCAGGAGAGCCCAGCGCACAACCCCTGGACAACACAGGGTCCACACCCCGTAAATAATACGATCGCGAGTACGAACGTGGTGTGCCGCTAAGGTGTGCGCGACTGCTCTCGAGGCCGAGAACCGCGAATGTACTATTTTATAGCTCCCTCGCGGCAAATTCCACATTTTTCAGCCCTGCAGATATCATGCAACCAAGACGATGACACGCCAACTCGCGACAGCTCACATCCTCTAAAGCTCCTACACGGTGGTACACGCCGCACAAGCGTCCAGACAATGAGACATGTGTGGCACGGCCGACGGCCCGCCGCCGCGCATCCGCCAGCCCGGAGCGTCACGGCCGGCATCGCGCCCGGCCGGCTTACGCGCGGGTGGCGGCGTCGCCCTCCGAGCCGTACCCGCCCGACGACTCGGACCAGCCCGGGTAGATGACCTCGTTGAGGCCGTGGATGAGGCCGTTGTCGGCCTTGACGTTGGCGCAGTAGCTGGTGCGGGGCGGCGAGGACGGCTGGCCGCAGAAGGCGTTGTCCAGGAAGTCCTTGCGGAACATGCGCCGGTAGGTGATCGTCGAGCCCTCGACGGTGGTGAGGTCGGCCGAGCCGAGCGAGTCCTTGTTCACGACGCCCTTGATGACGTGGTACTCGCACACCGCCTTGGTGAGCGGGCCGGCGACCGCGGAGAACTGCTCGCACGCCACGTTGCCTGGCGCGAGCACCGTGATGTCGGGCTGGGTCAGGTCGACGCCGTGCTGCTGGCACGCCGCCAGGAAGGTGGAGAAGGTGTCGTACTCCTTGAAGTCGGACTCCTCCTTGGGCGGGTCCTGCAGCGGCCCCTTCTCCTCCCAATACAAGTCCGGCCCCTGCATCGTGGCCAGCGTGTCGGCGACGTTGGCCATCATGGGTGCAGACATCCGCGAGCCGTGGCCGGCACGCGAGCCGACAACAAGCGCGGAGGAGCCAGCGAATCCGAGGGAGAGCATTGGTGACAGAAACCTGTGGGCGAAGGGCAGTACGTGTGGTGAGATTTGATCCCAGCAGTCACCCAGGAGCGACGGAGGAGCAGCGAGCTGCAGCGAGCAGCATCGCACCTTAGATTTCGTTCGAAGCGCGGAGAGAATTCGGCTTTTGCAATTTTCTCTTCTTCTCTCATGTCTGCAAAATCCTGCAAAGGTGGGGACGTGTCTGTCCTCGACCCAGCCCTAGCTTGGGATGGCCGTTTTATTTATTTATTTATTCTCTCATGTCTGGGCGGCGCCAGACTCAAAAGACGTATTTTTTCTCTCTCTGCGTGTGGGAGACTCCGGCCGCCGCCCCTGCCACCCCTGTGTCAGTGTGCCGGTGGCAGCGAGAGACTGCCAGTGAGAAGCTGGAGGCAGGTCGGTAGACTGAGATAGACCGCCGCCAGTGGAGTTGGGAGTCCACCGTGCACCGACCGCGCTGCGAGCCTGTCGTGTCCCTTGTCGGCAGGCGCAGGAGAGCCCCACCTGTGCCACTGATCGTCCTTCCAAAATCCTGCTCGTGCAGTACCGACCGATCATCCGGCTCGCTGGGTGCGCTTCTCATCATCTCATGGGGCTTCTCTGTTTTCTTTCTTTCTTTCTTTCTTCTCTCTGAGTTGGATTGTTTAAATTCTTCTCTCTGGCGTCGTCGTCGTCGCAGCACGACGCAGAGAGAGGGGAGCGACGCGACAGAGGAGGAAGCGACAGGAGAGAGACTTTGAGAGAACGACGAGAGTGGGACGACCGCGAGGTGGCATGAAGGCTGCAGCGAGAATCCTGAGGCGAGGGTGTAGAGGATGTAGAGTGTAGTGTATAGAGCGCTGTAGAGCTGTAGAGATGTAGAGCGCTCTGGAGCGCTGTAGAGCTGTAGAGCTCTACATCCGGCGCGGGACGATGTGAGTCCGATGTAGAGCGATGTAGAGCGCGATTTTGCTGTAGAGTTTGTTGTAGAGGCTCTACAGCCAACCCGCCGGGAAGGCAGTGACTCAAAGAGGTCGAGTCGCACTAATGGGGTGTCTCCGAGCTTACTGGAGCTCTGATTATCACTGACACACAGAGAGTCCCTCTGACGGCACACAACACCCTATAACTGCGTCATGACCAGCCTGCCATGCGTCGCGCCGGTGCCTTATGATGTAGAGTTTGTTGCAGAGATTTCATGCTGTAGAGGGCCTCTACATCGCTCTACAACGCACCCGCATCGTCACGCGGCGGATGTAGAGCTCTACAGCTCTATAGCTCTACAGCGCTCCAGAGCGCTCTACATCTCTACAGCTCTACAGCGCTCTACACTCTACATCCTCTACACCCTCCCTCAGCGAGAATCGCGAGGGACTGGCGAAGTGAGATAGGAAGGGGCAGACGCGCTTAGGCTGAACAAGCTTTTCCTCTCGCACCCCGTCTCTTTTTTCCTTTTTCTCTCCCTTCTATTTTCCCGGGGAAACCATCAAATTTTCCGGGCTCTGAGCCGAGTCTGAGCACTGAGGCTGGTTTGGGCCCAAAATCAGCCAAATCGGCAAGTTACCGGGTATTTTGCGGGTATACCTGGAAAACCCCGGGTAAACCTGGAAAACACAAAGAAGCTTGTGCAGGCCTTCTTTTCCCCCTGTGACCGCCTGGGTATCGTGCCGATTTCCTCAATTTTGCCTCAGATTTTGCCCCAGACCAGCTCTCAGACTCAGGAAAACTCGCGAGTTTCCAGAATGGAGCACCAAACACCCTCTGTGTTTTCCCTGAAATTTCCGGAAACGCAAAGTGCTTTTTTCAAAGAATCGCAAAGAAAACATCCAAAAAGAAACTTGTGCACGCCCACGGGCTTCGCGCCACTGTACATGCTCGCGGCCCTCGTTACCACCGGCCGCGCCGCCGCCGTGAGCACGGCGCTGCACCCGAGGCCGCTGCTGCTGGACGTGCCCGCGCCCGCAGGCTTCAGTTGGGGCGGCACCTTCACGTTCGACGAGGCTGGCACCGCCTTCCGCACAGCTACAGCCTCTGCCATCGACGAGCTGGACATCGGGCCTCGCGTCGGGCTGGGGACGCAGAGCGAGGTGCGGCGGGGCCACCTCCCCGGCCACACGGAGCCTGTGGCCGTCAAAATTGGGCTCAAGGTCGGCGCGATTGCCCGCGAGGCCGAGGTGCTCTCCGCGATGTCGGGCGTGCCGGGCTTCCCCAGGCTGCTGCACCACGAGGCCGAGGGAGAGGGCACGCCCGGCGGCGCCCTCCTCCTGACGCTGCTCGGCCCGTCGCTCGACGACCTGCGGAGGCGGGGCGAGAGCGGACCGCTCACAGGGGAGCTCCTCCGGCACGTCGGCGGCTGCCTGCTCGGCCTGTTGCGCCGACTGCACGCCGCGGGCTTTGTGCACAACGACGTGAAGCCGTCCAACGTGCTGCTCTCCGCGGGCGCGGCGGAGCTGCACCCGGCGAGCGAGTTGCACCTAATAGACTTTGGATCCTGCACACGCGAGCCGGCCAGTGCCGCCGCCGGTGGAGCCGCCGGGAGGGAGGCGCCGCCGCCGGCCGCCGGCCCCGCCGGCTCGCTGCTCTTTGCGAGCCTGGCGGCCGACGAGAGCCGCGCGACGCGCCCCTCCGACGACGTCGAGAGCTTGCTGTACACCCTCGCCTACCTGGCGGCGGGCAGGCTGCCGTGGCAGGGCGAGGACGCCGACGCCGTGGCGTCCGCAAAGCGGGAGCTGCTGGTCGAGGGGGTTGGCGCGGTCGCGGCGCTGACGGACGGCGTCGAGTGCCCAGCCGCCGCCGCGGCGCTGCGCGCCCTGCACGCGGAGGTCGTTCGCGCGTCTCGGGTCGGCGCCGTCGACTACGCGATTTGCCTGGCGGCTCTGGAGGCCGGGCAGGAGGCGAGCGGGCTGCGATAGCAGTGCCGGCGCCCGGCGGTCGGGGCGGGTGTACTGTGGATGACGCAGTCCGTGTGTAGCCAGGACCCCGACACGGCACTTAGTACCCGCCGTGGCTATAAAAGCTCCTCTCCTCACGCCTGTATAGCTACGCGGCTAGTCCGCCTTAGGATATGCGTGCCGACTCCCCGTCCCGACTCGCACTGTCTGTCCGCTGGGTCTCAGCACTCAGGGCGCGCCACGCACACAGGAGATACTCTTGAGCCTCCTGGCGCCCACCTCGCTGACACCCGCTGGCCGCAGGATCTCGGCGCAGCGGCCAGAGCCGCCATCCACCAGGATGACGTCGACAAAGACCGGCTCGTCCGGCTCGACGAGGGCGACCCCTCGCTGCGTAGTCAGCCCGGCGGAGCCATATGCGAGCGAGGCGGGGACGATGAGCCGTCGCCAACCGTCCTCGCGCATCCCGACAATCCCCTCGTCGAAGCCGGCGCGGATCCGCTCATCCGGCGTGCCGAGTCGCCACTCGTGGGGCCGCGTGTCGAGAAAGGAGCTGTCCGCCGGCGTGCCGCTCCGAAAGTTCCTCGGCCACACCTTGAAGTGCGCGTAGACAAGATCGCCCGCGCGCGGCTCCGGCCCGCTCCCCCGATAGAGGTCAAGCACGACGACGCCGGACGGTAGCGTGGTGCTCGGCAGCGTGTCGCGAGAGAACTTGCTCAGCGCATCGAGCCGGTCCTGCTCGTCGGTGGAGAGCGGCATCTTTGCTGTTGCGGACGGCGGCGCAGCGAGCGGCAGGCCAACGCCGGCGCCGAGCAGCAGCTCGCGGCGCGAGAGGCAGGGGACGCGGAGGGCGGTGGCGGCGGAGCAGAACAGGAGGAGGAGGAAACGAGGCGGCAGCATATACACATATATTGCCGACCGGGTAGCGCCGATGACAAAAGAAAACAGTCTCGCCCGCTTGCGGCGCTTCGGTGCTCGCGGCGCGCTCACCATAGTGGTCGTTCAGGGCGGCTCGCACAGCACACACACGCACACACACTCACACACACATGCACAGACACACAGCCTAGCACACAGCCCCTTCCCCTTCCCCCCCAAGACCTCAAGGGCGAGCACACGCGCAGGCCGCACCTCTAGCGAAGCCCACACACAGTGGGAGACCTTACCACCGCCCCTGTCACCCATGGCGAGTGCCTCGCGTCGGCCGCCTCTGTCAGTGTGTGCCCGTGGGTGGAGAGACTCATACTCATCCGAACAAAAACAAACAAAATCTCTCTCTCTCATCCGTCGGAGAGACTGCCAACGAAGTGAGAAGCTGGATAGAGACACAGTGGAAAAACTATGTAGGTCTCGAGGGCGCTGCTACTACACAAACTGGGTCGGTATGGCCGATAGCCTTTTTCTATAATGCATTTCATGGCTCCTTTCCGGCTGCCTTCCACAAGAACAGGAACTGAAACAGAGCGGGCGCGCGAGATCACGGCTGCCTGAAGAAGATTTGTCGCTTGTTGTGCAGCTCTGCCCTCTCCCGCTCGCGATCCCGCTCATACTCGAACAGGCCCTTTGGCTCTGCCTGGAAAACGCCCGTCGAGACCATCAAGTCATGAAACTCGCATAGGTTCAGCTCACCGTCGCCGTCCACGTCGTGCTCCTCCACGAGGTTCTGCAGCTCCCTCTGATCGAGGCCGCATGCGCCCGCTGCCTCGAGCTCGGCAACGCAAATGGAGTTGGACCTGTCCGTGTCATACATGCCGAAGAGGGCAGAGATCTCAGCGCCTGCCACCTCTGGCACCTCTGGCGGTCCATTGCTCTTCCTTGGAGCGACGAGGGCGAGGCACCGTTGCACGTCCTGCTCGCTGGCCTCGGGCAAGCACAACCGCAGCAGCTCGTCGAAAGAGACCGCACCGTCCTGGTCCGAGTCCATCACTTGAAAGGCCAACAGAGCGATGCCCTCGGCCGACTGCTCTGCCGGCGACTTGTACGATTGGCCTCGCGGCCTCGTCTGGTCTCTGAACCGCTTCAGGGCGGACGCGAGCTCGCTCTGCGAGACTCGGCCGTCGCGGTCGCGGTCGAACTCGTCGAAGATACGCTTGAGGAGGAGCACCTCCTTCCTCGCCTGAGATGGCAAGGGAGCGTGAGCATTGGCATCTGCGATTGCCCTGCGTTGGGAGTGGGCCATTGAACTCGACAAACAAACTCTCTCTTGAACTCGCCTTCAAAGGGTTGCGAGCCGACCTCGGCTTGGTTGCGTTTGGTGCCTGCCGCCTCACAGCCAAGGGCGATCTGACGTGCCTCGTCGACGGCCGCGCTTTGCTCGACATGTCGGTGGCGCGAGGGAGAGTATGTCGGGGTGCTCGCGTTGTTATCGTTTCGGACAACTCGGGTCGGCTCGGGACGGCTGAGAACGGCGACGGCGTGACATCGGCAAGAGGGGTGTGTCTGCTCGCATTCTAGAACCCTGCCAGCCCCCCCCCCCCCCCCCGGGCAGTCCCGTGTCCAGTCACATTCAGAGTGGCAGTCAGTGTTTGGGTGTGTCTCCGAGTCCCTGCCTGTGCCTGACATGCGAACACTATTTCCGAAACCTTCTTTAAAAAAGAAATACGAGGCGCTATAAGGACTTGAGGACCGCACATCGCGTCCCGGCTCCCCGTTTGTCTCTAGAAAGCGCAGATTAACTTGTTTTCTTCGTTTAAGAGAGGGGAGGAGGGAGAGATAGAGGAGGAGAGGAAAGGAGAAGGGAGGGAGCGGGAGGAGCTAGAGGAGCAAAGGAGAGGGTGTTTAGAGAAACACGGAAACAAACGAGACGGGGTGGAGGAAAGTAAAGTTTAAGCAGTGTTTGTGCGTGTTTCCAAACAAAGATGTCTGAAAAAGAAATACACGAAAGGAGCACATCGTGTTCGCTCTTGAGGGTCTTAGTCTCGGCCACCATAGAGCTTCTCGTCAAACTTTTCCGCCGGCGACGGCGACTCTGATCACAACCGAACATACCGGCAAACCATGCTACACACCCTCGTGTTCGCCCTCTTGTGCCTGCCGTCCGCGGCACTCCGCTCGGCGCAACCTCATTTGCGTCCGCAGCCGCGCTTCCAGCGCTCACGTTGTGCACAAGTTGTGCAAAGCGGTGGGGGTGAAAACAGCGGGGTCAGCGGTGGCGCGCTCGCCGATTTCGACTGCGCCAGCCCCTCCACTCTTCCGACCAGCGCGCGTCTCGACGCCACGGTCGGGGTGTCCTCCGAACGAAGCGTGTCGCTCTCGCTCCTCGGGGGAGAGCAGCTCGGCGCAAGCTCGGGCGACGATCCGTTCGGCGAGGCGGGCTCCGTCAAAGAGCTGATCGTCAGTCTGCCCGCGCCCGAGTCCCCGCTCCTCCGGGACGGCCACGCCGCCACCGCCCCCGTCACCGAGCTGATCGTCAGCCTGCCCGCGCCCGAGACCTACCTCCCTTCCCCCGCTCCCGCCGCCGAGAGCGAGGCGGAGGAGGCGGGGGAGGCAGCGGCCACCGTCCCAACGCTGCGGGGCATCCTCATGTTTGCCCTCCCCACCCTCGCCATGATGCTCTCCTCGCCCCTCCTCTCCCTCATCGACACGTCGGTCGTGGGGCTCGCGTCGAGCACCAGTCAGCTCGCCGCCCTCGGGCCGGCGACCAAGGCGTGCGACCACCTCGAGTACCTCTGCTCGGCGCTGGGCGTCGCCACCACCGCACTCGGCGCGCGCACCGTCGCCGAGGGCCGCCCCGACGGCATGCGGCGCGTGGTGGGCACCTCCCTCACCTCGGCCGTCGCGCTGGGGCTCGCGCTCGCCGCGGCGCTGCGCCTCGTCGCCGCGCCGCTGATGCGGCTGATGATGGCGGGCGGGGCGGCCAACGGGGCCGCCTTTGGGGGCGCCGTTCAGTACACCCTCATCCGCGCCGTCGGCCTCCCCGCCGCCCTCGTTGCGATGGTGCTGCAGGCCGGCTTCATCGCGAACAAGGACGCAAACTCGTCGCTCCTCGCCGTCCCGTTCGCCGCCGTCGCAAACATCGTCCTCGACTGCGCGCTCGTGGGGCCGCTCAACCTGGGCGCGGCGGGCGCGGCGTGGGGCACCGTCGCCTCGCAGCTCGTCTCCGCCGCCCTCCTCCTCCGCCTCTGGATCCGGAAGCACGGCGCGCCCGCCCCGCGGCTCGCGCCGGCCTGGTCGCCGTCGCAGCAGGACGGGGTGCTCCCGGAACCAGAGGCGGAGGAGCCGGTGCTGCGGCGGCAGCTGCGTGCGCCCCTCCGCGCGCTCGGCGGCGTTCGGCGGCTGCTCGTCCTCCCCAAGCGCGCGGAGCTCGCCTCCCTCGCCGCGCTGGTCGCCCCGATGTCGCTCGCGCTCTCGGCCCGCTCGGCCATGTCGCTCTCCATCACGGCGAGCGTCGCCTGCCTCGGCACCGTGGCGCTCGCGGCGCACCAGGTCTTCGAGTGCCTCTACTGGCTCTTCTGCCCCTTTGGCGACGCGCTCGGCGTCTGCTCCCAAGCCTACCTGCCCGAGCTGCTCGGCACCAAGGAGAGGCTCGCACGCACCCTCCAGTCGCGCGTCGCGCTCGCGTCCGCCTCGCTCGGCGTCGGGATCGGCGCGCTCAGCTTGTGGGTGTCGCGCGCCGCGCCGCACCTCTTCACGCGCCACGCCGCCGTCCACGCCGCCATGAGCGCCCCCGCCGCGTGGCTCGGCGCGAGCATGGCAGCCTACATTGTCTCTGGCGCGCTCGAGGGGTCCCTCATCGCGCGGCGCTGCCTGCGGCCGCTCGCCGCCTCGCATGTGGGCAACACGGCCTTCGCGCTCGGCGCGCTCGTCTGCGCCGTCCGCCGGCCCGGCTTCTCGCTCGCCGCCGTCTGGAGGATCGTCACGGCGGTCAACGTGATGCGCTGCGTCGAGTTCTCAGCGCTGCTCGTCGTCGCGACGAGAAGAGCACGTGCCAAGGCGGCCTCGGCGCCGCCGCGCCCCCGGCCGCGTGTGCGAGCCCTCTTCAGGCTCCTCGATCCGCGCGCGGCGGCCGCCGGCCCCCTCCTCCAGCCCTGATCATGGCCCATGCAACCCCAGACTCGAGATACACAAACGCGACCGGAGAAAATGTCAGTGACAGCGAGAGCTCAGCGGAACGCGATTACAGTTCGGGACTGCTCTTGTGAGAGTGGTCTCGTTGATACCGGGGGGGTCAGAGGATTGTCGGTGATTGTTTTTTGTGAAGTACGGATGGGGATGGTGATTGGTGTGTCGCGCAGACCGGAGACACACAGACTTTTATGTGGTCAAGGCTCAAGCAGAACTTTTCTGCGTTCCGCCGCGGGGTTAACAGACATATCATATTATCATTAAATCCCCGAGAGACGGTTTGTCGAGACACACCCTCTCCACGAGCCTCCCGCGCTCCACCTCTAGGCTCCGGCTTTAGGCTGCCCGACCCGCGCCCCAATCCGCCTCTCGATCCTCTCCCAGTCCCTCTCTCAAGTGGTGCATGAAGTGTTGGCGCCCGCCCGCGTGCTATGACCGGAAGGAGGCGTCTCTGCCGTCGCGCAGCGTCTGCATGAGCTGCAGGACGGTGCGCGAGCTCTCGCAGACAAAGCGCGCGTGCGAGTAGTCCTTGCTGCCGACCGCAACCGTGAAGAGGCGCCCGCGGAGCCGCTCGAGCATCGCGGGCCCGCTCGCGCGCGCCGTCACCGCAGAGAGCATGTACTCGTCGTCGTCGTCGTCGCCAATCGCGAGCACGAAGTCGACGGGCCCGCCGGCGTGGGCCTCGGTGAGCGCCGCGTCGGCAAACACGCCCTTGTTGATGGCGCCGATGCGCACCTCGACCTGGCACTTGCTGAGCGAGTGCAGCACCGAGACGCCAGTCCCCTTGAGCTGCTCCTTGAGAGCGACCGTCAGCTGCCGCGCCTGGAAGCGGCCGTAGTCCGGGTCGGCGTTGTGGTAGCACCAGATCGCGGCCGACTCCTGCCAGCTCATGTAGACGCCGTTGGTGCGCAGCGTGAAGCGCTCGAAGATCGGCCTCGCCGTGTCCTTCCACCGCTCCTGCGCCGGCGACAGCTCGCGCTTGAGCCACTTGCCGGAGCGCGGCCGCATCTGCATGAAGCCGAGTTCGGCGCCTGCGCGCGCGCGGCGCCGGCTGGGCGACGGGCGAGGCGCGGCGGCGAGGGGGCAGGGGGCAGGGGCGGAGGGGGTAGGGGCGTGGAGAGGGGTCGGAGGGGCGTGGAGGGGCGGAGAGCGCCGAGCCCGAGCCCGTCGACGTTGCCGAGACACGCCTCCAGGTCGGAGGCCGAGCGGCCAGAGATGACGTAGACCTGGTTGCACGGGTCCGAGGCGAGCGCGGCGAGGCAGTGCAGCGCGGCGGGCGGCGGCGGCAGCGAGTGGTCGGAGAAGTCGTGGAACATCTTTCGGTGGTGCATCACCTTCTCCTGCTGGATGAGCGTGCCGTCGAGGCCGAGGAGGATGAGCCGCCGCGTCGACTGGACGTAGGCGCGGGCGAGCGCCTCGACGTTGAGAGGCGGCAGCTGCTGGCCCGCCCGCATCTCGGAGCCGAAGGAGCAGAGGGCGAGGGTGGGGCGGGAGGAGGAGGCCTCGCCGCTCGCGTGCAGGGCGGCGGTGCGCCGCATGTCTTGCACGGCCACGTGAAGCCAGGTGCGGGTGGTGTGGGAGGCGACGAAGCTGTGGTCCTTGGAGAGGCGCGCGGCGCGCTCCGAGGGCGGCATCGAGAGCGCGGCGTCGAGCTACGGGGGCAAGCAGGTGGCATCAGACGACTGTACGGGCGCGGACAGTGCCGGGGGGGGGGGGGGAGGGGGCTGGGGGGGGGCCGTCTCGCTTCGCCTGCTCGACGACGTGCTCGAGGTTGAAGGGGTTGATGCGGACGCAGCCGTTGAGGACGTGCGCACAGCCGACGAACTCGGAGAGGACGACGACGCCCGAGGCCTGCTGCGAGTGCTTGGTGTGGATGTACTCGAACGGGAGCAGGTTGAGTCCGTCCTTCATCGCGCAGTTGAGGAGCACGTCCACGGCGCGGAAGAGGGCGAGCCGCGTGTTCTTGGTCCACAGCTTGGCGTCGAGCTCCGCACCAACCTGTGGGGTGGGGTGGGGTGGGGTGGAGGGTTACACGCGCGCTGCGGCACAGGGGAGGGAGCGTCGTCGCGCCGCGCCGCAGCACGGTGGCGGGACGACGGCGTCGGGTATCCGGGGCGATCTCGGGCAAGTCTCGGGCGGTCTCGGCCAGCGCCGCGCCTCAAAGTAGCGGATGGTGTCGGGTCCGAACGCCTCCTCGATGCGGCGGACCACCTCGCGGTTCTCGGCCGACTGCTGCGCCGACTGCTCGGGCCGCTGCTTGTCGGGGAAGCAGACTTGGAGCAGCGTGAGCCGCTTGCGCCAGACGGGGTAGTTCTCGAGGAGCTGCTGGAAGGCGAGCAGCTTGATGTGTGCGCCCTGCAGCGGGTGGAGCATCTCGACGCCGCCGACGACGATCCGCTCGCCAACCTTGCACTGCTCGCGCAGCCGCCCCTCGTGCTCCGCGGTCTCCGGCAGCCGGAGCCGCGCGTTGAGCACGTCCGGGTCGATGCCGACGTGCGACACCTGTTGGGGCGCCGAGTGGGTGGGGGTGGCGGGGGCGGGGGAGGTAAGCGGAGGGGGCGGCGCAGGGGGGAGGGGCCGGGCCGGGGCTCCGGCACAGGCACAGCTACCGGAGGGCGGCTGAGCACAGCTACAGGAAGGGAGGGCGGCTGGGGCGGCTGGGGCGGCAGGGGCGGCAGGGGCGGCAGGGGCGGCTGGGGCGGCGGGCGGCGGTGCCGTGATGGTGACGCGGCGCGAGCCGGTGTTGATGCAGAGCCCGCCGCCCGTCGGCCCGCCGACGTTCTCGCCCAAGCCGAGCAGCCGGCGGCAGGACGTCATGAAGTGACGCGCGTACTCAAAGAGGTGGAAGCCTGCGGGCGAGGAGAGGCGGCGAGCATCAGCCGCCGCTCCGCTCGGGCGGCGCGCGCTCGATGTGCGGCGCGCCGACGACGTCGCCCGCGAGCATGCCCCGCAGCAGCTCTGAGCGGTGCGGGATCACGCGCCACACCTCGGGCGAGGGGCAGGGCGAGTGGAGGAAGAAGGAGACGGTGCAGTGCGCCGGCAGCTTGGTCTGGCGCAGCGCCGCCGGCAGCAGGGTCAGGTTGTAGCCGTGCACCCAAATCATGTCTCCCACGCGGAGCACCGAGCGGATCGTGTGCGCGAAGGCGTCGTTGGCGCGCACGTACGCATTGTAGAGCGAGGAGACGTGCGTGCCTGCGGCGGCGCATTGGAGAGCGAAAAGCGTCGTGGACGTGCCGTAGACGCGCGCTGGACGTGTCATGGACGTGTCGTGGACGCGTCGTGAGGTCGTGAGACGGGACACGAAGGGGCGGTGTGGTTCGGGGGCGTGGGAGGCGTGGGCGGTCGCGCCGTCGCCGCCCTTGCCGCCCGCGTGCCGGTCCGGGATCTGGTTGTTGAGGATTGGCCACAGCACTGTCGGCCCGTACCCGTTGCAGTGCGAGTCGTACAGCGCGTCGCTCAAAAAGACGGGGACGCAATTGTACACCGCGAGCATCTCCGCCACGGCCGCCTGCGCCTCGGGCGGCACGCGCGTGCGGACGCAGCCGACGAAGAGCACCTGCGGGACGCGGCCACAGGACGCGTCAAGCACGGCGGGGCCTCGACCCCCGGCGAAGCGACGACCCCTCGGCGAGGGAGGCCATTCGAGGCGGCGGTGGTCTGGGAGGTGTCGAGGAAGTGCCAAAGGAAGTGCCAAAGAAATCGTGTCTTGGAGGTGTGTCCGGAGTGTCTAGGGAGTGTCGACGGAGTGCCTGGGGAGTGTGTCTGGGGCGTGTCTAGTGCGTGCGCGTCTCGCCTCCACGTTCAAGGATCCCATCATGTGCCGCCCTCCCTGCGTGTTCGTCGCGAGCAAGTCCCACTCGTCCCACTCGCCTACGCGAGGAGCTCCGAGGAACCGTCGGGGACGTGTCCTCGTCCGGCGGCAGCCAAGCTCTCCCCGCGCGCGCCGCCCCAGCTGCCGTCCTCGGCCTGAGCCACGTTGAAGGGCAGGTGCTGCTGCACGACGAGCAGCCGCCCCGCCGGGAGGTCGACCGTCATGTCGACGGCGGGCGCGATGCCGCTCGCCTCGCGGGGCGCCTGGCGGGTGGGAGCAGCGGCCGCCGGCGGGGCTCGACGCGAGGCAGGGGGGCGGAGACGGCACAAGGGGCTGGAGAGGGGCCGCGGGAAGGCGGTGGGAAAGCTGCTGCCTGGCGGTGGTCCGGCGCGCTGCTGCCGCACCCGCCGCCTCGCTCGCCCGCCCGCGCGGGCGCGGTCGGCGCGGGCACGGACGAGGCGCCCAGCACGCTGCCGGTGAGCGGCGCGAGCGAGAGCGGGTCCACCTGCGACTGCGGCGGCATGCTGCTCGGCTGGCCCCAGTCGGCGACGACCCGCACCTCGCTCGCCGACTGGAGGGCGAGCCGCCGGTTGTGCTGCAGCGGCTCCCACCGCACCTGCGCGGCGCAAGCAGGCGAGCGGCGGGCGGTGAGGCGTGGTGGTGGTGGGGCGGCGGCGGCGGCGGAGGCGGGCGCGCGCCGCGTTGCCGTCAGGCCCAATCACAACGAACTTGTACTCGAGCTCGAGCACCTCTGAGAGGAGGAGCGGCTCGCTCCGCCAAGACGGGTAGATGCGCTGATTGGTCGTCATGCGCATGCCGGCCTCTGGCCGCCATGCCCCGAGCTGGGCAGTGCTCCCGACGACGGCGACCGACTCGCCCCAGTCAGTCTCACACCGAACCTCAAAGGAGGCGCGGACAAAGAGCGGGGAAGATCCGCGTTCCTCGGGCAGGGTCGAGCCGAGCTGCGCGCCAAAGGAGCGCACAGTGCGAAGCGTACTCGGCGTGTGTGGCCTGTATCTGCTGTCCATCGCCGCTGGCTCGCTCGCTCTCGCTCGCTCGCTCGCTCGCTCGCCAAACGATGAGTGGCCTGGGTTTGGGCTCCGAAGCGGGGAGGAGCTGATCCGTGTCTCGCGTCCACCCCGCTGCGACCAACCCATACCGCGTTGGTGTCCAGTCCGAGCCAGACTGTTCTTCGCCTTTCTACAACGCAGAGACTTCGTCAATTCGAATCTGAAGTTGATCAGAGGTAGGTCAGCATCGGGGTCCGGCGTCCGGCCGGGGAACGCTGCACCCAAACAAACAACACGTTCGCCATCCGCCGAATCCGGCTCTCTTGCGGCACAGACTCCCTCTCCTCCTCCGGTGGCACGGGGGAGAGAGGTCTCTTCTCCCCCTTCCTCTCCTCCACCTCCTCCTCCCACTCCTCCTCCTCGACGTCGGCCGACTCGCTGCCCGGAGGCACCGTCTGCCCGGAGGCCGGCCTCGCTCTCGGCGCGGCGACGCTCTCCGTACTGCCGAGCGCCGCCCCTCGCCCCCGGCCCCTGCTCGCCGTCTGCCGCCGCGACCGACTTGGTGAGGCGTCGACGCTCTCGACTGCCTGCAAGGCCGCCTTCCTGTCATCCTCCACAAGCCGCTTGTGCGCCTGTATATAAACGCCACGAAGACGCGAGGGTCAGGGGGGGGAGGGCATGACTGCGGTGTGTACATACCGCGCCGTGTGATCGGGGAGCACCGCACGAATGCAAGGGCTACGAATACAATGGACCGGCTGAATGCGTCCTCCTCTCGAGAGCGCTCTCGTCGAAACATCTCTGTGTAGTGCCCATCTACAGGCTTGTGCGCGCGCCCTGCTCTCGCGCCGCCGGCGGTAGCGCGGCAGGAAGGTGCAAGCGTAGAGCGCGGTCGCCGCGGCCAGCCCAGCGGCCACCGTCACCAGCGAAGTGGCGAGGCCTCGGCGGAAGCTGCAGTAGTTGCCCGGTGCGCCAGGGTCGCACCCAGACAGATCGCTGATGAGCATCGCGCCGTTCTGCTTCAGCGCCTACTCTCGTGCGATCTCTCGTGTTCATCACTCTCCGGGACAGTCTCGCCGCTGATGTAGCCGCTGTGTCAGCGCCTCGAGAGCGCCAGCAGCCCTGGCGGAGACAATGGACAGCCTATCGGGCGCGTCTGGCGGCGGCGACGGCGGCGGCAACGGCGCCGGCGCCGGCGACGGCGGCGGCAACGGCAGCGGCGAGGGCGGCGGCGGCGGCGGCGAGGGCGGTGGAGGCGACAGCGTTGGCGGTGACGGTGGCGGAGGGCTTGGAGGGCTTCGAGGCGGCGGAGGCGGCGGTGGCGGAGAACGAGGCGGCGGCGAGGGCGGCGGGGGTAGGGGCGGCGGGGGTAGGGGCAGCGGGGGTAGGGGCGGCGGGGGTAGGGGCGGCGGGGGTACCAGGGGCGGAGCCGGAGGAGAAGGTGGCACTGGGGGCAGGGGAGGCGCCGGCGGCGGTGGGTAAGGCGGCAGCGGTACCGGCGGTGGCGGCATTGGCAGCGGCGGGCTTGCGGAAGCGGCGGGGAGGGCGGCGGGAGGCTCAGGCGAAAATCAAAGAGCTTTGTTTTCTTTTTTGATGTTACACGCCGTTCACAGATAGGTTGATAAGAAAGACCTTGCGATTGAGGAAGGGAAAACCTCCCATCGCGCTGCGCGCTGGTCTATGAGAGGTTACACAGTGACAGTCAGACACGCAACACGGGGTCCCGCGAGCGCAACGCCGACTCAGAGGCCGCACGCCCGCACCACGGTCAGGCGCGCAGCCATTCACGCAAAAACACGGCCCCAAGACGCACAAGCACACAGACATTCACGAGAGAGAGATTTTTGAGAACCAACAAGAATTTACCAACAAGAAATCACCACTCTTCTTGTCGCTCGTGGAGAGAGAGATTGCCAGTGGAGAAGGGAGTCTACTTGGCTGTGAGCCTGCAGCTCTCCCTTGACGCTTGAGCCTTGTCAGGGCTAGGAGAACGAATTCAGGAGAACTTAGGGGAGAGCAGCCAGTAGGAGGCCCGCGTGCCCGTGCCGCCGGGTGCAACCTTGTCCTCTATACGAGAGAGAGGAATCCCCCGTCGCGTGGGTGAACCCTGCCCAGCCCCTCTCCGTGTCGCGATGCGCTCCCCGCTCCCGTGTTTACAGTGTTCCCCTGATCGTCCTTCCAAAATCCTGGCCTGCTCGTGCAGGTGGGGACCCTGTCCTTCTCCCATCCTCGTGTCCGCTTACTTTCTTGCGTTGGCGTGTCCGCGTACTTTTTCTTTCTTCGCCAAAAATGGGAAGGACTGCCTTCTCCCATCCAAAACGAGGCCGCGTTCGTCTTTGTCGTTGGTTCCTTTGTCGTCGATTCCGTCATCAATAAGTAGACAAAATAGGGCCCAACGCCAAATTCCAAACCGCAAACATGGAGACCCAAACACGCTAAATACAGACACTCTACTGAGAGATGGGTAGCAGAGCAGCCCCAGCTGATTCCGTCATGAACACAGGGCCCCACAGATCGTAGTTTGTCGATATTACCCGAGCTGCGGTGCGCGAAGAGGACATATTGGACATCGAGACCGCGACGAGAGAGAAGAGCAAGAGGCCCGCTCACAGGGCCATGGAATCCAAAAGGATCCTTTCATCATGGGCGCGTAGTCTGACACAACCCCCCAAACGCAACGCCCCCTCCCTCAACCGTCAGGTGTAGTGTAGTCTTTTAGCTTACTGGGAGAAAAGGGGAGAGGGGCTCTAGGCCCCTAAGGGCCCTACGCGCGGCGTGAGAGCTTGGAAGCAAGCTTTGCACGGCGATCGAGGATGGCGCGGTTCACACCCTTCACCGAAGCGATGGAGATGCGTTCCGTGAGGTGTGAGAAAATGGGAGGGTATCTCTCTCTCTCTCTCAAGTCTCAACCGTCAGGTGCGAGATGCCGCCGCCGCCAGAATACATGAACATGTACATTCGTGTGTCCCCGAGCCGCGGGCGACGCGTGCAGTAGGGTGACCGCGTGGCGACACCAGGGAGTGAGTTGTGCTCGCAGAGCCCTTCCCTGCTAGCTAGCTAGAGAGATAGAGGCGCACTGCCACTGGCCCAAACACAAAAAATAACAACCACTTCTGACCCCCACGGCAAGAAGAATTGAGACATATGTCTCCCGGCCACGCCTTGCCCCACCCACCCACGCGCTGTGAATGAACTCGCCTCGCTCGAGGGTCACCACCCCCATCCAACCCACCGAAACCCGTGTGGATGGATCGCCCGCCGCGTTTTACCATCCATTGCGGTCGGGTTTTAGCGTCGCGTTCTCTCAGCGTGGTCTATGGTTTGCTGTAGACCATGAGACCAGCCACGCCGCGCCCTCTCGGTCGCCTCCAGCGCCGCCCTCAGCCACGCCGCCAACGACCGCGACGGAGACGTCTCTCAACTCTCCGCAGTCACATATGGATCATGGTATCAGCCCTGGTCGCGGCCCAGCACCAGCCCAACACGCCACCGCACCCGTAGGCTCAAGATCGCTCAATGCCTAGCACAACGATATAGAAAATCACACCGATATAGAAGAAACTCAAGAGCCTCTCTTTTCCGACTTCCGAATGAGCACACTGGCGCACAACCACAAGCCACAACAACACACAGGCACACACCACAAAAGAAAGACTCGGTCGGTCCCGTACAAAGACCCTGCACAAAGACCGCATGGGCGAGGACTTGCTCCTTTTTACCCATCTCCTCGTGGAGCTGGAGGGCCTGGGGCTCTCCGTTTTGATTACCCCCCCCCCCCCCACGCACCACGGCACCACCCAATATGCACCATCTCGCAGCCCTCGCTGCAAAGAGCGGCGCACCGACCCACGCGCCGTGAACCCCACCGCTCGAGTGTCACCATTCCGTGCTCACACATCGAGCGCGCCGGAAGATTTCGGGTCCTCGCCGCCCCCGCTGGCTTGCGCCTCTAATTCTCCTTCCGCCTCCTCCGGCGTGGGGCTCAGCTCGGAGGAGCCATCCGTTCGCCGGGCGCGTCGCCTGTCCCTCCGCCTCGTTCCCACGCCGCCCTCGCCTGGCCCAGCATCGCCCGGTGGCGGCGGAGGCGGAGGCTCGCGGATCTCACGGTCCTCCTCCTCCTTCTCCCCGATGGTCAGCGACACCTCCGCATAGTCCTGTCTCTCCTTCTCCTCGAGCGAAACCTCCGCGGACGCGACAGGAGGCAGCTGCGCACGCTTCTCCTTCTGAGGAGCACGGGGTGGGGGCGCGAACGATCGCTCGCGGCGCCAAGCCTCAAACTCGCGCATGCGCGTGCTGAGATCGCTCAGACGGCGCGCCACGGGCGCTGGTTTGCGCTGAGAGCTTGTCGATGGCGGCGGGTAGGTCAGCTTCGGGAGCTCTTTGCACCGGCAGACCGCGACGAGGAAGAGGAGGAGGCCAAGCAGAAAGATGAGCGCGCGGACTGCAGCCCCGCCCGGCGTCTGTAGCCTGGACTTCAAACCATCCTCTGGCGGTTGAGGGGGAGGCGGCGAGGGCGGCGGAGGCGGAGCGGGCGTTCGGACAAAGGCGCTTGTCGCAAAGGCGCCGTCCTCGATGTAGGCGCCGGACGGGACCCGGACCTCCCCCTGTAGGCCGCAACCGGCAAATGCGCTCGCTTCGATCACTGCCAGGTCGCTCGGCAGGGCAAAGGTGACATTGCGGAGCGACGAGGAATAGCTGTTGTCGGCGAACGACCACGAATCGCAACGAAAGGAGCTTCTGCCGAGCGAGACCGCGCTCCCGGGCACGGTGACCGCGTCGAGGCGTGCCACGTACTGGAACGCCTCGGCGGCAACGTGAACCAGGCTCGGTGGGAGCGCGAGCTCCAGCAGCACCGTCTGCTGGAATGCACCCTGCCCGATTGACGCGAGGTTGCTGGGCGATGCTTCCGAGTGCTCAAATCGGACCGCGATCGGGTGACAGCGATCCGATGGCACGCAGCCTGCACGCGCGAATGCTCGAGCGCCGATGGCCCTCACCCAGGTCGGAATGGTCACGTTTCGCAAGTGCTGGCAATCTTGAAACGCCTCGGCCTGGACCTCACCGCGTGGAAAGATCTCGCCACGCTCAATGCTGACGACGCCGTCCGCATCCGGGTCTATTGCACAGCCGGCACTGCAGCGCGTCGGACGTGTTGCGAGGATTAGCACGAGGCGCACCGTGTTCGTGCGGGTAATGTGCATCGTTTCGCCCACACGGAGCGTTCGTTTTCCCCCCGCGTTTTTTCTTCTTTGTAATGGGTTACGGGTTCGAACGGTGGTGTGAGCACGGGGTGTGGTGACACTCGAGCGAGGCGAGTTCATTCACAGCGCGTAGGTGGCAGGGTTCTTATTTTGTGTGTTTGGGCCAGTGTGGCAGTGCGCCTCTAGCTAGTTAGCTGCTAGGTAGATGGGTAGGGCTCGACGAGCACAACTCACTCCCTGGTGTCGCCACGCGGTCACCCTACTGCACGCGTCGCCCGCGGCTCGGGGACACACGAATGTACATGTTCATGTATTCTGGCGGCGGCGGCATCTCGCACCTGACGGTTGAGACTTGAGAGAGAGAGAGAGATACCCTCCCATTTTCTCACACCTCACGGAACGCATCTCCATCGCTTCGGTGAAGGGTGTGAACCGCGCCATCCTCGATCGCCGTGCAAAGCTTGCTTCCAAGCTCTCACGCCGCGCGTAGGGCCCTTAGGGGCCTAGAGCCCCTCTCCCCTTTTCTCCCAGTAAGCTAAAAGACTACACTACACCTGACGGTTGAGGGAGGGGGCGTTGCGTTTGGGGGGTTGTGTCAGACTACGCGCCCATGATGAAAGGATCCTTTTGGATTCCATGGCCCTGTGAGCGGGCCTCTTGCTCTTCTCTCTCGTCGCGGTCTCGATGTCCAAAACACACCGCGGCAGTGGGGTGCTCGGGCTGCGCAAAACCATCTCGCGCTCGCCCTCCGAGTCCAGCGAGTACGCGGACACCCACCCGCGCCTGCGGCACAAGCCGTGCCTCGCGTCGAGCAGGGAGACGCTCGCGGACGGCACTGCACTGCCGCGCGGGCTCGTCTCGCGGCTGTCGATGCTCGAGCTCTCACGGCTGACCGCACCCACGGGCCCGCAGTTCGGCCCGACCGCGAGCAGTCTCCACTGCGGTGCCCTCTCTGATTCGAAGCTCCGCCGCAGCCGCTCGGCGACTTCTCTCGGCTCGGTAGGGTCGGTGCCGACGACGGAGCAGGCAATGATCGACGGCTCGGGCTCGCGGCTGGCGGTGCTCGCCGATCGGCCCGGCGGCTCGCGGAATCCGTCCCCGGCGCCGGGCAAAGCGCCCACGACGGGCTGCGACAAGAGCCGGCGAGCCTGCTTGCGAAGAGGCACGCTCAGCGCGAGCACGAGCGCGAGCACGGACTGCGGACGCACGTCGGATGGAGGCGATGCGGGGCAGACGAGCTCTCTCTTTGAGACAGGCGGCGGGACGGGCGGCGGGCCCCCCGCCGCCGGCGAGGCGGCGCTCGAGGGGAGCGCTGATGGCGCGGCGGGCCCGAGTGGCTCTGTGGGCGGGAGGCCGCTGGATGCGTTGCTGCAGCCGCTGCTGCAGCCTCTCGTCGAGCGTGTCGTCCCCGAGGCCTGGCGCGGCACGGTGGAGGGGGTGAGCGCCTCCGCGTGGGCCGCCGCCTCGCAGCCTCTCTCGACGGGCGCCGGCGTCTCGGCGTGGGCCGCCGCGCGCGCCTACGGTCTCGCTCCCGTTGGGTGGCGGGCGTGGCCGGCGGGCTCGACGGCGCGCGAGGTGGTCGGGTGGCTGCAGGAGCGGCCGGGTCCGCTCGCGGGGCTCGGAAGCGCGCTCGGCGAGTGGCAGGCACTCGTGGAGGAGCAGATAGCGCAGCAGCAGGAGGAGCTCGACGAGCAGAGACGGGCCGCAGTCGCTCTTCGGGAGGGGTGAGCTGCTTCAGTGGCCCCCTCGCGTCCTCGCCCTCCCCTGGCCCCCCCCCCCGCCCTCCCCGCCCCACCACCCTTCCCCCCCGCCCTCGTCCGCAGGTGCTCCATCGCACCGCCCGCCGAGCCAACCACGAGGATCGGCAGCGAGGAGATGCAGCTGCAGAGTGGAGACATGCTCGGGGAGGTGCACGTGCATGCCGCCGACCACCACGCTCTGCACGCAACCGAGCTGCAGCCGCCGCAGCCGCCGCAGCCGCCGCAGCCGCCGCAGCCGCCGCAGCCGCCGCAGCCGCCGCAGCCGCCGCTTTTCCAGCTGCCAGGCCCGATGCGGCCGCCGTGCAGCGAGGCGGCGAGGCGGGTCGAGGCGGGTGGTCGGGCGGAGGCTCGAGCGGCGCCGCACCGCGCTCCTGCCGCGCCGCGGCGGCCGCGGCTGGTCCCGACGGCCTTCTCGTGGCCGGGGGAGTGCCACGCCGCGTTCCTCTCGGGCTCCTTCAACAACTGGAGCGAGCGCATCCCGCTCGAGAGGCGGTGCGACTCGCCCGGCCGCGCCGAGCCCTGCTCCGACTGGTCTCTCGTCCTCCCCCTCCCGCCGGGCGAGTACGCGTACAAGTTCATCATCGAGGCGCCCGCCGGCTGCTTGCGCTGGGACACCTCTGGCGCCTGAGCACGGCTTGTGCAGACACTGCCCCGCCACTCGTGTCCGTCACACGTCCTTGGACGCGCGTCTCGCAGGCGCCGAGCAAACCGTCGCCGACGAGGGCGGGGTGCTGCACAACTGGCTGGTGGTGGTGCCGCAGGACGAGGACGGCGAGCCGGCCGCTCACACCGGTACGCGCGCGTCGCTCACGGCGGCGGCCCTCTCGATCGTCGACGCGCGCGGGCCGGACGAGGAGGAGGAGAGCTACTCGCAGGAGGTGCCCGCCGAGGTGGTGGAGCTCTTCTTCGCGACAGAGCCGCCCCCCCTCCCGCCCCACCTCGCCGAGCACGCCGCCGCGCTCGCCGAGCCGTCCCGCCGCCCTCCGCCGCGCCGGCCGCCGCCGCCGCCGCGACCGCCGCCGCCGTCGCTCATCCAGTCGCCGCTGCTGCTCCCCACCGCGCCCATCCCGCCCTCGCTCCTCGCCGCGCTCCCCGAGCTGCGCCAGAGCCACGCCGCCGCCGCCGCCGCGGCGGCGGCGAAAGGGGAAGTGGCTGCGGCGCCGTTGCTGCTCGCCTCCGGCTGTGCTGCTCGCTCCGGGTCCGCAGTGGCGCGGGAGGCGGCGTCGCGGCGCGACGATCCTGTCCCTCATCACGCGATCGGCCCTCCGCCTCCTCACCCCTCCCGGCCTCTCGACGGTAGGCTCACTGCGCCGGGGCGGGGTTCGGCAGCGGAATGCGCCGTCGCTTACGGAGGCCCTCACTGCCACGCGACACTGAACCATTGCGCTTGGAGTGTCGACCCTTCCGCCGGCAACGGCGAGGCCCGGGTCGCTCGCCTCCAGGTCAAGCGGCGATGCCGGCACAAGTTCGTGACCAACGAGCTGGTCCGGTTCGTTAACTGAGGCAGCTCGCAGGTGGGCGGAGTCGTGTCGTGACGCTCCGGCGCGTTGGCTGCGTCGGTTGCGCGTTGCGCAAATCCATACACATGGCACCAGCCGTGGCCTGTGGGGGGTGGCGAGTCGAGAGGGGGGAAACGTTGTGTGTTTCATGGACCTCGCCCACACACAGCGGGCACAGACCAGACGTCACCAGCGCGCGTTGCGCAGCACTTGGAGGAGCGTAGCTCGGCTACTTGATCTGCTCTGTGCACACCGGTCGAGTCATTTCAGCTTTGAGTGTTACTGTTAGAGTTGTCATTCTCATATTAGATTTTAGACATTCTGACTCGGAACCAAAGGATGTTACAGGTCCGCTGCGAAGGGTTAATAAAAACAACTCTCTCTCACAGCAGAAAAAACGGACATCCCTTAGGGCCGCTGATAAATAAATAAATAAATACAACGGACATCCCAAGCTAGGGCTGGGTCGAGGACAGACACGTCCCCACCTTTGCAGGATTTTGCAAAAGCGAGGGGGGAGGGCGCATCGCCGCGCGGAGAGGGCTGGGCACAGGGCACAGGGGATCTCTCTCGCATAGGATATGCACTCGGCGGCACGAGGGCAAGGCTGGGCGTCCTATGTTTGTGCTCCCCCCCGGACCCCTCGCTCTCGGGCACTAACCATCTGACCACTCATCGACGGGGCTTGGCGAGCGGCCGCGCTGCGGGGCAGGGCTGGTGAGAATGGGCTCTGGCCACTCGCCCGTGCGGTTGTAACCCCGCATCTGTCGGACAGAGGCCTCGACCGCCCCTCGCGGCAAGCTCTTGAGCATCTCGAGCAGCTCGCCCGCCGCCATCGCCGCCTCAAACTGCTCCCTCATGCCGAGCGCGCCGCATACCCTGCGGACCGCCTCCTGCTGCACCTCGTCCGGCGTATCGGTTTCATAGCCGGACGAGTCAGCGGAGGCGGCCCGCTTGGCGGGCGGAGAGTCGGGCGACGGCGAGCGCGACTGGCGCGAGGGCCCGCTGCCGCGCGCGGACAGCGCGTTCTTGTCAACGAGACGGGGTCCAGCATCGGCACGGCCCCTGGCACCGCGGCCCTTGCCGCGCTGCTGCTGCCCACGCTTCCTGCCCGGGTTAGGGACAGTGAAGGAGCAGCCGCGCACTCCGCCGCCGCTGGGCGGCGGCGGCACGCGCGCGGCGGCGGCCGGGCCCGCAGGCGCGGCGGGCTGGCCACCCGCGGTGGCACCCTGCGGCTGCGATGCGGCTGCGGCGGCGTACGTCTTGGGCGCCGGCTCCGCGGCTGGCGGCGCGGCGGCAGGGGCGGGCGGCGCCGCAGGGCTCGCGCTCGCAGGCGGCTCCGTGGCCTGCGCCTGCCGCTCCTGGCGCACAGCGCGCTCGAGCTGCGAGTGCGGGTGCAGCTGTACGATGACGTCGCCGCTCTGCGTCGCGGTGAAGGAGACCGAGTACGGCGCTTCGCCGTCGTTCTTCTTCTCCGCGTAGACGAGCGCGTAGTCGCACACCTGTCGTTGGTGGTCAGTGAAGATGGTCTCTGTGCAGCGCTCGGCGGAGCCGACGCGAGAGAAGTGCCGCCTGAACGCCATGCGTCAGGCGCTGTTTTTTAGGGCCGCTGGACAGGCAGACACAGGCTAAAAAAGAATTCTTCCGCCTCGGCCGCGGCGGCGGCGTTCTCGGTAGGAGGGCGGTCACCGCTCCATCGAGCGACTCGCACCGGTCTGCCACCGCTGTCCTTGATGGAGGAGCCGTCGCGCGACGCGGTTCTCGTGCTATCGAAGCTGGTGCGGCAGATTGAGGAGGGGCGCGAGCTGCTGCTCCGATCGGCCGGCGACAACGCATTTGGCTACACGGCAGATGCGGCTGCGCAGGTCTCGAGCTCAATCGAGACGACGCTCGCGCTCTGCCGTCGCGCCGAGAACGTGCTTCAAATGTGGACCACTCTCTCGGCGGCCACCACGACGGCGGCGGACGATCGGGCGGTGACGCCGGCCGCTATCGAGCCGCTCGCGGAGGAGGTGCGTAGGGCGGTGCGCGAGTTTGAGATCGTGGCCGAGGCGGCGCGCTCGCAGATGGCGCAGGCCGGCTCGCATCACTCGCAGCTGCGGCAGGCGGCGGGCGAATCCCTCTTTGGCGACGCGCTCGACATCTTTGCCAGTCGTTCGCAGGTGTGTACTAGAGCAGCGCCAGCAGAACGAAGCTCTCCTCTCTCACACACAAGCAGACGCCGGGTGCCACACGGGCACCGGCCGTCACAGTAGCACGGCCGCCTCAGCGCCCCTTGCGAGGGCGAGGCATTGCAGCGAGGCACTACAGCGAGGCACTGCAGCACTCGTGCACACTCTGCCGGCGCCTTGCCACACAAGCTGGTCGGCGGCCGCAGGTGAACCGGACCTGGGACGCGCTCCTCTCGATGGAGCCGTCCTCGCGGCCGCGGGAGTCGGCCTCGCCCGCGCCCTTCGCGCGCCCCGCCCGCGGTGCCGCCCTCGGAGGAGCGCCCTCGACGCCGCCCTCGCGCCGCTTTGGCGGCGGCGCCGCGACGCCCTCCGCAGCGCTCGACATTTGGGAGAGCCGGATGCACGACTCGGGCGCCGCAGCCCCCCCCCCGCCCCCCTCACACACCACACGCGCCTTGGCGCCGGCCCGCCCCGCCCGCCGCCCCACCCCCGCCCGCCGCCCGCCCTCACCCCGTCGGCCTCCCCTCGCCGCGCCGCTCTGCAGGCTCGCGCACCGCGCTCTACGGCTCGCCGCCGCTCGAGGCCTCGCACGACGACGCCTTCCTCCTCGCGGCGCGTGCGCGCGAGCTCTCCATCCGGGCGGTCGGCGACGACGAGGTGTCTGTGCGGGCAGAGAGCTCTGACGGCGGCGCGTCGACGACGCTGGCCGAGGTGCGGCAGCAGATCGACGCGCTCCGCGCGCTCACGCCGCAGCTTGAGGAGCTCGTCGTCGCCTCGGTGTGGAGCTTCGGCGCTGCGGAGGCGGCGCGGCTGAGCGGCCTCGAAGAGCAGGCGCGAGGGCTCGCGAGGCAGGCGCGGACCCTGCTCAGCAGCACTTCGATGACGGAGGCGGCCACCGAGGCGCGCGCGGCGCTCGAGGCGGAGGTCAGCCGGTTCGGAGAGATCGCCGCCCTCGCGCGCTCCGCGATGGAGCAGATGCAGCCCGCCGGCGCGCCGTCGGCCGCCCCTGCGACGCCCGGCGCCACGCTCCACGCCGCCGCCTCCCCGCCGCCGGAGCCGAGCCTGCACACGCCCGCCGCCAGCCGGGGCGGCGCCGGCCGAGGCGGCGCCTCGAGCCGGCCGAGGAGCGCCGCCCCGCCGGGAGAGCGGCTCACCCTCGCGAGTCACACCCCTGAGCTCCGGCGCACCGCTGACGCGTGTAGGACCGAGCCGGGCACGTCGACCCCCGCCTCGGCCGGGTGGGAGTCGCTGCGGGCGAGGGTGGGGGGCGCCGTCGACCACGGCCTGGCCGGCGTGCTGCAGTCGGCGGGTGGCCTCGGGGGCGCGGGCGGCGGCGCGGGCGGCGGCGCGGGCGGCGGCGCGGGCGGCAGCGCAGAGCCAGAGCACGTCGCGGAGAGGGTCACGTGGAGCGAGGCAGCGGCGCCGGTGGCTAAGGATGGCGGCGCCGCCTCGAGGAGAGAGGGGGCGAGGAGAGAGGGGGCGGCTCCGCGGCCGGGGCCGACGTCGCAGCTTCCGTACGACGAGGCGACGCCGCCGCCGCCGCAGGAGCCGCCGCCGCAGCAGCAGCAGATGCAGGTGCTGCAGCAGCAGCCGCCGCAGCAGAATCAGCAGGCGCTGCAGGAGTCGGTGGCGCTGAACAACACCCTCATCGAGGAGCGGGGGGCGGCCATCCAGGCGCTCTCTCTGGCGAGGAGAGGAGCTCTCAGCACTGTCTCGGCTCGACCCGGCCTCCCTCTCCGCTAGGCCATATCCGGCGAGGTCGAGGCGCTCGGGGAGCTCTTCGTCGAGGTGCGCCTCACGCCGCCGCTGGGAGGGGAGGAGCGGGCAGTGGGCCTCCTCTCAACGAGCGACTTCGCCATAGGTCGCCCACCTGGTCGACGCGC